TGTTCACCCTATACCTCCTGGTTTTCGAGACCGCCACTGACCTCCTGCTTCCCCAGCTTTCATCGGCTTGTCCGTAGTGGCTATCATTCAGATACGACGCTCCTTCCACTTTTTCCTTTGGAAGAGGCACAACGATGTCCGTGACCTTCCATTTCGGCTCCAGTCGAATTCTCTGCGCACCACCAAAAGAGTAACGGCCAGCACCTCGAGTGGCTTCTAGAGCTTGCGTATGACGTGGTTGGGGTGTCAAAAAATCGTTTCGTCGTTGTAAACGTATTGGCGTAGCTGTGGAGGCAGGTAGAGGCGTTTGTCCTTCTGCTTCTTCTAGTATTTGTACATCGTCAGTAAAGTCAGGTTCATCCGCCTGAGCTGGCTCCTAAATACGACGTTAGATGGGGTATTTTATAAGAACAGGCAATGTTACCTCTTCATCTCCTGAGCCGCAATCTTCTACCTGCTGACAGTCATCTTCTTGAAGAACGGAGGAAGAACGGAATGGCCATGCTAGTCCTTTGACAGCTTCAAGGCTTTTCCTCCACCCACCGTACGGGTGATCTGGCTGTGGAATTGATTCTTCATCGTAATCTCCATCCATAAGGTCATCGTCAAAACCTTCCCCATCTACTTGTTCCTGGATATCTAGCACGCTAAACTTTGGCTTGTCTTCCAGTTCCATGCTCTCTGCGATGAATTCCTCTACTTCTTTTTCTTCCTCCTCTTCCTCCTTCTCGGTTTCCATCTTCATAATGGCTCTCTGAGCTGAACGAATGAGCACTGCGCGGTGCAAGGAAGGACGCCCTTGTACATGTCGACGAGGAGTTTGCGGCTGACGTTGAGAGGACGTGCTGGCATTATTGGGGGGGCGAAAGTTAACATTTCTGGATGATGGTTCGGGCTTGGATGAATTGATCGGTTCGTTAATTTCGACAGATTCGAGAATAACCAAATCTTTTTCTTCCTCCATCACGCGCGGGTTATTTCCATCAACCAGAATAATCTCGTCTTCGTCCATATCGTTACGATGACTTGCGGGATTCTGTTGCTGATGTAGCGGGTGCTTGACAGGTGACCGACCTCGAGCCTTAAGAGGACTCTGTAATATCTTGAGATTTTCGTTGGGATCTTTGCTGGGTCTGGGACTGAAGACTTCCGCGCTTCGAATCATAGACATACGTAGAGCTCGCCTTTGGGCTCCAGGAGTAGTAGATCCATTCTTGACAGGGCTGTCAAAAAGGGCGGCACGTAGTTCCTTAGGAGGGTAGGTGAAAATAAAACGCTTGGTGTGTATCTCTATTTCAGAGTTGTTAGATACTGGTATTGTTGTGGGTAGATCTGGGTCGTCAGAAGGGAAAACCGGGCATCCGTCAATAGAGAGACCGTTTGCACCTAGAATGACGACAAATGCCTTTGAAGGGTTAGTTCCAATATCAAAGAGCGCAGAGTACATCCCATGCAGACCTTTCGTTCTCGAAACACCAGCCTTGCATGGACAGAGCTGACTTTGGGATAATACAATCGTACGCTGCAATGGGGATCTCGACCAAAGGTTACTGTTTCGTCGTCGATGGGAAATGAAGCCACGACAGTATCTGGCTCGAGCCTTTTCATTAGGCGCAATGTTCCATATTTCCCAATCTCGCTAGGGTCCATCTTTAGCTAGCAATAATAATGTCAGATGGTTGTTTGCAACGAATTGCGTTGAACAAAACGCGCAACGCGGTTCAAATTTATCACGTGAATGTCACGTGAGAAAATGCAGATGGAGTGACTCTGGTGAGTCTCCGCTGCAGGAGCATATTTGCAAGATATGATCGACTGTCATCATTGTATTGATTTAGGTCAGCAAGGGAGACTAGTAGGAGTACTAAACATGCATGTTTCATGGATTACTGTAAATATTCAAAGGGGTATTGGGGAGGCAATAGGAATTCCCTGTAACTCATCTGTAACCGACATGTCTCTGAATCATCATGTCTTGTGTGTCTGACTAGATCGCAATCCCATATTGCGGACAGACTATTTTTGGAGGTGATAATTGGATGCTGGGACTGACCCCATTCGAATCCATTGCTAGCTTGTCATGTGAGTGCGAATATCAGGTCTGGCCCGGTGGGCAGGCAAAACCTTCGAGTATCATCTAGCCACGGTTTGATGTGCAGACAGTACACGGCTAGACATCAATAATCATTCTCTATGCTCTAGAAACCATATACCCGAGAATCCAACATTACAACCCTCAGGCCTTAGGTTCTGAACTCGGTCAAAGAATGCGGTCCCTTTTATGTATCACTCACTGTCTTCTTCTCGGCGTCCCGCTTGAGCTTTCTCTCATAGATGGATGAAAGTTTTCTGGTCCTAGCAAGTTCAACCACCGTCGAGTGGACAATGACAGATGGGATATAGCAACTGGGTCGCAGTACAAGTGAGCCAATTTCTTTTTTTTTGTGGTAGACGCTGCAAATTCTCAGGATAGATTATAAATGTAATTGTCTTCAGTTTTGTACTTCTGTTCCATATCGCCTGACTGACCAGATGACACATTATTGCCGTACGTTACAGATATTCTCCGACTATCCCTCGGTCCGCCCATTACTATCTGCTTCAGTGGCCGAGCCCTTGGTCATTTGAGAGTTCGCTGTTGATCATTTGATCCTCCCTAGGTCATCCTCGAAGTATAAAGGTCAAGCATCCATACTGTCATCTTTCTCTGTCCATCTCACGGTAAATTCTGATGCTCACGACACGCGCTAGGTTTCTTCCCCTAGTGCTAACAGCGGGCTTGGCTTCTGCTTATAGCTTCCCAGACTGCACCAACGGGCCTCTTGCCCAAAATGCGATTTGTGATACTTCCTTGGATCCTATCTCCCGCGCTACCGCAGTCGTAGACTTATTTACCATTGATGAACTCATCAATAACACCGTGAGCACTTCGCCTGGCGTCCCACGCCTCGGTCTTCCTCCTTATCAATGGTGGTCTGAAGGCTTGGTACGTCTGACCTACTCCCAAAACCGCTTCCTCGCCTAACTGCAAGCCTTGCCTTGTTATCTCACTAGCACGGAGTAGCGGACAGCCCAGGCGTAAACTTCTCTGCTTCCGGAGAGTTCAGTTATGCAACATCATTCCCGCAACCTATCATCATGGGTGCTGCCTTTGATGACGAGCTGATCAAGTCAGTCGGGGCTATTGTCGGCATGGAAGGAAGGTCGTTCAACAACTATGGTCGAGCCGGATTAGATTTCTGGACGCCGAACATCAATCCTTTCAAAGATCCTCGATGGGGACGAGGCCAGGAAACTCCTGGAGAAGACCCTTATCACCTCGCCCAATACGTTTACAATTTGGTGCAGGGGCTACAGGGTGGTCTTGACCCGAAGCCTTACTATCAAGTCATCTCGACTTGCAAGCACTTTGCAGCATACGACTTGGAAGACTGGGACGGTAACTACCGTTATGGGTTCGACGCCATCGTTACAACACAGGATCTGAGCGAATATTATTTGCCATCTTTCCAAAGTTGCTACAGAGATGCTAAAGTTGGAGCTGCAATGCAAGCACTCCCTAATTTCATACTTTCGCTTGCTGACACAACACCTTCGTTTTCAGGTGCAGTTATAATGCCGTCAATGGCATTCCGTCTTGTGCCAACACGTACCTCCTTCAATCTATCTTACGAGACTTTTGGGGCTTCGCTGAGGATCGATGGGGTGAGCTACAAGTTTTCTGCTATAGTTTTCCGACTAAACGCCATCCATCTCTTTTAGTTACTTCAGATTGTGATGCTGTGCGTACATCTATGTATTACTCCGCCGGATTGTACTGATAAAAATAAATTAAATCTAGGTCGATAATATATATGACCCTCACAACTACACCAAAACTCCCGAGGAGGCGGTCGCGGATGCGCTCAAGGCCGGTACTGACATCGACTGTGGTACATTCTACAGTGAATATTTGCCTGGTGCTTACAACCAGTCGTTGATCACGGAAACCGAGTTAAGGCAGGCTTTGATCCGTCAATATGCGTCTCTTGTTCGGTAAATTCATTCATGCCACTGAGGAATTATCCATTTGATCTTATGTCACTTTATCAGTCTCGGATATTTCGATCCTACAGATATACAGCCTTACCGGCAATACAACTGGAACAACGTAGACACCCCACAGGCCCAGCAACTAGCTTACCAAGCCGCCGCAGAGGGCATCGTTTTGCTCAAGAACGACGGCACTCTACCACTCTCAAGTGATATCAAGAACATCGCGCTCATTGGTCCTTGGGGAAATGCGACAGGCGAGATGCAGGGCAACTATTACGGTGTTGCACCGTACCTTATTAGCCCCTTAATGGGAGCTGTGGCAACTGGCTATAATGTCACTTACGTGTTCGGGACAAACATCACTTCCAACGATACCAGCGGGTTTGCTGCAGCAATCGCCGCCGCTCAAGGCGCTGATGTCGTCATCTACGCAGGGGGCATCGACGAAACGGTCGAGAGCGAGGGGAATGACCGAAACTACATCACATGGCCAGGAAACCAGTTGGACTTGGTTGGCGAGCTAGCCGCAGTAGGGAAACCTCTTGTTGTGGTGCAATTTGGAGGAGGACAAGTGGACGATACTTCCCTGAAAGCCAATAGCACTGTAAGCTGATATGTCGGCCATAGTGGTTACCGGGCTAACGTCTCCGTATAGGTTAATGCTCTTCTTTGGGCTGGATATCCTGGACAAAGTGGTGGATCAGCTCTTTTTGACATTATCAGTGGAAAAGTAGCACCCGCTGGCCGTCTCCCAGTTACGCAATATCCTGCCGACTACGTGTATGAGATTCCCATGACAGACATGGACTTGCGGCCCAACGCGACCAGCCCTGGCCGCACATATAAATGGTACACGGGCACACCGATCTACGACTTTGGCTATGGTCTGCACTACACAACTTTCAGCTACAAGTGGGCCAAAGCACCATCAAGCACGTATAACATTCAAACACTCGTGCAGTCGGGAAATCTATACTCATATCTTGACCTGGCACCTTTCGACACATTCACTGTCAATGTTACCAACACGGGCAATGTTACGTCCGATTTTGCTTCTTTGCTATTCGTTAACGGAACATATGGACCATCACCATACCCGAATAAGTCTTTAATCACTTATGCTCGTCTTCATGATATTGCATCCGGAGATACGGCATCTGTGGCATTAGGAGTTACCTTAGGATCTATTGCCAGAGCGGACACCTATGGTAACATGTGGCTATATCCTGGAACTTATCAGGTTACTTTGGATACATTGGGAGTTCTCACATACCAATTCCAACTCACAGGCAGTGCTACTCAGATCACGGAATTCCCTCAAGATAATGATGCTCCACCTTCGTGACCTTCGTATACATGGAAATAGTTTTATGATATCCCCAGCCATTGTTTCTCACTTACCTTGAACGATTTTTTCTTATACGAGATATGATTCCTCCAAAACTTGATCTTGTAGAATTCGGTTGGCGCAAACACATTTTAGTTTCACGCAATCTACTGTTGTATGGCATTACAGTCGCATCGTAAGCAAGTCTGTTGATTTTTATTCGTCGCTGCGGTTACATTCGTTTTACATGACACTGGAAATCCCCCCAGGTTCTCTAATGAGTCAATCGCGACATCACTGATCACCTCGGTCGGGTGCATACTAGTATGACAAAATTCAGTCTGGACAGCACAAGCGCGTGCCTCCCCGAACGCCTCATAACCAGTGCCAGTGAATGAACCATGAAAGGGTCCCGATGTTGATGTGTTTGCTGAATCAATTCAGAATGCAGACCTTCCTGGTCTCGTGCCAGCCTTGCAGTTGACGCGCCGTGAGTCGTAGAGATATCCCAACCTCATCCGACTCGTTCCCATTGGTCCACTATCTCATTTAAAACAAAGGATCACCAAAGCGGTGTTCCTAACGTTACTGTGGCACTACCATGAGACCTTCGGTCCATTCGTGGATAACTCTTGCTGAAGCTTTCGTTACTTTATGTTATACCTTGCCATTTCCAGCGCTGCCCTGGTGAGTACATCCCTTTTCGAGGAAACAGTGGCGATCGGATGACTGGGATGACAACGTAGGCGCTTGCTCGCTACTGGTAATCTGATGACCTGACCCAAGTCAGTCGTCTTCTCTTGTCCTACTGTGCCGTTCAAAATTCACGGTTGCTCAGTGATTTGTATCTCTCATCTCCCAACCACAGACTAAGATGCCAGTCTTCGCCAACGCAGAAGGTGTAAATGCAAGTAGCAGCGTGTTCAACGACGTCCAAGGAAATCTAACCAGTAACACCTACATCCTCAATCCCAGTGAGTGAACGAAAGCATTCGTTAGAATTTCCGTCTTATCATTCGGTGACTTACCGCATGTTCCCCTCTTTCAGCTACTAGTAGCGTGCGCATTGCTGATTTGTTCGGGTCTGATTTTGATGCTACCGCGACCCACGACTCTGTCCAGCGCCAGGATGCCCCTACTTGCCATCACAGCACCCGAGGAGATATCCTATATGATATTCAAGAATGGGCAGAACGCATCGACCACCGTCACATATGCCTTCTCTACGGGCCCGCAGGATCAGGCAAGTCGACGATTGCTCTCACTATCGCCAAGCAACTTGCAGCATCCAAGAGGTTGGGAGCGACCTATTTCTTTAGCAGAGGGGAATCGTCTAGCGACATTGCTCACCTCTTCCCTACACTTGCATATCAACTTTCCACTAACTTTCATGCAACGCAGGGTGTGATACAGAGTGCTCTCCTTGAGGACCCTGCCATTCTATCGAAAAGTCTCGACATCCAATACAGAAAACTGGTTCTCAATCCTTCCTCTCTCTCCCAAGCTGAGGGCCCCATAGTTATCATTATCGATGCCCTCGACGAATGTGATGGTGAGGAAGCAGTCCGGCGGCTCATACAAGTCCTAGCGCAGACCCAATGCGATCCACCCTACTCCCTGAAATTTCTCCTCACTTCTCGTCTCCACTTCCGCGTCCGCCAGAGTATCGCCGCCATCGACCATTCCAAAATCCATGTCCTCGACCTCCAGCAGTACAGTGCCGACGCAGACATATTTGCCTACTTCCAATCACGCTTCTCTGCCATTCACAAAGAAAACAGGCGGTATATGCGCGGGGTCAAGCTCCCTTGGCCATCCTATAGTGATTTGAAAATCCTTGTAGATAAATCGCAAGGCTCCTTCATATATGCTTCGACCCTCGTCAATTTTGTTGGCGCAGGTGATCAGCTCCCCCATGTCAAGCTGCGCATTGCGATGGGCACACCTCCGGGTCTCGACCCTCTCTATGCCCAAACTTTCTCTGGTGCTCCTAAATTTCCACACTCTGCACGGGTGGTTGCCTCGTGCACCTTGATGCGCCGCCCCTTGAACATCAAAGATATCGCCCAGCTCCTCGCGCTCGAGCCCGCAAGCATCGCACATGCTTTCCAAGGCCTAGAGTCTATCTTCACCATTCCGGATTTAGACGACGAAGCTATCCAGCCTCTCCATGCCTCGCTATACGACTTTCTTGTCAACAAGCAACGCTCAAAGAATCACTACATCAATCCCGCCTACTTCAATGCGCAATTGCTGGAAGACTGTGTAAAGCTCGTAACAGCGTATATGGAGGGAGACCTAGAAGGCAGTGCGGCAGTGGCGTATGCATGTCTGAATTGGTGCTACCATCTTACGTGCGCACTGACAGAGGAGGAGGGTGTAAGGCGTGTGATGACGTTGTGTGATGTGAGACTAATGGCATTTTTGGAGAATATACAGAATCAGTGGTTGCAGGGGTGGCTTCGCATGGTTGATTCACTGAGACTCTTGTTTGAGGATATGGTTACTGCTATAGGAAAGCTAGAGGTGAGTGTCCAGAACGTTCAATTCATTTTTTTCTGTCGGCATTAATCTGTTTTTCTCATAAAGAACTCTGGTGATCCAAAACAGAAGTCACTTGGTCGTACCCTTACTGAAATCGGGGTGGCGATCCTCGTAAACGTCAGTGCACTCTCTAATGCCGAGGTCGCAAGGAGCATACAACTCGTACCAGCTTTTGCGAATGCACCTGCAAACGTGCTGTTATCTTCTTCTTCTGTGGCGGCTGCGAGGTCCGAGGTGGATGGGGGAGGTGATTGGTTGGTTAATTATGTCAATGTGTAAGTTTGCACCATTTCCCGGGTGATGTTCTTTTATTTCCCTTCATTTGTTGTTTGACGCGAATATAATTTTGGCTGATTTGAATGTGACCAGGTTTGTAGACCGTGATGTGTTTATGCGGTACTTGGGCGGCGAGGTTCAACACGATGACACACGGGAGGCCACAAGGTGGTTACTTGAACATCGAGTGGGGGATTCGCAAACCTTGGACTCAGTTGATGATAACGACAATACGACAGATAGTGGATTTGATACGGAAGACGAGGAGATCAAAGAGTATGATGCAGAAGACGAAGGCGAGCACGGCGAGAATGGAGCGGAAGCCGAGGTAGTGCAAAGTGAAGATAGCGATGAGTATTCTGAGAAAGAAGAGGGCGATGTTGAAAAAGAGGAGGAAGACGAGAGTTCCGATGGTGACGGTGGAGGGCGAGGAAGGGAGGAAAGTCGCGAGAGAATGTGCAATTGTGCCGAGTGTAAGTTTAGGACCAAGGCATCAGAAGATGGGGAAGAGGGGGAAGAGAGTGGCTTGGATGAAGAGGCAGCCGACGACGAATCAGTGGACAACCGAGAATCGAGCAGAGCGAACGCACGTGTTAGAGACAGAAGAAACGATGACGAAAGCTCAGCTGAAGAGGCACAGGACACTCACGGTGCTGATGACGTCACAGATGTCAGTGACGACGACAGAGGCTCAGGTGAAAGGGCTCAAGACTCCGACTTGGGTGGTGCTAGTAAAAATGCCAGAGTAAACGCGAAGACCAGGGTGGAAACAGATACTGAATCTGATGACATTGAGGACGAACAGCACGAGGATCTGCAGAGAAGTAATGGTAAACACGGGGTTGACAGGATAGGCAGAAGCGCTAAAGGGGACAGATACACAGAAAGTAATAAGGGAAGCGAAGAAGAGGACGAGGATGAAGACAGCGATCTTAGTAATTCTGACAGGAATCCCAGGGATAAGTATACGAGGAGAGAGGCCAGGCGCGATTCAGAGGAGGACAGTAGCGACGATGATGGCAGGGTTATATCTGACAAGAGAAAGCAACCGAACATGAACATGAGCTCGAGGGAGACTAGATCTTCCGGCAAAAGGGCCTGGTTAGCGAAGATGACAAACAAGATCATGAAAAAGAACAGCAAACAAGATGGTAATCATGATCAGAATGGAAAGAATAAGGTGGATGAGGATGAGGATGACTCGTCGGTTGAAGAACCCCAGGATACCGACGACGACGACGAGCAAGCTACAAGCAGACACGTAGTGAGAGCAGCTCGTAACAGATCAGAGGATGAAGAGGACGCAGACGAGGAGGATGCAGAGGAAAGGGACGAAGATGAAGATGATTACGAAGAGGAAGAAGATAGCAGTGATACTGATGGAAACATCAAAGACAAGCGTAACCAAAGAGTTGGCAGCGATGATGAGTCCGTTAGAGAAAGGGACGAGACAGATGAAGAGGACACTACATCCGAGGAAACAACAAGCCAGTCAGCAGCAAAGAAGCCAAGCGCAAATTCGTCTGGTAAGAGGTGGTTGGCAAAGATGAAAGGCAAGATTACGACACGTAAATATTAATAATAGTGGTTGTCCGCCATTTGTCTTTTGAGTTTTCCACATTCGCTTCTATATATTATATTGTATATATTATTTGCTCTAAATTACAACTATCTCAAAGATATAATGGAAGGCATACGATGTGAGTAGCGAACAGCCAGTTCGCTTCTATCGAACACAACACAATAATATTGCATCCAAAAGAGAAGAAGAAAAATTCAGTCAAGCAATTAACTTGTTCATTCGAGCAGAGGAAGTCCCTCAAATTTCCGCTGAAACACTAATAAATCATGGGATCAAAATCGTCAGGGACTTGTCAAACCGAGCAATAAAATGGGCGTACAGTGCGAAGGACATACACCAGTAGCGCCAATCAGCGCACCAACCAGCCTTCTTAAAGCATCCACCAAACTTTCCTCCCCACGTCCAGCGGGGCCTGTAGCCAAGTTCGCTCGAAGGCTACGTAGTCTCGAGACCTCACTACCAATTATATGCACAATGGCAGCTAGCAAGTTCTACCACACGCCGTCAACAAAACTGAACATAAAGAAAGGAAAGGAAAAAGCGAACTGACCACTAGCAAGGGGTTAAGATACCCCAGGTCCTTCACCTTAACAACATCGACAATATTGACAATCGCAACAGCGCTGCTTATGCTCTTCTGGTTCGATGCAGTATTGCGGGACATGAGAATGTGGTGGAGCTGTACTGTAGCGGTAAGCGCGATCACATGCACCATCAGCAACATCTTAATGACAGCCTGTGTCCGAGTCGCACTGTCAAACTGGGCCGGACGAGGGAGCGACTTTTGGAAAGTATCGATGAATTCATCTAAAGCGCAAAACTGCGTACGGTAATCAGAAGAATCACCTAACCTTGGGTCTGTTCGCAGCAAAAATAGGAAAAGAGAATGCGAACATATTAGTTAGTTCACCTAGTGAAAGCGATCGGATTGTAAGATAAATGTTTCGCACCTGCGTTATACTGCTCAGCCAGTCCAGTCGCTTTTTCGAGTAGCAGCACAGCTTTGCATTGGAGAGCAAGCAAGGAGCGTCCCTGATCAGCGTTATCAGGTGAACTGCTCAGGAAGTTTTGGATTGTATCATTACCCTGAACAGTAGGAACCAGTTGACCCTGAGTCCACGAAAATGAGACCAAAAATGCCAGAGAACAGTAAAAAGTAAAGTATCAGCACAAGCAATAATGATAATGTAGAGAGAACAGGAGGATAAACTGACCGATTCGTAAGCATACATGTCCATGGGCCATGGAGTATCGACCCGGATACCTGGAAGCGGGTTCGTAGACAGGTTCGAAGGCACTCCAAAAGTTACTGCCCAGCATTTGTCGAGAACCAAAACGGACCAAAACGCGTTGATACGCTCCCCTTCCTCAATAGTGTCACTCGGGAGAGGCAGCTCAGCTTCGTCATTTCCACGGATACTAAAGAGCGTTTCAGGGACAGATTGGCTGTGTACGCTCCTGATTTTGTGAAGGTTGAAACTGAGGACGAGTGAGGCAGCAGCACTGCAGTGGTATCTGCCCTCCAGGAAGCGGTCCTTGCGTAGGAAGTAGTAGCTGAGCAATAGTTCAGCTTGAATGATGTGAAGGAGTTGGTGTGATTGTATGTTGGACAACGCAATCGCGAGGTGTTTGAGGGTGCGTGAAAGGAATGTTGGTTCGAGGGCGACAAAGGCATCTGACTGGCAAAGGTGAGCGTTCCAGAGAAAAAGAACGTTTAATAGGGTTGGAGAAGGCCTGTGAAGATAGTCGAATGAAGCAGGAGATAGTAAAGAGTCACGAAAGCGAGAGATATTAAGGAAAAACCCAAGCTCCGAAGCATGTGGAATGAAGTTGTCCATTCTGGTGGTGTAGGTAGTGAGTGCATGATCCTTGATTGGAAGTATGAAATGGGCTTACAGAGCTTGGACTATGTGAGTGGGAGGTTCTTCTACATTCCACCATGAAGTCGCGACGTTCGAGTCGCTACTTGCTCTACTGTGGATACTAGGCGCTTTGGCATACATGAGCATGAAATAAACCAATGAGAGTACTTGGGGCTCACTCGTCACTGGACTTGAAGCCGAAGAGGTAGAACTAGCTGATATGGCCCCAACTGGCGAGCCAGAACCTTGCTGGTACGGATTGTGCAGTACTATAGGGGCCTGTGCTTCATCTGGATGTTCGAGCTCATGGATCCGGGCTTGCAGACGAGCCACGTCATCTTCAAGCATCTGAGTCCTAGAACGCGTCTGTCCGTCCGTGTACTCGCAGTCATCGATTCTATCACCACGAATACATTGACCACATGTAGGACGAGCACCATCACATCTCTACGAAATCGGGATATTACAATGATTGTATAATGAGGCTGTAGCTGGGCTTACCATTTTCCTTCTCCTGTAGATCGAAACGCGGGTTAAGTTTGGAAGTAATTGGACAGTGGTGTGGTAGTGCGTACCTGCAAGCTAAGCAAGCTCTTCCTCGCTGAAGGGAGTTGGAGGAAAGGTCAGATGGATTTGATGAGAGACTGGGAATCATAACGATGAGGTATATACAGAAAAATGATAACTCGAGGAAGAACTGAGCGTAACAAGAGCTGTCATGTCGAGAGTCTTATATGCCAAGTAGCTATTAACATGTTCATGGCCGGGTTAGAAGCCCGGACGGTGAACGATAAAGTTAACGACTGTACGGATAGAATAGGAATGAAGACTCGAGCGAGATGAAATGCCTAGCGTCTGAAGCGCCAAAGTGACGCGGAAGCCTTTGTGATCGCACTACAAAGAGTTGTTGACGATGAATGACGCCAGGTCTTTACAAAGTTGACATTTCTCAGCAAAGTCATGAACGCATTACAAAGCCGCTCCTGTCGTGAGGTGGGCAGGCTTTGTCTAGAAAGATTTGATTCCCGTGATAGTTTCCTGTCTCGTACTGGTATGGGTTGAACATGAAGACCTTCCGAAAGTGCAGGGCATGCAAGGACGGAGCCGGAGGATCGCACTGAGGGTTAAGTTGCATTGGCTGGCTGACTCCGAGTCGATTGATCGGTGGTCCTCGTTCCAGTCTTCTTTCGTGACGGGCTTCATCGCCTCCGAGACCGAGCAACGAAGGATATGTCTTTTTAGGAAGCCTCGAGGATACACAGGAATCGCATTCTTATAATGGCAGCTTGACCGAACGACCGTGGGCAAAGACTATTCTTGGTGATCGGGGCGCTGACAGTATTGGTCAGACGCAAATAGCCTAGAACTGAAAGCTCTAAAGACAAACTGGCATGTCTTTCTGCAGCGCCAGCGACATGTCCGGACTCGTCGTATGACCCCGAATATCGCGTAATTCTAACGGCCTCAAACCGTAGTACGACCTAACTCGAAGATTATTGCCGGTGGTTCCCGGAAGAAGACGAGGATGCCCGCAACGTTCCGCGCTGTTTCAGGAGGACCCAGGCTGGGCCAACAAGCGGGCGAAAACCTTTCCAGAATAAAACATTGAAGCTTGGTGCCAGTGCAGTCGCCTCAGCACCAACTTCCCACCCCAGATCGTACCACTAAACTCAAGGAGTGAAGTCTGTGAGGTCTGCGATAAGCCCCCAGTTCTGTAGCTTTATCACTGACAGTGTTCCAATACTGGGCGAGCAGTTGATTGTCATGGTGTGGTTCAAGTTATAACTTGAACTCAAGACTTTGAGCAATATTCGCAATATTTACATAAGCACCACTGTCTAAATTCATTATTTATTATTGAATGTGGACCTCCAACTCCTTCCTAGCGTGCCTCAAGCCTCAGGCCTGAAGCTTGAATGCCGTTCGTGTCTATCGACTTCTTCCTATTACTCCCTAGAGTAGTGGTCTCTGATCCGATGTGATGTGAACCTCTTGTTGTCGTTCCACTCGGAGTCTTCCGAGCTAATTATAATGGACAATTCACACTGTGGTACACGGCCATTACAGTGGTACTGGTAAGCAAGTCACAGCCAGGTTTCAATTTCTCATCATGCACAGTGATCATTCTACCAACATTCGAGGACTACCTAGAAAATGTATTGTAAGAACAAGATTTCATCAGCCCATCACTAGCAAGGCACTGATATGACTAAAAATATGCAAGTCTGTTCATGGTATCATTTGACAAAGTCCTGGCGCACTCTACTGAACAGGTTTTCAGCTTCAAATTCTTGCAATAAAGAATTACAGAGAACTCTGGAAAGCGCAAGAGTTTGTATCGAGTTGAATGTGTTTCAGTGCCACAAATCCGCTGACCGGTGGTGAGGCTTTGAAGCCTGTTTTGCCCCTGAACACAGTGTTACCGTGCATTTGATCGTCGTGAAGAAATACGGGAAAATCCATCATGTCGGCGCTTGTGATCTAGTTATAACGCGAGTACCTATCATTTCATCTGAATCCTGGCAGATCATGCACGCCAATCTTTACTCCCGCCTCGCCCAAGGAAGCACTCAAGCACTATCAACAGTCGCAGCATATCAAGCAAATTATCTCGCTACTGGCTTCTGGGGTGTGTATGGACCTGCATCGTATTATCCTGTAGCTTAATTCTTGTCAATCATATTCTTCCAGGGCTTCTCGTTTCCTCCATGTTTGATCGCCCCTACTTTATTCATTGTGCGGAACTGATTTTCTTCAAGATTGCTAGGATGCTCCTACGTACAATCTTACAATTATTTCCACAACTACAACGACAGGTGGTATTTGAAAACAATAGTAAGCTAATTCGCTTTTTTCCCTGTGAGGATAATGGTGTGATAACGCATTCCAGGTAATAATCATGTTGTATGTGGTTTCACCATGAAGTAAACATTCATACAATAATATTCCCTCTGCAGTATCATCTGCACGATGTCGTGGGCTTTTTTTGCGAAGACATCTTATTTCTATCTAGTAATACTTGCTATCACTTTTCTACTCTTATACTAAAAAATTATTTCAGATACAAAATTATGACGACCCATCCGATCTGTCTGCCCTGCTATGGTACTTGGACTTTTCCAACGTGGTCTCTTACTAAAATTATCTGTATTAGGGAGTATAGTGCAGAGACTGCGGTGGCATATGTGATCCAAACTCTGTAAGAAACGTCGCTCCACACCGTGTTTGCGCAGTTGTGCCTAACGAATTGTTCAGTGCACAGCTTTTCTTCGCGCACCAAATTTATTCTGGTCCGTTTGTCGACATCGAACTTCTCGAGCAGCTGATTCACTCTTTGATGCAGTCAGCAGCAAGAAATGGAGCTGGATGGTAGCATCCTTGATAGTGAGGCGACTTGTTTTTATCATCTGATGACAGCCGACTAGTTTGATATTTCAAGGTTCTGCTCGCGTTCACGGGACTCGGTGAGTGTTCCGAGACCACGCGAAAATATATCTCAAATTCATTATTTTCATAGTCTGCGGGTTGGGTACGCTGTTGATGCATCCATATCTGCGTGTGATCTTTGGGTGACTTTTTTGGCCGTTTAGCGTTGACGGTGCTCTTGGCAACACATACCGCCCTTGATTATGCCGAAACCAGACCAATCGTCGTGAGTGCTTTTGCCACAGACCTACAGGGCGTCATTTATTCTTCCGCCCGTGACATATGTAGATATTGGCCGATGTCTGTATGGTCATTCCAACCGCTTGTGACGTAACTGCAACAATTGCGATGTGGTACTTCCTTGACTTAGCTGGAAGAGGCGGAAACAAGTTAGTTTTTCTTCTCAAGTTGTCGACAAGGTTCATAATACTTTCATAATCCTGACATAAAGGATGAAATATACCATCAAGTCCCTAAAATTCTTGGTCCTCAACCGTGGCCTACTTCTTGTATCGATGCAATGTGCCATGCTCATATTGTGGATTGTGGCGGAGGATGCTTGGTATTGGTAGGTATTGTCTATGAAATGAAATGAGGATATGACCTTAACGGTATCGTAGGTTACCTTTCCACATGAACATGGTCAATATATACTTTAACACTACTTGTGAGTACATTTAGTCAAAGCAAGATTTTATTTCGGTGCTGATGATATTCCAGTGGTGATGTATATATGTCACAACTATCATGTATTCCACCTACTTACATTTCACGACGCTAGGTTAAATGAGCGGATCAGCATACGAGAGAAGGAGGAGAGGATCAATGCAGTGTCTTTCCAGGTGGCCAGTCACAACTCGTTCTCGCTGCGATTTAATCCCGTGAATTCTTATTTGCCGCAAAATATGACACAACTTGAAACCACGGAGGTAAGCATGGATTTGGCCAATGTTTATTTTGTTCTGTATTTTGAGACCTCCTATCAGAGAAGTCACGCTAGTGACCAATCGAGCGCTTCAAGCTTCGTCCCTGGAGTCGAAGTATCCGAGTCCACTCTTGAGGTACATGAGAGCCATGCGATAGCCGGAAGGCGGGTGTCCTCGAAGGAAACTTGATCTTTGCTCGTGTAACATGTGTGCAGCTTCTCTTTTGTAAGTTAGATGAATATATATATATAACAGACTGGCGAATTTTTATCGACCCTCGAGCCTTTATACATTGTCAGAAATATCAAAGATGCTGTAAACCACTTCGATGAGTTTGGGGGAAGGGATCTCGTCGTCTTGATTAAAGTTATTGACTGTTCACATCAAGTCGTGTAAGAGTGTGTTAGACGTTTGACAGCGACGTTCATAAAAGAAGCTGGTTAGCGTTAACACTAGAACGCATAGTCTAGTGCAAAGATCAAAGGTGAAACGAGAACGAAGTTAGTAGTGAGTCAATCATGTTATCTATTGAAAGTTTGTAAAACGTGACAACCATGACATCTCACCGCAAGCATATATGTTGTCAGATAAATATTGATGGATGATCGGCACGATGAGTACAAGATAAATATCAAGTGCACCAAAACATGTGCAACGCACGAGTGTTTAACATTGAACGCTACACCGACTGGGGGTGAGATATGAGCTTGCAAAGTGCTCTTTTTTTTGAGGGTGTCCAAACGATTGATCACCGTCACGGTTACTATGAGCCACGAGTGCAGATCAGTAATTTCAACGAACTTTAACACTACCAAGTGAAGAATGAGTCTTCTTAAATCAATCTATAGTTCAGTTGTGCTTATTGTCGCACCAGCACGCTATGAACACGGAAGAGTTACCAGGCCGTCAGCGTACATGGTTTGAACGGCTGGGTTTTTGTGATGGTTGGTCATTTTGTAGGTCCATGCTTGAGTAGAATAGCTTGCACTGAGAGTAGTAAATAAATGTTACAAATATCCAGAAAGCCCAGTTAAAAAGCTTACAACATGTAATCAGTAACGCAATGTTTATGAATTCGTAACCAATCAAAGTTATCCAAAGAGGTACTTCTAAGCTCGTTTCCGACGTTTGGTCTGCAATCCACGCGATGATCAGTACAAACACGTGATATTACTGACATGCCCTTAACAATGTGTACGCCGTTACTGTAAAAACAGGCCTAATCGATACAATCTCTTACGGAAGATGATAAGTGAAGGGAATTAGTCTATCTCCATGCCCATCGATCGACCCTCGCCTTGTACTAGTGCACTTCTTGCTTTGTTTCTGGCTAGAACGGGCACCTTGATTTTATCCATAGATTTTTCTGCCTCTGCCGATTCGACTGACATAGGCTCGAGGAGCTTAACAGAGGATTTGACCTCGGATATCTTCTTGCGATGTGCGCGATGTTTTTCTCGAGCGACAGCCATCCTATTACCACAAGTCGCTTCAGACACACTCGGAGTTAGGGTGACAAAACCAACTAACCTGTGTTTCCAGAATGCATGTTCTCTCCGCTGTCGAACCTCTCCGATGCGTTTCATGGCTTTGATCGTGGTCTGTACCAATTCTCTGTTGTAGCGTACTGGTACATTTCTACGCTTCTCAAATTCGATCGTAGAATCCTAAAGATAATCGAGGACAGTAATGTGGATTAGCGATGTGCCAGTATCGGAAGAATGAAAATCGTACGATAGTCATCTCCTTCCCAGCTGCCTTTCGGAACGCTTTTGTCCATCTCACTTTTCGTGGATTACGCTTCATCCTGATGAGGAATTAGCTATTGCGAGTAGAATAAGGAAGCAAAAGCACTTGAAGTTTTTGTGACATCTATGAACGCATGATGTGAGATAAATGACCTGCTAACGATAGCATGTACCCACTTTGATGTGCAAAATCGAAATACTTTGGCGTCGTTCCGGACAAAAGCACTCCCTGCAGATGGACGTTGGAGACCAAACGCCTGAGTAAAAAAGGGGACTCACCATGACCAGGGTATACATTTGTGGAACAGAAATAGCACTTTTCGATACGCATAGCTGTTTATGCGAAAGCTCCCAATTTTACAAGTGGCACTACCAGTACTCAGTCAAGATGGACGGTGGGCTGGAGAAAATGAGGGGCATCGGACCCCAGACACTTCCATATGGAGAGTCCGCGCCTTCCCAAAAGGTCTGACTAGTATTTTCGTAGACTTCAATCTTGGACGCGTTCACCTCTGCAATCCACCATCGCAGCCCACCAAACCAATATTCACCATGCAGGCAGGCGGTCAGACACCCGTCTTTGTTATGAGTACGTCTGCACTATATATCGTATCCAGACGAGTCTCATATCTGACATCCACAAGACTCTGCTCCGGAGAGACAGTCTGGGCGAAAGGCCCAAGTCTCCAACATCACTGCAGCAAAGGTACAACCGATCGCGAAGACATAGCTTTCTCTGTATAGTCAGCTTATATTCATGTTGCTCCTTCTTTCAAGACTATCGCAGATGTAATCCGAACGTGTTTGGGCCCAAAGGCCATGCTCAAGATGATCTTGGATCCAATGGGAGGTATCTTGTAAGCCGATCGCGAGTAGACCATGTTTTCTGCTGTTAAATTCCGTCCAACAGACTCACCAATGATGGGAATGCCATTCTTCGCGAAATTGATGTAGCTCATCCCGCCGCAAAGAACATGATCGAGCTCAGTCGGACCCAGGACGAGGAATGTGGGGATGGGACGACAAGCGTCATCATTCTAGGTGCGATATAATTTGTTCTTCACTCAGTTTCTCTTCGCTACTTATAAAGTCCGTGTACTTCATTCTCGATATCATCAGCTGGCGAAATCCTAGCGCAATCTCTTTCACAACTCGAGCGCGATATTCATCCTGTCGTGATCATCTCCGCATACAACAAAGCTCTCAAAGAAGCACTCGAAATCATCAAACGTATTTCCATCCCCATCGACACCTCTAATGATACGGAAATGCTATCCCTCATCAAAACGTCCATTGGCACTAAATTCGTCATGCGTTGGTCAGATCTCATGTGTCAACTTGCTCTCCAAGCCGTTCGAATCGTCGCAAAAGAAGAGGGAGGTTTGAAAACCGTCGATATCAAGCGCTACGCACGTGTCGAAAAAATTCCTGGTGGTGAGATCGAAGAGAGTAGAGTTTTGGATGGAGTGATGCTTAACAAAGACATTACACATCCGAATATGAGGCGACGGATCGCCAATCCGAGAATCATCCTCGTTGATTGTCCGTTAGAATACAAGAAGGGAGAGAGTCAGACGAACATGGAATTCTCAAAAGAGACGGATTGGCAGCGTGCCCAGCAAGTCGAAGAAGAACAGGTTATTGCGCAGTGTCGACGACTCCTCGAATTCAAGCCTGATTTAATCATCACGGAGAAAGGCATATCTGGTAAGTTGAGAAATCTCGATATACGTTGTTCATATCATCTTATGTTGTGTTCAAGACACTGCCCAACATGTTTTCGAGCGTGCAAACGTTTCAACCATCCGCCGTGTCCGAAAATCGGATAACAACCGTGTCGCTCTCGCTGTTGGTGCTACCATCGTGAACCGTGTCGAAGACCTGAGGGAAACCGATGTTGGTACCCAATGTGGTCTTTTCAATATCGAAAAAATAGGAGACGAGTACGACTCTCATCCCGTTTTATAGTTTGATTGCTCATATTATTACTCGTCACCACCAGATACTTCACCTTCCTTACCCAGTGTGCTACACCAAAAGCATGCACCATCCTCCTTCGTGGACCTTCCAAAGACATTCTCAACGAAGTAGACCGTAACCTTGCCGATGCCATGTCCGTTGCGCGTAATGTTGTCTTTAACCCATTACTAGCACCGGGAGGTGGTGCAACGGAGATGGCGATTAGCGTCGGACTGCAAGCCAAGGCACGCAGCGTCACGGGCGTTGAGGGCTGGCCATTCAGAGCCGTGGCGGATGCCATGGAGGTCATCCCGCGTACCCTTGTGCAGAACAGTGGAGGCAATGCTATAAGGATTTTGACGGAGTTGAGGGTGAGCAATTCCTTGTACTTTCCCCCATTAGCTGGATACTTTTCCTGACAAGCTTTTAGGCGAAACATGCGAATGGTGAATCATCGTGGGGTGTGAATGGCGATACAGGCAAGATTGTTGACATGAAAACCTATGGTCTCTATGAGTCTGCCAGCGTGAAAGTAAGTAGATGCTTCCTCTGTTTGTCAACCGCGCAATTTACGCTGTTTTTTTTAGATACAAATTCTCAAAACTGCGATTGAGGTATGATCTATGTTGCTCTAAGTTTTACACGCACCTTACGTATTTTTGCTCAGGCTGCGCGCATGCTTCTGCGGGTAGACGATGTTGTTCAGGCGACTCGGAAAGACAAGGAGCAGCAACAGCAAGCACCTCCTCCCGAAGAAATGATGGAAGGTTAAAACAAAGAGTAAGCTGATATTGGTAGTATAGATAGGCATCTGTGAATCACAATCAAGTGATTCCTAAAATCATCTCTAATATTCCATTAAATAACGCCGCCGATAAACGATCCATCGCTAGGACTTCCAAGTAGTGATACCAGAGCAAAACGGTCATAGCAGAAAACAAAATTCAGAAAAATCCAGCAGTGGGGGTACAGTATTAACATTTGATGAAGTTGCCAACGATCATACTCGGGATACCCCACTTGTCGCGGCGTATGGTGAAAGAGAAACAGCAGCTGATAAAACCCTCTTCATTGGGCAGCTCTTGCTGTTTCTTGCTGCCACGAACGACAGACGAAGCAGCAGCCTCGGAATGTGTGTTAATCAGAGGCTTGAACCGCAGGACACATGATGTCAGGACAGCCTTTTGACTAGAGTCAAAGGCGACATGACCGTATTTCTGAGGAAACAACCGTCAAATAAATGGCGTGAAGATCTTAACTCTCCGTCACATACCTCCCAGTAGTTGACAGCAGACTCTTCTGCCATGAGCTCGTATATGCAGAGGCGTCCCTAGTGCACATCAACACTCTTGGTCAAACATGCATAAAAAAACGATAACTTACGTCGCGCATCATATATCCGTCCACACCAACAAGTTCAGTAAACTCACGGTTGCCCTTGTAGATCTCCCCTGTCCTGCGCCATAAGCAAGCAGGTACTCCCATCGCAGAAAATACGCGATCATAATCTAACAAAAGTCGCTCAAATGCTTCTTCGATAAATACGAGGTCCTGTGTTCCAGTTTGGCGCTTGTAAGACTAGGCAGGTCATTAATCATCTGTGATAATGTAACTTACTATATCTCTTAAAGATTGCGCAACAGCCTAGAACAATATAAACGGAAAATGCTCTTGTCAGTTTGCCTATAGGATGCTTACTCGGAATTTCGGACGCAACACCGAGAGAGGTTGTAAGATTTGTTGCTTTGACTGCTGGGAGACGCTGTTACATAGACGGCATCAACGACACGTTGGAAAAAAGCGAGGCAGTCAACTTACTTCCGATCCATCCACCGAGATAACCGCGCATAGCCTTTAACGTAATTATAAGGTTTTAAGAGGCCTGCCTCGTATTTACTGCGGATGACACGACTCAGGCGCTCGTCACGCGATCCAGACTCTTGGTCGGCAGCGGTGAGCAGGAAACGCTCAGTCTTCGTGGCTGAAGGAAGAAGATTGGGGACGGGTTCGTTGGCAGGTTTTTCTGGTTGCTCAGCTTGCTGTGCGGCTGAATCGGGTGGTAGAGTTTCAGGTATGTAATTATTTTCCACTGCTGTCGTTGGTGTAGGGAAGGATGGGGCAGACATGAGAGAAGGAGCAACAGTAGTTGGTGGTGGAGTGAAGAAAGAGCCTTCGTCCAAGGTTTCCAGGAAATCACTGGATGAAATGTTGTCCGCATGACTTAAGCATCGAGCCATGAGTACATAATAACCCAACATACGTTAGCACTGAGAACTCGTTGCCCAAAGTCTCTGGCTGATACAGAAATGCACCCTGAGGGACACTCATCGGCCAGGCAGAATTAGGAGGCATTGTGGTGGCATTATACATAGGTTCTGTGGGTCTCCGTATGAACGGATGTAACTGGATAGAGAAAGCTTGGCGTACGAGTCATGGACCTTGACACGTCAAGACTATTCTGTTGCATCATTCCATGTTTTTCTGCGTTCTTTGGTGGCCTACGTTCGTCGTGACAGAGATGGCCTATTTCTCGTTTGATGCTGAAAGAAAGGAGGTATACGCCGTTGCACGATTCGGGTGGCATGAGAACAGGGACTGGCTCACCAGCGCTGACATGGTCTTCCCTCGTCGCATGTCATATGGCTACGACGACAATATAAACACGCATGGTTTACTTTCCTACGTTTCGTGGTTTTCTTTTTCTTGTTTGTTCCGTCATCCTCCAGGCCTTGCGGTTCAGTGTCGTGAAAAGTAGCTGTGGACGAGAGCCTTGGATCGTGAGGAATGGCCTGTGGATCGACATAACCAGGCTGGATTGTATAGCTTGCCATGCTACTTTTCCATATATCCAAGGTATGATGTTAGAATAGAATTGTTGTCGATGTGGTTGTTGGCGACGGGTTTGCAGTTATCTGTCACTCGAAGGCTAATTTGGACAGGCTCGTTATTTGAGCGGACACAGAGACCCCGAACACCACCAGAACATACACCAACTTGAATTTCATTGTCTCAAAAATCGCAGGAAAGAAAAGGTAGGCAGAAAGCATAGTACGTTTACATGGAATAAAAATCGGATAAAGAGAGGGAGGGGAGGAGATAGTACATAGGTGCGTCAGTTATCTAACCGTGTCAGTATCTTATCGAAAGAAGTTGCCAAGGTCCTCTTCAAACTGTTGCCGAAATATATCATCGAGATGCCAGTGAGCCTGGGGCCAAGTTCTTTAGTCGCTTCCAAAGCGCCAATAGTCAGGCTTTCAGCCCTTGTATCATCGCCGGTCCGCTCAAGTTATCGAGAGGGCTGCCAGAGAAATTGTTGATCTGAGATACTGTTGGAGGCTGCTGGTAATAAGGTTGTTCATCTGATTCGATATTGTCCTTGAACCACTGCATGGAAAAGAAGACATTCAAATGTTATCCGAATGGATTGTAAATAGATCTTACCTTGACCAAGAATTTCGCAGACTCTTTAGGGTATCGTTTTTGGGTCTCATAGTCGACGTAAGTCACACCGAACCTTGTAGTGTACCCATCAGCCCTGTGAAAGTACGTGAGCATAACAATTCACCACCCATCCTATGAGAGTTCTGATACCATTCGAAGTTATCTAGGAAACCTGAAAGATAGGAGTTAGTTTATATCGGTCAGAGGCTGGTTACGATCATCCGGACTTACTCCAAGGGAAATATGCTCGAATATCGACCCCATCTTCGAGTACCGCTCCGATCAAGGCGCTCGTGGTTCCTTTAAAATATTGCACACGGTCGTGGTCGAGCAGCGCTTGTTCTATAGGCTTGCTATTCTCATCTTTTACAGCGAAGCCGTTCTCAGTGACGCTGTAAACTTCGTGTCAGGGAATGTATCACTTATTGCCGAATAAACCCACTAGATCGGCATGCGGTACCGCTGTGCAGAATCTGATCAGTATATCAAGTGATTTCATATAGAACACAATATCTCACTTTCCAGAGATAGCTGAGCAGCTTTGAAATAAGGTCAGTTTGTACACGCATAGACCTCGTCTATGGAGACTTACATCGCGGAAACCTTGGGGATCTAGCACGTAAAATTGGTTAGAAGGCGTCAGCTAACATGGAGCATGATGATCTTACAATCTTGCAACCAGGCACAATGCGCTAGAACAAGCTAACCGTGAGCACCAGCATTGCGCTCGTAACCTTACAAACTACCCACCCTGAGTTCCCAGCTGAGTCCCATCAGGTCTTATGAACGTGTACTCTGTGAAACCCTGGAATTCATCATCGCCTCCCGCTCCTGTCAAAATATTCCAGAATCAGAACGCAGACCGAGAGATACCGTGAAATACTTACTGCACAAGTTTGTCGTGTATGTGTTCATACCATAAAAGTCTGACGATCCCTTGACGACTATCAACTCTTCCTGCGTGAACTCGGGAAGCCGATCCCGAAGCGTCTGCTTCATGTATTCGGGATAATGACCTAGATAAATGGGGTCCTTGAAAGATATGACATTAGTTAGAATGTCCTTGGTCATATGATCAAAACATGGCTTGATCAGTGGCCATGGCGTACCGCGAACCATCCTGTAACAGATAACAGACATGAGCCACGGCCCGATACAGAGAATAAGGTCCGAAGTCACCGATTGCGAAATCAAGAGCGTGCTGAGCTGCTTCCACGTCTGAGAAGATATTTAGAAGAACTAATTCGGGGCCATCAAATAAATCCCATACTTTGTGGATTGTCGTCATAGGGCATTGCCCAATCTCCATTAAGGGTAATACCAATCTGACCCCCTTGGGCCGACTTGAATTCCTCCCGATACAACTTAACAGCATAAGCGTGCGATAGAATGACGCTGTGCCCCGCACTGTGGGGTACTTTGTGTTCAACTTTTACGCGCAGAATGGATTCTTGAGGTGAAGGGACACTCACATCCACGGTTCGGTGGAAGAATCACCTTCGGGAGATCTGTCCCGATCACTTGATCTTCCGGGTGCGAATACCCCACGCCCATACCCTAGAATCGATATACACCACGGCTCATTCATGGTGAGCCTACAAACACGTGATCAGTATGAGAACCACATCTCCCTGGGCGCCGCGGAAGGCTCACCAATGTTTGACTCTGTCTCCAAACGCCTCGAAGCAAACCTGTTGGGACCGGGGTAAGTAATCAAACTATATATGGTCAACGTCGAATAACTTTCCCTAGAGTAGCGCACGTAGTCCTGGACGATTTCATCCTTGTTCAACCATCCGCCGTATCTTTCATGTAAGGCTTGAGGAAGATCCCAGTGATATAGAGTCTGGAGAGGAGTCAAGAGAGGATCGAACAGTAATGTATAGCGACGTACAACAAAAGGGGTGATGCCATTTTCAATAAGAGCATCAATAAGCTTCGAGTAGAATTCGATACCCTTGGGATTGACAGGGTCATTTCGACCGCCAAGGGGGATGACGCGAGACCAAGCTATGGAGAACCGGTACGATTTGACACCGTACTGGACGAGCAGGGCAAGATCTTCTTTCCATAGTCTGTAAGAATCGGTGGCGATATCTCCGTCCCTGCCATCTAAAGTCTTTCCCGGCTGCTTCGAGAAATCATCCCAAATCGACTTTCCTCGCCCATCAACATTGGTAGAACCTTCAATCTGGAAGCTTGCTGTAGGAGTGTGAATAGTATACCCAGCGAGCGAAGCAGGCAGCACATCAGCTTAGGGGGTCACTGAGAGATGAAACCAATTCGCGACTTGCCTGTTGCAAAACCCCAGATAAAATCTTTGGGCAGCTTGGAAGCGACTTCGTTAGACATAATAATTGTCGTAAAATGGGAAGGGAGAAAGTAATTCGCGGGATGATCGTGAGGTATTCGTCAGCGGATCCATGAGTCCTCTTAAACCAACGCAGTACCGATATCAACATGTTCCTGAGACGGCAATTCCTGGGCTCCAGCAGCCGAGAATAGTCCGCTGGAGGCAATGGGAAGATGATACAAGGTCCACCTGCGATACTGTCAGAAATTTGCGAAAACATTAGCGAAAGACTAAAAAAACTGAGCCAAAAAAGGTCATGAATATCGCTGCTATTGGATAGAAGCCATCTAAACGCAGATACGGAAACACACCATAGATTGCCCAACGTTTATTTCAGGCCCGGTCAGAATGCCCATAACGCAGTGTTGTTCATGTGTTATCCGACATTTCTCCGCACCACACCTGAGACGGTTAAAAAATAAAGCACGGGCTCTGGCAGAAAAAGACATATTCTGCGATCCATCTCCTTGTCTCTCACCTTCACAAAGTGTTGCAAATCTGTGTAAAATCCTAGTTTATAATGTCTGCTGCCTCAAAAACTGGAGTTGCCATCCTGGACCCCAGTGTCGCCCGAAAAGAAGGTGCATTCTCCGAGCCTGTGGTTACATCCATCCGAATATTCACCTTATCTATTAAACAGCCCATGTACCATCTCTAGAGACGCTTGGCCCATTGGCACCTACCGTCAAAGCAGTGTATTCGCGGTCTGAGAAGAGCGCTCGTGAATTGGCAGACGAAGTCACCAAAAGATTAAACACCAAACCCGGCGTCTATCATGATAGCGATCCAGCATCTAACCTCGACGCTCTTTTGGCTAGGGCCGATATCTCATCTGTTATAGTTGTCCTCCCCATTACACAACAACCATCAATCATCCTGAAAGCGTTAGCTGCCGGAAAGCATGTGCTCAGTGAAAAGCCTGTTGCTCCTGATGTTGCTTCCGGTGCGCGCTTGATTGCAACTTACAACGCAGAGTACAAGCCCAAGGGTTTAGTTTGGAGAGTCGCGGAAAATTTCGAAGCTGAGCCAGGATATATCGCTGTTGGCAGAGCCATTCGTGCTGGAAAGATTGGAAAAGTGGTCTTCTTTAGCTTGCGGGTCGTCAACTACATCGATCAAGAATCCAAATGGTACAAAACGCCGTGGCGTACAATCCCTGATGTAAGCCTATATTCGTCTTTGCTGAATGTTCTTAATGTTGACGGGTTCGCTGTGTCTAATCAGTACCAAGGGGGTTTCTTGGTAAGTAACGTTTCTGGGGTGGGAATTTTTATTCTTTGTTACTGACACCCATTCTCACGTCAACTAGCTGGATGGTGGTGTGGTAAGTTCTGTTACACAATCCTCGCAAAAACCACGGTTCAGTAGTTTTACAGCATTCCACAGCATCACTCAGAGTCATGCTGCCCAGCTCTTTGACTCACCTTTCGGGGTTTGCATCGCTTAACAAGGATTATCTTGCTCCTCACGACACCATCAACACCATCCTCAAAGCTGCAGATGGCTCTCATGGAATTTTCGAGCTGAGTTTTGCAGCGCCATCCGCCTCGCGTTCATCCATAGGGAACGGAACCATCATTACTGGTACTGATGGCTATCTCACCGTTGCGCAAACGAAGGTGCAGGATCCTGTGACAGGAGGAGACAAATCCGTTTTCCGTGTTACCATAAAATCTGTGAAAACAGAAAACGGAAAAGCTGGGCCCGAGAAAGAAGAGGTTATCGACGAAGCGGTCAGAGGTGTAGAACTCGAGTTAGCAAGCTTTTTCGCGGCAGCATTGGAAGGCAAAGATGACGGCCTTGGTGATCCGTTAGGAGCTTTGAAGGATGTGGCATTGATCCAGGCTGCGCTGAATAGCGAAGGAAAACTTGTGGACCTAGAGAATTTGGTCCAACAGTCCTAAAAAATCATGGCACTGCGAAAAAATGAATTTCAGAAATCAGAAGTATAGGAAACATTGTATATTAGGTTGTACATTTACGCACGTCAACATCTTTATTATTGCGTCTTTGGTGCCTTGGAGTTTTTCATTTCAATTTAGGAGAGCTCAGTATAGAGTTTCACAGGATAAACAGAAATGAAGGGTATATACTCGAGAGTTTTCAGCAGGGTCGATTCACACGATGCATCACCACAACTGCGACCAGACAATGCAAAGGGGGTAGCACTACACGGCGTTTATAGGATGAACACAGTGTTCTTGAAGACATCAACCTGTGTAACTTTATAAACAACAACAATAAAATAAAATAAAGACGCACCCTGGCGAAAAGTAGTGCTGAAACACGCGGATAGCGTCTGCAGTCGGACAACACACAAGCATTCCCGATTCCGGCGGCTTGTGAGTAGTTGAAAATTACATGCCTCCTCCGGGAAAATCGCAAATTGTAGCGTCAATGTGTTGTATTCAACGCAAAACACGAGATACGGTTGATGATATTCAATTCATATCAAGGTAAACACATACCCTGTACCGCAGCTGAGCATGTAAAACATCAACTGGACCAACAAACATTCGTAGGTGTTCTTGCAAGCTGAGGATAACAGCACTTTCAAAACTAAGAGTGTTCTCAAAGATACGATATTACCACATCGACTATGTATGCGGCGACTGATGCGTCACAAATACAAGTGCTTGACACGTATCCACGTGTTCTCATAATAACTTGTGCATTTAGTAGAGTGATGCAATAAGAACGTAGAGTTATGAATGTACAGACGATAAGAATTCGACCACTTTTTTTGGTCACCAAACTGTAGCCCAACACTGAGTTATCACTATGCATTAATTGCTAATCCATCGTATAGTAAAAGGGAAGAAAGTAAGGTTACATATGTCAACACGCCCCACTGGTGATGATAATGTTGGCCGGAAGACGTAAATGAAGGTCGGTGAATATCTTGTACAATGCATCTGAAGAGACACCATAATCAACGAGGTACTCGGGGGTTACGCCCCATCCCAGGAGATCGAGAACAACAGATTTGGCACGTTCGAATTCCTCTGAAGATACTGGAAGCCATATTAACGAATCTGATGGGATAAGAGATATTATATCTCACGGGATGCTGCTTTAGATTGGTGTGCATCGGCTGGACTAACAGGGCCTTCAACCGGAGAAGGCAGCCCCGAACATGTTGGGGAGGTGGAACTTTGCTGGGTCCCTGCTGTCACAGGCGTAGAGGCAACTGCGGAGTTGTTTTCTTCAGTGATTTCCCCATCTTCGAGAGATACTTTGTCTATGTTGGTGGTTATGGATGGAGTAGAGAAATCGAGTTGTTCTTTTGTTTCTTGCTTTGAGCAATAGTCGGCTACGGGTGCTCCAGCAGTGATGGGCATGACGATCTATTGATACAACACAATTTATATGATGACAGACGTTGAAAGAGAGAAAGAGAGAGGGTTGAGGGGTATCGACTACAATAGACGTGACATGAAGTTGGTTGTAGTTCAAGTTCAAAGTTTCTGCATGGATGTGAGGGTCACGTGAAGCCGTAGTATACACCCCGGATATCTCCGGATCTACTTGCCTTCTCTGAATCACTGGATTCTAAGTTGTACTACGTTCATCTATCACTATTCGAATTCAATTTCAAACGAAATACGAAAGTAACAGCGAACTCAGGGATCTTCTGAAACTCCAGCTGCTGTAACTTGCTCCCTCCATGTTGGAGCAGGATACTCAATGTTGTGCGGTAGTTAGTTAGAGTAGCGAAACCACAAGTCATGGCAGCTTTAGTGTCTCCGATGAAGTTGTGGTTAGTTTAGCCGTAAAGTCTGAATACCAGTGAGCTCGCCCTCAAGCTTTATATACATAGTCCAGCTTTGATTTATCTTCGTTATTCGACCTATTCTCGTTTGCTGTTCATGGTTATTGACATGGCTTGTCTATCATACACAGGTCCTCGGGATGGTCGATTTATATTGTGTCCCGAGTTACTGGAACCGCCCTTTTTTATTGGCTTGACGTTCACGCAACTCCGGGTAAAAACTTTAAGAACTTCTCAGATGGTGGCCCACGGTGTGCCTAGCAGTGCAATTGCATAATAAACAAACACGCGTATTCTCATCATCTCTTCCATGACACTCGTGGCTAGAAATTCCGCGTATCTCTTGCCAAACTTCATTACTGTCACTTTGCTGGCGAGTATTAGATAAATGATTCCGCCTTACTGTAGAGCCGTTTCTACCATGAGAAACTCGCACTGACTGCACGATAATCGCCAGATTCATCAAGAAAGCCAATGATAAACTCTAATCGCAGCCGAGTGATACGGATAGTGTCAGGTTAAGATATATGATAGCTGTGGTCATTACGCCTTTACCTACCTATCGACGCTGTATCACTTGGTCATACGGTGGCCGGAGAAGTTCAGGCATTCCCGTTCATTCGGGTTCTCGCTAGCTCCGATCTTAAAGTAAGTGGGATCGGTTTCAAAACCTAATACTTCGATTTCTCATTAGATTCTTCTGTAGAGTGCATCGGGTTCAGCGTATAAAGACGCCCTTTCATATACTCTACGCTTTGATATTCTTTTCCTTGTATCTGTCAGGCATGTTGCAACTGGGAGCTTCAATAGCCCCTGCACCAATTTATCATATACCACGAACTTATAATGCTCACCCCGGGTCAAAATACATGTTACCTGCGGATGAGGCTGAAGCTGAAAGGCATGCCTGATTTCCCTCTAATTCAGATTTGACTCACGATCGATCTTTAGGTTCGCCCTTCAACATCAAATGTTCAAACGGCTTTTCGGAGGGCGACTTGTTTATCCACCTCTGACACTGTCTTCAGGAGATGAGATATTAGATAGTGGGACTGGATCATGTAAGGTCTCGACTTCCCTGCTTATTTTCGCGATCATTTCATGTCACATGAACCAGCCTCGTGGTTGCTAGATTGTTGCGATAGCATACAGGGAGAGGATATCACATACTACGCCATTGATATTTCATCGAAGTTGTTTCCCCCTATCAATAAGAGGCCCAGAAATACACATCATTCTGTTGTGTCCGCCACGCATCTTCCAGCGCAGTGGAGCAACAAATTCACCCTGGTCAATCAGCGTCTCCTCATAGCGGCTTTACAGATACCAGAATGGGAGGCTACGTTGAAAGAAATCTATCGTGTTCTCATTCCTGGTGGCTGGGTGCAACTTCTTGAGCCCAGTTCGCAGATTCTATCTGGCCCTCTGACTGTAAAGCTCACAAACCTCCTCAACGATCTGTTCACTTCGCGAAATATGCTTTTTGATATCTCCGGCCATCTGCCTCAGATGATGGTCAACGCAGGGTTCAGGAATCTCCACGCCGAGATAGTGGATATTCCTTTCGGAAAGTGGGCTGGACAAGATGGCGTAGATGGGCGTGATGATTTTATGGGTGCGTTTAGGGGGTTAAAGACGCCTGTCCTTCTGGCAGGTGGTCTCGGATATGTAGATTCGGAGGCAGAGTTCGATGGTTTTTTTGACGCACTCGAGAAGGAATGGGACACGATTCCGGGCTCTGGCCTCCAAGGATGTCTATTTTATGCACAGAAACCCTGTGTTTGATATAGTTTGCAGCCAGTTCTCGAGCTCTATGGCGCTTACCACCTTGACAATATGATGTGAGTCCCATGGCTCAAATCAGAAGCTCGCAGATCTCCATGATCGCTATCGATGGTAAGAAATCGCCGTCTGGGCATATAATGTCAACAAGCTGATCATGAAACGATGGAATTCTGGACCGCTATTCTGGGTTCACCGCTGCCTGATCAAGTTATACTTCGATAGTGGCGGCTTCCATGTGTCACGATGGGTTCGATTTTCACCGACACTATTGCCGTGGTGCACATTTTTAGCAGTAAGACCGGTGAGTGCAACTTAGTTCTCCTATGCCAACCTTACCGGCGACTGGAGCATTCATCCTACGAGCTACAGCCCGTGGTTTTGAACAGAAAGCCTCAGTTGGAGCGGAATCACTGAATCATATTAAGCGTGTGTTTACCTAGAAAAGAAAGGTAGATATAACATCAGAAATAAGATATATGTAATAGATAAAGATAAGACTACCTTGTGTCCGAAAGGAATCAAGGGGAGGAAGAAAGCCCAGCGCTCGAGCGAGAATGAGATGTGACTTGAGCTGATAAGATCACATGGTTACAATGGAAAGTTACTAACACATTCTAGTTGACTCATAAATACTAACAGTACATGTTATTGAAGAAAAATGAAATGGAAAAAGGAAGGAGGAGAAACATAATTTATTCCGCCACTTTTGCCCCTACATCCTAGTCACTGATTTGGTTTGACCTGTAACACCAATGTCAACGAATGCAATCATATATCCCTATCAAATTCATTGACCACTTACCTGTTCATTATTTTTGACTGTAACCTCTTTTGCATCGAGTGAAATAAATTCGACGTTCCTATGTTTGTTTCCTGGGTAAATAGCAGCCTGACCCATCCTGACAGGTAAAATGCAGTGCAATTTGTGACTCGCACTGTCCAAGGGACAATCCTCCATAATTTCACATGAAGGACGTCGTGCATTTAACACCATCATGAGGGCATTTGTATAAAGGCCAACTAGCGTGAATTCAATCCCAACATACCACAAATTATCAGGACTGATAGCAATCTGACCAGGATTGTTAAACGGCGCACACCATAGCAAAGGTAGACTTACTGCTAGGACCATGGCAAAAGTAGTCAGTCTTGATCCAAATTGATCACTCAGTAGTGTCATCACAACGGAGAAACTGATTAACATACGATGTTACCAGACCTCTGCCTACAGCGTAAAGCATCAAAGCCTTGATGAGATCACGTGTCCTATTCAATATTTAGCTTTGTATCTCACTGAAGCAGGAAGTCTTGTTTACTTCTTGAAATACGTGTGTTTTGTATAAAGAAGAACACACATGGAGGCCGCAATCAATGCATCTGAAACGGTTTGAAATACTAGCGCAGGAAAAGTTGTGCTATGCTGTGATAGAAATAGTTAAGTGTAACAGCGAGCTTTACAAAAAATCATCTTACAACAAATCCTATCTCATCTTCACCATTTGATATCAAGAACCTATCGAAGTTTTAAGTTTAAAGCATCTTTTTAACGAGTGCATATCACGTACATGCGCACACAGGCATCTGTAAGCAATTGTGACAATATAAGCACTGATAACAAAATTATCAAAACCAACAAACTCAATTTAAAAGCTTGATTGACCATGTGTCCCATTAGTGAGCTACAGGTTACGCTCGAAGGAGGGTTGTGCTTACTAAAAAAAAAGCACAACAGGGACTGCCTGAGGGAACACATGAGTTTTCAGTATAAGCGACTAAATAATAGATCACGGACAATAGCTCCTGTCAACCACCAACGAAACTTCCTTTTGCTGCTTACTATAGCATATATTAGTCTGGGAAGTAATTGTTTCGACGAACGCACACTGAAAGATTATCTTGATATAGTAGCTGAAAATACTGAGATATAGTAACGGTAGGATAACCACATTAGAGTACTCACGACATGACAATAGTAGCTACCATGACCTTGTAAACATAACTGAATCAGTCAAAGCTTGAATCAAAACCAACAGTGGCAACCAACATAAAAAAGAATAGTCAACTGCGTTATAAACGTGAATAACTGACAAAAAAACACGATTCATAGAACATACGTTAAGTGACCTGGCATATTTAAAAATCAAATAAAGTACTGCGTGTCATAGATAAGAACGTACCACACATTACGCAAAAGTATGCTAGGCTCTAGGAGTGCCACTATCTGTTTAGCAAGGGATATAATCAAAGAAATCCTTTAGAAGTGCTTTAGAAGTGGAAACAAACCACATGATAGTAACATGAGTGACAAACTAGAGTATCTGTTACCATATGTATTTATGCGTAGATGAGAGGTACTCACCGACAACAGCATGTGCCGTATTCAGCACACTAGCACCAGAAACAACATAAGATTATGTTCAAAATAATATATCAGTGACCGGAACATACAAAAGCAGTACAACCTAGAAGTACAACCAAAGTCATTAGTGATGATGCTGGCCATCCATCTGGGAATGCGAACACACCAGTGATCTCGTCCATTGGCTATCATTTGGATATCTGTCCCAGTATAGGTATGCCTGTGTTGGTGTGAAGCAACGTACTGACAACTCGAAATTTGCGACTCGCCTGCGTGGTAGTCAGCCCGTACAAACCGATAGCTACCCATGAGCAAATTAGCAGAGCGCCTTATAAACAGATTCAGCAATAGCCAGGTTGAATCCAACAAAGGAATCTACCATTAGCGTTGATCGCCGGGACCAAGGTGCTCAAGGGAAGTGGAGTGGTTGCAGTTGGCATGTTCGGTATGGGCTGAGAGATAGCTGGCAAAGCCTAGGAATATATAAAGCCTAATGGCCAACTCGAAACTCCTAGCATCATGTCAGTGGTGAGCTAGCAGATGTGATGGCCGCGTCTGGTTGGGTCAGCAGGACAAAATTCGCAGTGGCTTTGCACAGGACACGGAGGACACGATCACCGGAAAACATTATACATACCGTGACTCCGCATCTACATGTCATTTTGTCGATGGCATCGTTCTACAAATGTTTCTGTCCGTAAATAAACCAATATAATGATCAATATTGCAGTGACTTTGCACAGATCATGCCAAAGCAATGCATTGTGATCATGGTCATGATGAGGCTCAAGCTTAGGCGCTTCAGTTGATCAAGTTAGTCCGAGTCTAAGCTAGCTTCTGTATCATATTACAGTTGGTCCGAGTCCTGCGTACGTCCATTCGGTGACGCTGTGACAATGTAGAGTACACACCACTCACTATGGGGCAGTCAGCGCTAGCACAAGTCAGATTCATGACTTGCCGTGATACAAAAATTAACTACATATTCGTTTACAGTCCTTGATATCGATATACTGAGCCGTACAGCGCTCCAAGTGGGAAGCTGCGCCAAAAATAATAATACAGGAGATCAGTGTTTAATTATGCGTTCTGACTTATCATTCGTCTCGCAATCTTGACCACATCCTCGAAATTTCGATGAAGTTGTCGTCTTTTGGCATAGTCCATTGCCTTGCTTTGCAAACACTCGAGTAAATCAGGTTCACTTCCGAGTTGCGTCTCCAAAAATGCTACAGCAAGCGCCGTCGCCCAAAGTGTCTCTTCCACATTTAGCTCCGCACCTTTGCGTGCTGCATCGTGCCCGACTATAGTCGCAAAGTTGTTTGAAAGTGTGAATGATCCATCAAAGTTCTGCAGCTGGAAAAGTTCGTATACGGTGGAGGGAATCGGCGGAGGTGCTGTAGAAATGAGAGGTACAGTCCCACTGATGTCAAACGCGGGTGAAGGGCTGCGATCAGGCAAGTTCTCAAGTGGTGGAGGAGGGCTTGGTGTGCGGGATCGCGTCCAGCGTGAACTAGAAGAACCTTCTAGCGAACTGAGCGTCGAGAACGTATATATGCTGTCGTAATCAGACTCTTCACGGCTGTGCCGCCTGCGAGGCTCATCTACACTAGACGAAGAGGCAGCAGCGGGGACAAATGAACCTGGAATACCTGAAATGTCGTCTTTCATTGTTTGATATGTCATGGGGGGCTGGGGGAAGTCGAATACGGAGGAGACCACTTGGGATAACCCTTGTATTACACTGTCGAATATGCCATACCCATTCTGCGACGAATCTTGTTGTTGTGTTCGCCGAGAAGACGTGGCAGACGAATCTCGACGCCTCCTCCCCCTTTCAGCCTCTTTCCCCGTCTCTACAGCGACGAAAGATGTGTATTGGCTCAAAAGCTGATATCTCAAGCCCAGGCGCACGATAGCGGCCTTCTTGATTACGTCGCCACTCGGAGCAATACCGACTACTGCAGGCAGGGGAGCTCTATCATCCTCCAGATCAGTGATGAGACGTCGGGCTGCGAGGGTGTGGATGAGAGGCACATTGGTTTTTGCATGCTTGAATCGCTTGACCTCGATTACTGGGACAATCAGATCTACTTCGTCAAACTCGCCTTCAATTTTGGCACACAATTTGACCTCTGCAGGAACTGTACTATATGTTGTAATAGCAAACACAATGAAGCGCATCCCAGGATATATTTTCGTAATTTGGTATGGAGCTTGCTGGATCGTCGGGGGAGGCACGAGTTGTACCATACTGGTACTAGCGCTAGATATACCAGTCCTCGGTTCAGAGAAGCTGACACTAGGGGGTGTCCCAGAACCATGCCAGTGGACCGATATGTGTTCGATAAGGCGTGTCCGCCCCGCTCTGAGGAGCTGTGCACATTTTGCAGTGATGCTTTCTGTTGTTACAGCAAGCAGGCACTCTCCATTTCCAGCACGAGCTATGCCCTCGCACATTGCCGTCGACACTTGTTCTCCTATGCCGAGCGTGAAAACGCGTAGCGGACAATTTGGATTGGCGGCAGAGAGGGCGTTTCTGACCACGGAGAAGGTTTTGTGGAGATCCGATGACTGTGACAGGTTTTTCATTGTGGGGAGCTTCTGAGTATGGACAATCATGCAACTTACCTCGCCGTCTGTCAAGATAAAAGCGACTGTTGACCTATCGCGCCTGCGTGACGTCAAGGCACCCGTTAGTGCATTTGCGATCTCGGTGCCTCCATAGTTAGCATCCATGCTGCGAATATGCGAGGTCTTTAAAAACGTCAGGCCAGACAGGTCGAGAGGGTTGTACCAAATACGTACAGCTTGTGATAATGCATTTTGGTTGTACAACACGCTGTTCTGCCAAAGACCGTCAACGGTACTCCCAAAGCTGAAAATATTGAATAACGTGTTATCGTTCGGCAATAAACGTAACAACATGGAAAGTGTGCTCTTTGCTGTTTCGATGCGTCCACCTCCCATACTTCCGCTTCGGTCGACAACGAATATATATTCCTGAGAGCTAACTCGAGGCATCTTGAATCTCGGAACCAACGTTAATTGCATTGCTACAGAGTTGGACCCCATAGGATCTATTTCAGCAAAACAGCGAGCATTATCGAGCCCATGAGAATGTACTGTCAACACAAAGTCGCGTTCCATGAACGTGGGGGAGCTCCACAATGCCGACTTGCGTCGCATAGACTTCTTTCCAATGCGGGTCTTGTAGCGCAGGACTTTGATCTCATGTGAAGGACTGCGAATATCATATATCTCTTCGCTCATTTGCACATCGACGCTGATATGTATACGTGTCTGCTCCGCCGCCGCCTGGGCGTTGACCATGGCGGCAGGGACCTCACCATAACGCATGCCAATGGAGACGGGGAGCTGGAGCCGTACGTGATCTCGTATACCATCATCCATGAGGTCCATTACAAACTTGATGGCATATATCCATCAGTAAAGCCAAGGTACACGTGTGTGTGTGTGTGTGTGTTACATACTGTCAGTTTTGAGGTAACAGTTTCCTTGGCCGGAATTGACCCGACAGAAATGGTGAAAACTAGGCCTCATAATCAAAATACTTTTCGTGCGTTTGAGGGGTGATGCTTACTATCGTCCGTAACCCATTCGACAAGGCCGGCCATGTTGCCAGCCTGTATAGCGCTATTGAAAGTCTGATTCGCCTCCGACTTTTCTTTCGCTGTCCCACGGATAATCTTTCCATCTGCATGTTTCAATTCGAATGCACATACTGCTGCGCGTGCTGGGATGGGGAAGACATATTTCGCTCTTCCAGTAGGCGCGTCTGAAGGGTTGACGAATAATTGTGAAAGTTGCACCCTAGCAGACACTGTTACGCCATAAATTGGTTTTGTCAAGTGCAAACCGAGAGAAAAAGAAGAGACTGACCATCAACTATCCACGCCTCGACTATAACCTGCTCTAGTGGGAGGTGGACCAACCCCTGTTGGTCTGCAGGGCGGTGAACGATTCCTGCGTATGAGGACATAGATATAGATATACAAAAACGGACTTTGGGCAGATACGACGAACGTACTTTATAGATTAGGATTGACGCCTGTGTGAGTGTGGCGTCAGGCCCAGAAATGGACTACTGAGAGAGTATGGAAAACACGAGGGTGGACTTCTGTTTACTGATACAGTAGTCGCCAGGACACGCGACCTGGGCCAAGCGTCTGTTAACAGCCTCATTGCGGTGTGCGGCGCGCTCCCCAGGAAATCATTTTACATAAATAGTGATCATCGTCACCTGAAATAGCCCTAGGGATCGCTTGACTATCGGGAAGTATGTGAGATATCCCTGTACAACACACACAGGTTCTTTGTTCATTATCTGTGGATGATCAAAGCAAGAACATGGAAGGCGTTGACGCATGTCATCCGAGTCTAGAGTGATGTCCACGGAGTGACTTGCTTGTCAGATAACAAGGGCATTGAGCAACAAGCCTGATAGGAGCCGTTGCGCCTGGTAACCGTGTACACTTGAATTTGTCGAAGACGAGCAGTGTGGTACACATCGCCCTTGAATATGTAACGAGCTCTTGTGCCAGTTGTAGGTTGTTTGGTTCTCGCGGTTGGCGACTGGAGAATTGCTTCTTTTCAGCGCAAACCACATCTACGTGTTGCCCCAAATGAAAGTAGACTATGTCACTAAGGACATTCACTCGACTTTCTCTGCAGTGAGTCACGAGCGACGCCGATGTGGAGGGTTAGGGAAAAGCAACTCGAAAATCTGTGTGCTGGCTAGGAAGGAGCAATATGTATCTGACTGCGGTCTGCGATCATAGTAGCATTTGGATTCGCTCAAACCACCTTCCTGTAATTATCATTCATCCTTTCCAATGTTCATGATTTCACGCCGTATCATTCATCTTTCTAGCATATGTTTAATTTAAAACAGTTATCGAAAATGCTAGTAAAGCTTTGACTGTGTCCTTCGCAATTAATATTCTGTGTCACAGTGATTGCATTCCAGGATGAAGGACATTACTGTCCTGTCGAAAGCTAGGGCCGGGCTTCGTTTGATGCATATCGGACACTATTTCAAACAGTCGTACTTCTTTTTCAGAGCAACACGCGATCCATTCTCAGTCTTTCAGTCACTACCTATACTGTTGGCTTGAAGGCTTGGATGCAGCACAGAAACCAATCTCGATGTGACGCGGATTCTCCCTTTGATAAACATAAAGGAATTATCGATGAAGTTGTCTTGCATTACACTATTGTCTATCGTAGGTCTGTTATTGCCTGTGCGCGTTTTCAGTAGCTGACGTGCAGGCGGTGAGTATCAGTATTGAATCTGCCGTCTGTTATGATACCACGTTCAAGAACCTCCACTTTGGCCTTATCCAATATCAGATCGCTTTCACGACAGTGAAGACGATAGCAACAGACTTAAACATATAGGACTCTGGAAGAGATCCACTGGGGCATTGGTGTTTTAGGAAACGAATTTTGATTCCTTCCATTAGTATACAAGCTATCCGATAGATGGATGTACTGCAAACTCCCCAAATCCCCTTTCTGTCCACGTCCTCTACATTATGGCCCCGAGCATCGCGGACTCAAAAGAATCATTCCATGAGAGTTCGACCTCGTGGTTTTAATATAAGATGATACATCAGCGCTTCAGCAACGGTTAGGCAATTCTTGACTCGGTCAATTCAAATTCTATCCACGCTAATCGCTCCATCACCACCACCATCGCGCTATCATCAACGACCCCTTCATCCCCTCCCAACCTTCTCCGACATCGTTGATTCAAAAAGGATAGAATACTACGACGATGAGCCAACAAAACGCCCAAAGCGTCCTCGCCCACCTCGCCTCCTCCAAAAACGAGACTGCGGCTGGCCTTGCGCAGTGTCTGCAGGCCCTCGTACTTGTCAGCAGCGGGCCTACGATGTCGCCTATCATTGTGCGGTATAGAGAGTTCGGCACATACGGCCAGGTCATCTCGATCCGCGATCGCGCGTTCGGGAGGGGAACGTTGGCGCGTGTTCCTTGCCATGTAAGTGTGTGCTTTTACCCTCCCTATTTCAACTCTGATTTGCGATCTTTACCTGCGTGCGATTTAGACAGCCTTGGCACTATTTAAAAAATCATTCAAGCTTTCGAAAGACGTACAGCTCAGCTCTGCCGTTTTTTTCAACGAGGACAGGAGTGTGAGCTCGAAAGAGGCTGAGATTGACCCTGATTCATGGCAGGAGCTCGTGCCGTTTGTCCACATGGTGTACATTTCCGACGTGGACGAGGATGAGGGGAGTGGGGTGAACGGGGTGAATTTAAATTACTGCTAGTGCTTTGAGGCCGGGTGAGTGAACATTAGTTGATGTGGCCAGCGCTTGCTGCTGACCGGAGTGTTCATTTCAGATTCGCGAGTTAACAATACTACCTGATACCCGCAAAAGCTAGACGATGTATAAGTGACCTAGCAACACAAAAATGTACAACTACGAAACATGTGGATTTGGGTTTCTTTGCGATTAAACATATTTACTACGCCTTTGGTATAAGGAAACTAGGGCCCACATTTTAAGAATGACAGCTCGCACAAGATCAAGCGGGAGCTGAGATAGATTCGGTGGGAAAAATATACGTCGAACGCTCTTGACCTTGCTAACAATGACGATGACGATCCTTTGCACTCACTCTTTCCGAACACTATCAGGTGAAGTCCGAGAGTCATCTAGGCCATTACCTCTTTCCTCTTATTCAATTAATCGAGTAGGTTCGTGCTTATGATCCATTTCATTTGAAAGTAAAATTTCAGTGAGTAAAACGTAAAATTTGAACACCACGCCCATATGAGTCTCTTGTGCCGTATAAAAAAGGGATGCTACAGATCTGATTCAATGAGCTGAACCATATTTTCCACCTGCACTTGACTGAGTCTTTGATGTATTACAGGTAAACGTATGCTTTACCTTGGATGTCGCCCATAAATTTCAATAGTGCTTCAACTACCTGTTGCTGATGGGTGTAAAATATGGCGTGACTACCGCCCTCGATCATCAGGGACTCGATGTTCTTGAAATGAGGCTCCATTTCTTGAACCAGTACTTCGCCTCGGTTATGTGTATCCAACTCTCCAGAAATAACAAGTAAAGGAAGACCTTTCGATCCGGCTTCGAAAAGCTTGCTAGGATCCTGCGAACGGGTCAAGGCAAAGATAGCATCTTCTGGCGTGTAGCCGACAGTCGAGCCAAGCCAAGTGAATTTAACACTATCAGGGACGTGATCTTTTTCGTCAAATAGGGATTCAATGAAGTCAATCTTTAATGGAATCCACGACGACGTGATAGGCTTTATGAGTTCGGATGCGACGCTAACGATCCTGGGCTTGAGGACTTTCTGCCTGAGTTCCAGACCGACGGACGGTAGTCCGCCGAGGAACACGGCACCTGAGATAGGCAATGGCGTTATATTAGCGCAGATATCTGTAACAGCTGTGGCTGGAAAGAAACATCAGGCTTATGTGAGTAAAATGACAACGATCATTGTTTACCTCCATAACTCCTACATCGGCGCTGGATAAGCTAGATGAATGACGATCATATTTTACATTCCACGTACCAACCAACATGAACGGGATTTTTCAAATTAAAGGCGCGGGCGACTGCGAGCCAATCATCTGCATATAGCTGTGAAGCATGACCTTCTGCCGTGGTTGGCTTGCCACTCCTTCCACTACCACGCATATTGTATCGTACCTACACGTTTTGTTCGTGAGCCCTCCATAAGTTTGAAACAAAGTTGACTTGGAAAGTCGTACCATATAGACACACTCTAGCAGAGCCTTGTCAGAGAATAGGCAGTCAAAAACGATGGAATCTAGACATAATCCGGGTACAAAGATAACACCAGGATTAAGAGGATTGCCGATTGCTTCAGCAAATATGATAGTTCCATCTGAAGATGGGATCCTCTTTACAATGGGAGTGAAAGTCGAAGTCATGATAACAATCTGGGGGGAAATGGCGATGAGCGACTCGAATAATCCATATATAATGTGAGTGATTAAGAAGCAGTGTGGGACACTGACTAATAAAATCAGGAATACTAGTGGATACAATCCCAAGACGTATCCCCCTATAGCGAATGTTAACGAACTCACCAGGGATAACAAGTAATTGGTCACACGTTGGGTGACGAATGGGGCATGAACACATCCGCAAATTGCGGATGGAACTCAAGAATGTTTCGCGGCTATCCTTTCAAACGAAAGGTCACGTTGGTCTAGACGTTCTTCGTAGTCTCACGGCACCTGTACAAGCTGGAAACGAGAGTTGAAAAAGAAAGCACATGACTATGTTAGATAAACAGGAGTGCTGCGCTTTCGATGAATCTTGTTCAATTCGGGCGTCTTTCAGAAGTTTTGGGCAGTGGCGAGGTCATACTCTGTAAAAAATATTTAAAAAAGATTAAAACCATGATGCATGCACACCCAAGCGGTTTTGTGGGACGAAGGGTAATAGGCCTAGGCAGTACTTTCAAAAAGCTTTCAAGTCGTAGATTTAGACAAGAAGCAGGCAGAATCTCGAACAAAGCAAGAACAGTCTTTTCCCCTCACAGACCAGATTGACAGAATCAATATTTCACCTGCGATTCGAGTCGTTGCAAAAACCAGTAAAACAACTGTGTACTTACCGTTTCCCAAGCACTCGATTCTTGCTTGAGCTGTCGCCAGTGTGATCTTACCTCGCTGTAGCTCACGGATGATGTAACATGACCTTCGTTTACTGCTGGAGAGCCCAAGGACAGGCGAGGATAATCATGGTCTATACGAAAGAGGGAGGGCGCTTCGCAGGTGACATGAGGTATTGGTATGTGGTCGAAGGAGTGATTGGAGGACTCGATATGTTATTGGTATTTTTCATTAATCGATACCCGCGGCACTCACCAGAACCAAGTCGATTCAGTGTCGTCAAGACTCACCTTATAAGCAGATGGGGAAACTTTTACGAATTGGAGTCGATGCCAGTGACCTCTTACCTTTGCTTAAGTTTTGTGTACATCAGACGAAGCAACAGCGAAAGGAGTGTTTCCGGCTTGTCACGTTACACAGCCACTCGGATCGCCAGGCTTGGTTCCGATCATTCCCTTCCAAGTTCAAGTTGTCTGCGTTGAAGTAACTTGCACTGACAATAAACATTAGCTCGTCGTACTTTCTCATTTATAGTTTCTTACATGATACCGGCTCTTTTACTGTACATATGACAGCATGAACCGACTGACTTTATTAGAACCGCGTCTCGCATATCATTGGCTTTGGACGACTATATTTCGTCTTATCTTATCGCCCCACCTTCTTACAGTACCCATTCCCTGGTCATGCCCCCTGTGGCGTTCTATGCGAATCTCAGGCTTTTCGGTCGAAGTGAATCCGCTGGCCATCTTATCATCGTCTCCTCCTGGGGCATGATTGCATATATGGACCGTCGTCTGAGTTTTCCTGCTCTCCCAAACTTTTATCCGTGACTTCTTCTAGCCCATGGCAGAACCAACCCATCTCGATAGCGCCAACCGCGTCGTATTCGAAACCGAGAAGGATGAGCTCAAATTACCGCCTTCGAGTATCCTTATCAAAGAGCTCGATTCGGAGAGCACTATCAGCCATACCGATTCTCCAGGCAGTACAGAACAGGTCGTGAAGGGCGCCGAAGGAATCGCTCATCTGGCACGTAGCTCTGTGTCTACGTGTTTGCGATAATACATTGACTCTGTTCACGATTAGATCATATCTGCTGACGACCAACCTCATCTTCCCGCTCTTACCTTTCGGTTTTGGGTACTTGGCATCGGGCTGTCTACATTCGGTAACCATTTTTCTTGCTTAACATACTTCGTAGTTGACATCACCTTTTTTACAGGTTCTGTACTCTCCGAAATATACTTCTGGAAGCCGCAAAACGCAACCGTTACTGCTCTCTTTCAGCTCATCATTGCATACGTCCTCGGAAACGCAGTAAGTCGTTTGCTCTCTTCATTGGCTATCAATCTCAATATCTCGTTCACCTCTAGATGCACTACGTCCTCCCTTCTAAGGGGCTCTGGCGCTCCATCAACCCAGGTCCATTCAATATCAAGGAGCACACCTGCATCACCATCATGGCTTCTACTGCCTCCACCACCGCAACCGCTATCGGAATCATAGCGACCCTAGATCTCTTCTACAACACAACGCTCAATCCGGCCGCCGCAATATTTCAAACTCTGGCTTCGCAGGTACGTACATATGAGCTAGAAGTGATCCTTCCTTTTCTCTGTGACAATTCTGATTGAATGGCTTGCATCTCAGCTGATAGGATATGGGTTTGCTGGAATATTACGCACTCTCCTGGTATGGCCGACTTATGCACTTTATCCGAACAACATCCCCTCTATCTCTCTCCTCCAATCCATGCACTTCGGTGGGCTGCTGAACAAGAAGAAAATGAAATACTTTTGGATAGGTTAGTTATCACTGAATATACCAGGATTATCGCATCCTCTCACCATCGCGATGGAAAATTTCCCCTACAGTTTTTGCTGCTATATTCTTTTGGGTAAGTCCATAATATTATTCCCTGTCCTTGTGCATCATTTTTATTCTTCCCTCGCTCTATCTCTTCCCTCAGGAAATAATACCAACTTGGATGTTTCCGCTGCTTACTGCCTTCTCCGTCATCTGTCTTGCTGATACCAGCCAGAGCCCCTTAGTCCGCAACCTCTTCGGCGCAGGTTCCTCCAACGAAGGTCTTGGCCTTTTCTCCTTCGCATTCGACTGGACACTTATCACACAAGCATACCCGCTGTACTGGCCCCTCCAAACACAAGTGTCGTCCTGGATTGGCTTGGTATTGAGTTACGCGCTCATGAGTGCGTCACGTTGTTCCTACTTTACTAAACCGCTAGTTAACTCACTGACTCATGCCTTGCCGAACAGTGGGTTGTTACTACTCCAACGTCTTTGAAGGGAAATCGAGAGGCCTTCCTTTTATGTCAACGGCTCTATTCAGCGGGAATGGATCTTCATACGACCAAAGTGCCATCCTCGACTCGAACAACCAGCTTGACCCCGAGAAATACGCACAGATCGGTCCCCCGTGCGTATTCACAGCTTATCTCCGGGTCTCACCATATTAATCGATTGTGTTTATTACCCACACACTATGCTTCCTTGATTTTAATGTTGTAGGTATATGACTACTACATATGCCGTATCTCTTTTAGCAAGCTACGCCTCCATGGGGGCCGCATTCTCCCACATTCTGTTGTGGCACTGGAAAGAGCTCTGGACGGCTTTCAGAGGGTTCAATTTCCTCAAATCTGGGCAGGATTTCGACGAGTGAGTTTATTCCCTCCCCTTCCCTCTTCTGTTCTATTCTCACTATTCTCACTGTCCTGTTGTTATACACAATCCGTTCATATCAAACACTCGCGATTTCTTTGGCCACGGTGTAGCATTCACTTCCAGAAGATGAAAGTATACAAAGAAGTGCCCCAGTGGTGGTATGGTACTGTATTCTTCCTCTCTCTTGCGCTCGCGATCGGGATGGCGTACGTCGGGTTGAACACACTTCCTTGGTGGTCTGTAATTGTGTTCACAATAATCGGTAGGGTTTCTGATTTTTGCTTTGAACTTCTCGTACTATCACTTATCATGGTACAGCTTTCATTCTTGCCGTCGTTCTAGGCTTCATCTACGCTGTGACAGGATTTCAAATACCCACTTCTGGGCTCGTGCAAGTTATCGCTGTTTGTCTTGTTTTTCTCGTCTTATTTTTCTCAGAGGATACTGATGTATACAACCAGGCCTACGTCCATCCTGAACAACCAGTTCAGAACATGTATGCAAAAATGTACGGCTATAGTACAGGCTATCAAACACTCTACATGCTCTCTGACCTAAAACTCGGTGCGTTATAGCATCTATCTTCATCCTGCTAATATGTTGATGGGGCTTGACTTATCAGGCCAGTATGCTAAAGTTCCTCCAAGAGCGACATTCATATCCCAAGTCAGCGGTACCATACTCGGTGCCGGTGTGCCCTCATCTCCTTTTTCGTACATCTTCTGTATGCTAATCACCTACATACAATCTAGTCTTCAACTATATCCTCTATAAATCAATCGTCGGCGCCCACCGTGCTGACCTTATTAATCGTTAGTTTTCCGTCTATCTCGACAAAATCTCTAATGATCGATCTTCTGCATATATTTTACTACTCAAAGCGATCGGCACACGCATATGGTCTGGATGGAACTCACAAGAGATCAATTCGGCGGCGATTACTTGGGGTGCATTATCAAAGGAACTCTATAGTCCAGGGAAGCTATATTTCCAGGTGAGTCCTTCTATCTTCCATATTACTTTACAACTGAGCCTATGCCAATGTGATCTCTTGTACTTGTATAGATCCCACTTGGTCTTCTATACGGTTTCCTAGCGCCTTTCCCGCTATACATCCTCCACAAGATATTTCCAAAGTCCGTATGATCTTGTCTTGAGGTTTTAGTACTTGTGTGGTTGACTAACAGCCTAACGGTTTGGAACAGCCAGAAAATATGGTGGTATCTTAACATGCCCGTCATCCTCACGTACATGGGCTGGCTTCCTTATTCAGTAAACGGTATGTACCACTTATCGTATTGCCGTTTATGCCGAACCGAACACGATTCAACTCTCGCGCTACCAGGAATGTGGTGGCCTGGGTTTATCATAGGGTTGTCGACGCAGTGGTGGGTGAGAACGCGGAGACCGAGGTGGTATAATAAGTATAACTGTAGGTCTTTTCCTCTACTCTTAACTTCTACGGGTGCTGAAGAATCAACATCTTCGTATCAGTCCTCACATCCGCAGCACTAGATGGCGGTTCGTCGATTGTGTACTTTGTCCTCAACTTTGCAGTATTTGGTGCGTCTTTTGACTCGTTTGTAACGCCACAACTCATATATGATCCTGATCTGATTGGTGTTTCACGGTGTACAGGTGCGAGCGGACAGGGTGTTAACTTTCCATTTTGGTGGGGGAACCCAAATCCTGCCGTGATGAGCGTTGGTAAGTCTCTCAGAACCTCGTTTTCAGATTGTGCAGAGTTAGATAATGCATATTTCAATGCCAGATCGCTGTGCGGCGAGCTTGGGATGATGCGATGTTGGTTACCAACTATTATATCATGTATTGCACTGCGTAGATCAAGACGCGTCAATGCGTCAATACAATATATGGGAATGCAAGTCGAGCCTGGGAACATAAAGATGAGAGAAAAAGGTCTATCATCCTGATGTGCACTAATGGACTGGCACTGGGAATCTAGTATGTTTACACAGAGTCCATGCTCGAGTTGGCTCCACACAAATTACTGTTGTATGATAAGATAGGTGTAGTAGGGCTGTCTGAGTCGCGGAAAAGACTCGGATTAAGGGATATTGAAGTCACTGCCACGAGCGTGAGAGTCTATTAGGACGGCTCTAAATAGTAACTGCATCTGATCAGCTCAACATTTTATGTACATCTGCATCTTGTTACCAACATGTACCAGGATAATGGTTTTCGCACCAATAAACAATCTAAGGTAATTGCATGACTTCTTGTATACTGACGACACTCATGCTTTGAGCAGGTTCTGCTACTCCTCTAACTATTCAGGTAATATTCATTATCCCCCCGGATGTTTGCCGAAGCTCAAACCTAAAGCACACTTAGTCCATCAACGATATCAAGATGGCTGCAGAGCAATGCACAACCTGAAGACATATGGATAGCATTTATCTAGATGCAAGCTTTGAGTTCTACTGTATAGCTCCCTTGGAGCGTCAGTGCCGAACTTTGAAACGCATGTTTATAACACGCTCATCTATAACTGCCTCTCTCGTTTCCCCCCGTGTTGCATTAACTGGTCACCGCTGCATTCTGCATTGCGACATGTCTGCACTCCCACTTGTGACAGCAAATCTCGTCACAGTCTGTGTGGAGGACTTTCTTTACGGCGTCTTCTTCGTGCTCTGCTTGACTTCAGCGTATATTCTATCCAGTTGTAACCTAACCCGTGCTTTGGGAGGTGGAAGAAATGGATCAATGTTAAAGAAACCAATTATCTTCGCAGCCGTCGCTCTCTTCATCACCGTAACTGCCGTAGGTTATCATTCCTTATTATAGCATGAAAGTATGATCACTAAAGGCGATAAGCAGCACTTCATGGTGACAAATATCCGCCTCTTTCAAGCCTTCGTGATCTACGAGGGCGGCTCTGCCCCTTTGGACTTTTACAGCGATATGGGACAAACTACGGAGGTTGTGCAAGTTGGTCTATTTGTTACATCACTGGCCATTGCAGATGCGATGATGGTGAGTAATATTTTGGTAATGATGAAACTCGTCTTATACAGCCAATATAGATATATCGTACCTGGGTTATCTGGAATTATAACAGATGGATTGCTATGCCTCCTACCTGCATTTTCGTCGGTCTTATTGGTAAGTTCACACCCCGTAGCATGATTTATGAAGCTTCATCATAATTGTTCCAACAGTTTCTGGTATAGGCATAACGTATCAATTTTCAAGATATACTCCAACAGAGAGTATTTTTATATTTCGAGCAGGACGGTGGATTTCTAGCGAGTGTGTTTTTACACTATGGTATGTACAGCGCGTCTTTTCATGATAAATCTTTATATGACTTTAAGCAGTATAAATATATATTGCACTGGTGAGGTCATAGGATCCCTGATACTTCATGTTCTAAGGATATGTTTTACTTTTCTCAGTGATGATTGTATGGCGAATCATGAAGATCAACGCAGCCTCCAAACGATTCGGCGGTGCTAACCTTACGGTACGGGTGTAACGCAATCGAGAATTCACACGTCTCATCGTAATAACAGCCCGCACTGGCCATATTTGTTGAGAGTGCAGGATTATACACGTACGTTATTGCAGGTTGTTCGTCGTGTTCAACTAAACATTATGATCCATCATCAAGATCATGGGCCGTCATTTACTTCGCATGTTATGAGTCCCGGACAAATTTCCATGCCACCGCTCAAGACATCTGGTGTATTATCAGTGGCATTTCTTTTTTGCTCATCATTGTTCGTGTTGGTATGGGCTGGGCTCACGGTCCACATGCCTCGGGGACTCGAGAGATACTATACAACACCCGCGATCGGATGCCAGTCAGTCTGTGCAGGACTACTCCGCTTGCGATCACCGTTACTCGTGTAACTGAACAGGATCATGAGTCTGCTGAGGAGAGAAAGTTCATGGCTGAATCCCCTAGGATGTTGGATAGTATGCAGGTTGCATGATATCTACCCAACCAAAATTTCATCGCGTTGGTCTGTATCAGCGTATTGCTTTGTAGATTTCCAATACCCACAAGGGTAGCTTTGATTTGAATTAAAAAACTTCAAATAATGATCCAAATTATGTCTAGTACAATTTTGCAATGCCGTAAGTATTGTTATTGGGTCGACTGTGTGAACGTTGCAGAGAATTCAAATTGGGCATGCCGTCAAGGCTTTTCGTGTCTAGACTTACAGTAATCATGACTCGTGGCCCCCTCACGGATTCCACTTTGACTTCTTCTCGATTCGAATCTCGAATAGTCAATATTCGAGATATTTGGAGCCCCAGATACTCAAAGAACACTTCAAGTTGAACCACCATCATCTTGTCCTCTTTTTCTGCCGACCATGTCTCATCCGTGTTTATGGCCTGGAAAGACCTTTTTCTATCCCATCGGCAATACTACTGCGGTATGCTTAACCCAGGACCTTGCGCCAGAAGAAAATGCCAACGTCCTTCTCCTGGGATGCGGCGATCCAAGGAATATTCTCTACACTCTGTACGCCAGCGAGGCTGACTCGGCATCCTGTGTGTTTGATTCTTAAATCTTATGTCGTTGTGCATTGATACATACCCAAGTTTCTCGGAGCCTCGACTTCACCTGTTGTGATGTTGAAGGTGCTGTGCTAGGTGATTGTTTCTTCTAGACATGTACCAACTAGCGATGTTGACGAGAGTACAGCTCGCAATGTCCTTCTTCTCTCCCTTTTGGCAAATGGCGGAGCTTTGGAGAGAGTGGATCAGATATGGGACATCTTCTATCACTTTTATCTTGACGACAGTACGTCGTCGCTATTGGTGGATCAATCACAAAAGCTCGTCAAACTATCCAAGGACCTTTCGACATGGGAGAGCAGCGAATATGGTACCTTTTTGAGGATGTGCACAGATCGCACGCTCTCGGACCTTCGTGGATACTGGTCTTCTTATGCAAGCACAGGTACCTTCACGCATGAAAAACAAATTCGCATGCGAAAAGCTTTCTCGGAAAGCATACGGTCAGCAGGAGACGGTACTTTGCTCGGAGGTGGATACAATTTCACTGGAGGTCGCTCAGCTGGGCCCATGTCAGCCTACATTCTTCGAGTCGTCGCTGATCAGTTTCGCCGTTATTGGAAAACGGGAACGACATCAAGCGATGCAGAGTCGTTAACTCACGTCAATCCGACGTTTGTGTATTCGTCCAAGGGTGATAGGTTTTTAGTGCATTACGGCACTGACCCTCTCTTGTCGTTCCATCTCGCAGAAGCCTATACCAACATGCGCGATACACCTAAACCGACCGAGTCTGTTACGGTGGAAGACGTGGTGTCTGTTGCTAGGGCCCAATTTCGTCGATGGTGTACATCATTTGTCAATGTCCTGCGTGCGGGTGATCCACGCCCTCTGGTTACAGTTAGATTTTTTGTAGGCGATGCTTTGTCGTTTTGTCGTGCTCTTCGGTGCTGTAACATCACACGAACTACCGTCACCCCCATATATAACGCCCCTTGGAGCGTATCGCGCCTGGAGTTGAATGACAATGACTATGGAGCTAACGCATTGTCTCCTGCCCCGACGGAGTTCAACGTCATCGAGACCTCAAATATAATGGATCATGTCGGGCTTCTGAACGTGCTCATCGCCGCATCTCCATTGCTGATACCAAGCACATCGTCAACCTTGCTTACTGAAGCACTGTTATCATCTGGAAACGACCCTTTCACAGGGATACTAAAGCGTGTTTGTGCTGACCTGCCGACATTGTCGCTGCTCATCGGCCTCATTCCATCCACTTTTATTTCTCGGTTCACCACCCAATCTAACATGCACGAAATCCTTTCTGCTCACGTTTCCCAGTCCCCCCAGTTCCATGAGCGTTTGTCGTGGAAGTCAGCGGCTGGAGGAGACACCATCGCTGCCCAATGTGACATAGACATCAGCCGCGCTACTACGTTCTCACCCGAACAGCTTGCTAAGATTCTGTTCGATATATACCTGAAAATGTTTTCCGAGGAAAACGTCAACATACTTTTCCAGCTCGCAGTTTCCGAAAATAAAATTAACAATATAATTCATTACAACCGTCGTACCTTTGCGGAACTCGTAGCGGTCATAAAGGAGAGGATTCACATGGATTGGACGCAGGTAATGGAAATGTTTCATGACCTAGTCGCGAGAGACCACACTCTGGTTACGGGACTTAACTACTACCAAGATTTATGCTGCCAGCTCCATCTTCTCGGTGTGTATTCTGCGGATACTCTCCGCGTCGAGGGCGACTTTCTTTCTCCGCAAAAAGTCAAACAATCAGCCATCTTCCGAGGCTGGAAAAGTGTCCCACCTAGTGTTTGCATTGTCTTGGAGGTCCCAAGCAGCAGTCTCGCACCTATCGCTACTGCACTCGACAAAACGGGCACACCTATGCTACATTGTGAGATTAGAGGATCAACTTTCCAGAATGCGTTTTCGTGCATCCAGGCCACATATGGTGCTGTCGCCGTTTCAGGATCTGGAGAAGACCGAAGAATAGTCATAACTGAAGACCACGCCGGTGGGACCACGGCTCCTCTGGTCGTGTCATTCTGGGCACCTTCCTGGATTTTGATGCTAGAGTCGACCATACGTGTCGGATTTGGTGTTCGCCCCACTCCTGCCAGCACCGTTAGCTTGACCCAGAAGTTGGGGCTGGATTTAATGATATATACCACAAAGGTTACAGACGATCAGCACGTACACGTCGTCACAGAGCGTCCCAATCTTGATGGAGAAGTGACGAAAGAGGCTGCTGTCTTGAACAAGGCAAAAAGCCGATGTTCACGATCTCCTCACCGTGTTGCTGTGACTATGGACCGTGCCTGCAGTGAGATCGAGAATTTGACCGTTCGAATTGATATTACGGATCCTGCTGCACAGTCTGCTCTGTCCAAAGGTTCTGGAGTTACTGTGGAACAAGTAACGCCTTGCGCGGTACAGGTTTGTATCGAAAATTACAATCATGTGATATCATTCCCCCTTCCGGTCAACGCCGGAAAGTCAAAAGTGCGTGTAGCACGCAAGTCCAAGTATGTAGAGGTAAGGTCCAAATTGATCTTGATTGGAATGACCGGTCTGATAACGTCTTTGTTAGGTCGTTGCACCATTGTCCCCGGCCGATGTTACAAATCGTTTAGAACTTCCTACAGGGAAATTCCCGGTGATAGTTCATGGACGTATTCCGACGCTGTGGAATATACACCGCGTAAACCTTGACCGACTGCCTGTCGTTAACACTAAAGACCCAGCGAAGTTGCAATGGATCGTTGGTCACACCACTTTAATGTTGTCTGACCGAGAGAAAAAGGCTCAGGGCGAGGCCGTAACGAATGATAAGGTGCCACAGGATGTACTGGTGAACCTGAAGGAGTCTCTATATGCAATCTTCACTGCTTCTACTGGAGTGCAGCAGCCTAAAACGTGTGCGTTTGGTCTGTCTGATCCAGACTCAGTTGGCGTCTACACGCTGATCTTCGTGACCGATGTCCGACTCGATCTGGGCTGTCATACGATTGTAGCGGATGCTTGGGTTTTGCCCCTAACCATTGACATCATGAGTGACATTTCGCGCGCGGTTCGTGTAATCATGGGTGATTTGACGCAGATCAGAACAGATGCTGACGAGATGAGAGCATGGAAGCAGCTCCTACCCGCATTGACAGAACGTTGCCGTACATGGAGACACAAAGACAGTTGCGAGTACTTGGCGAAAGGCACCATTCCGTTGTCTAAGGAGTACGGGGAAAGCCCGATCTGCACGTGCGGAAGAGGGGTGGGCACGGCTGCCCTGCGGAAGGTGAAAGGATGGAAGGACTTTGCGCCTTTTGTGACCAGGATAGCGCTAAGCCCGATCTTTGCTGTATCATATCTGGAGAGTATTGGGAATTTTTCAGAGAACCTTAACTCTGAGGAGGCACAGAGTCGAGAGTCGAGGTTGAAGGATGCTGGGGGGTCGACGCAGCAGAACTCTGTCTGCGCAGCTTGTGAGAAAGAAGGAAAGCCAAAGCTACTATTGTGCAGCAAATGTAGGAAGGTGAGCTATTGCTCTGTTGAGTGTCAGCGGCGAGAATGGAAGAAACACAAGCCGCAGTGTGCTGTGCTGAAGGAATATTAAGAACTGAGAGATGGTTGGAAGTTCGGTGACTTGTGCATTCACAGTCAAAGAATGTCTACGCTTTTTATATAGAAAGCTCTATTTCCCTGGACCATGTTATACCCTACCAATGTACTATACGGGCCAGCAATACAGGAGTACTTTACCCGTCGGGACTTTCCGGGACAAGCCAGCGTTAACTGCTGGGCCTGTCGAATCGTTACAATGACTCTGGTGCTGCAACATGACAATGTCTTCGACGTGTCACGGTGTCAGATCTGTCGTTGGATACTGTCAACAAATGCTCTGCCTACCAGCGACTCGGTGGGGCTGAATTGTACAAGAGATCTTGTAACGTTTACGGCACGTACATGTGCTGTTGTTGACCTGCGTATTTTCATTCATTTTCCGATTTCATAAAGAATCATGGCCTTGCGTTTGCCTCGTTGCCTAATCACCGATTCGAGCGACCGTCTTTAACCTGTTATCCAGCATGCATAAAACTCTGGCGATCTTTTTCTTCTCCACGACATCCTGTTCATCGATTTTATCCCCGCGGTTATGGCTCATCCTTTAATATGGCGCGGACAGACCTTTTTCTATCCAATAGGCAACACGCCTGCAGTTTCTCTATGCCAGGACACAGATTTTACTTCGGAGGAGAAAGTGGATGTTCTTCTTCTCGGCTGTGGCGATCCAAGGCATATCCTTTACACTGCCTATACCCAACAAGCAAATTCAGCGCATCGTACGTTTCCTTTGTGAAATCCTCAAGGATATCTGTATCTCATGTAGCCCTGGAACAAGTGCATCCGATTCTCGATATCACTTGCTGTGACATCGAATGTGCTGTGCTAGGTTAGTGGGTGTTCAATCATTGTATCACCTGCTTTTAACATGGAACCATTAGCTCGCAATGTTCTTCTTTTTACCTTGCTAGCGGATCAAGGAGTCATGGATAAGATAACCTTGATATGGGATATCTTTTATCATTACTACCTTGACGACAGGGCCTCGTCGTTGCTGTTGACGCAATGTCAAAAACTGATCAAGCTCTCGAAAAGTCTCAACGCTTGGAAAAGTGGGCCCTATGCTTCTTTCTTGAGAATGTGCACAGGACATACTCTGACAGAGCTTCGACGTTACTGGACTCTATATGCGGAGACGGGTGGTTTTTCGCTTAGAAAGCAACAAGTACTCAGGCAAAAGTTTTCGACGGGAGTAAACTCTGTCAGGGACAAAGCGGCGAAGGTCCCACACACTTTATTTTCGAGTCGCTCTGCTGGCCCTCTATCGACGCACGCTCTTAGTGTTTTAGCAGAACATTTTAGCCGTTTTTGGGAAACAGGTTCCACTTCACGGGTGTCTGAATCAACAAACCGTGTTAACCCTACATTTGTTTATTCAATGGCGGGTGACAAGTTCTCAGTTCACTATGGCACTGATCCACTCGCATCATTCCATCTTGCCGAAGTATTACATAGCGCGCCTTCTTCGTGCAACGTCACGGTAGATGATGTTGTGACTTCTGCAAAAGCCCAATTTTATCAGTGGTGTAATGCGTTCACAAATTTACTGAACACCGACGGCTCTGGAGTTCCTTCCCGCATCGTCATAAGAATATTTGGAGGAGATGCTCTGACGTTTTGTAACGCCATCCAATACTGTTATGTCTCTCGAGATACTACCGCTCCTGTCCTTGTTGCCCCTTGGACTGGATCTTGGCTCGATCTTGATGGTGGTGATTATCGCGAAAACGCAATGTGTCCAGCACCGTCGAGTTTCAATGTTATTGATACTTCGAACATCATGGACCACGTAGGTTTCATCAATGTCCTCACTGTGGTTTCTCCACTACTCAAGCATAGTCCATCATCTGTCATCTACACCGACGGTTTACTATCTCCTGGAAAGAATCCTGTTACAAATCTTTTAGAGCATACTTGCGCTGATCTGCCGACTATCGCGTTCCTGTTTGATTTGATGCCAACTCATTTTGCATCTCGATCAGGGCCCTCTGCGACAACTTCCCCTCGTACTACAGGATATTGTCCTTCCCAAACTCATGAACGAATAACTTGGAAGATTGCACGCGTTGCTGATGAAGCGCATAATCAGGACGAACTCGTGAATTGCAGTGTGGTGTTTAACCCACAACAGCTGGCCAAGTTGTTGTTCAACATGTATCTTAACATGTTTGCGGACGAAAACTGGTGGGTCAAGATGAGAAGTCTACGCGCAATCCAAAACAGTACTCTCGTTCATTACGTCCGTCGTACATTTGCGCAAGTACTGAGACTCGCGATGGACAAAATAGAAGTGGATTGGGAGGAAGTTATGGATACGTTTTGTCAGTTTGTCCAGTACGATAGAAACCTACTGGTGGGGATGAATAACTATCAGGAGCTATGTCTCCACCTGCATGTTCTTGGCGTGTATACACCAAAATGGCTTGGGGATGAAGAAGTCCAACGTGTACGCGAGGAAACGAACTCTGAAACCTTTCGTGGGTGGCGGAATGTTACATCGGCTGTCTGTATACTTCTTGTTGTCCCCAGGAATCGAATCGCTCATGTCATTACTGAACTGGATAAAGCAGGCACCCCAGTCTTATGTTGTAACATCCGGGGAACTCAAACATCTAACATGTTCTCGTCCATCCACGCTGTTTTTGGGACACTACGCATTTTTGGGTCCAAGCAGGACAAGAGAGCAGTGATTTTGCCAGACAGTGCTGGACGTTCCGGATCTTCACCTCTCATTATCTCATTCTGGGCACCATCACCGCCTCTTATGATCGAGCCTAGCAACACTTACATTCATTTGGCGGTTCGTTCTAGCCCCGTTACCGCTCAGGTCCTTACTCCTAAGCTGGGCATGGACCTTTCTATATTCAATGCAAACCTTTTGGATGAGCAACGTGTACATGTACTCGCTGAACGTCCCAATCTTGATGGCGAGTTAAAGAAGATCGTTGCCGCGGCGCCGCCAAAGGTTGACATGGGTCGTACGTCAATTGCAACATCGAGACTGAGGTGTTCCGACGTCATAGTATCAATGGATAGCACTTGTCGCAGGATAATAAGGCTAACTTCTCGGATGACAATTCACTCTTCCAGGACAGAACCCTCGTTTGACGTCGGGTTGAAAGTGGAGCAAGTTACATTGAATTCTGTGCGGTTGTGCGTGAAACATACGAAGAAAGTAGTTGTTTTTCCTCTCCCCGTAGATGCTAGCAGAGGAACGTGTCGTATGGTAGGATCGGGCCATGCATTGACACTTGAGGTATGTCGAGATCCATGATATTGGCACCAGAAGCAGAACTGAACCAACTTCTTGTAGGTTTCCGTACCTCCATTTCTTGCCGACTCGGGCAACCAGACTAAGTATCGATCAGGGCTGATACCTTTTCTTTGTGTTTCCACTATGCTGCTGGGAGCTATTGCTCTGATTCTATATTGTCTCTACCGCGGCGCTCGGTTGATGCTTGCAGTCTTGAGGTGGTTCAATGTTCTGTAAAGAAAAATTCTGGAATAAACAAAAATATTGCATTGTGTAATTAGCACGTCTCTACTTACTTTCCCCAGAGGGCTACTTGTCCAAAAGAGATCAATCCAACATTAGTAGTTCTGTGTCAAACACTAGTTCAGTGATGCAGAGCTCAACTTCAGTCTCCTGGCTCTTGTTCACTGCAACGTCTTACACACCCTCATCATAGCGCTCAGCGACATTGTTGTACTCTGCCGGTGCTCTCGAGAAACAAGAAAGTTGCCCTTCTTGTACACATACACGATGACCGCAGCTGACTACGAGTTATCGAAAACATCTGGATTCCTCAGGCCTCAGACCTCAAGACCGTACTTTTGTATGCCATTCAAGTTATACAGCTTTTTTAATATTGCACATGCAGCTTCAATTCCTACAAACCCTGGTAATACAGTAGTAACATATTTCATAGAGATGGAAGATTCGATCCGTTTGGTCAAGTAATCAGTGAGTATCTGAAACGATGAATTCTGTCAAACATCGAATGGGCCAGCTGTCCGACTCCAAAACAGGGGCTGTAATAATAAAGCCACAACGAACCAATCAGCAAAAGGATTTCTGATATAAAGACAGAAAGCATGCACGTACTATCAATGGTTATGGAAATGCCATGGCAAAAACATATCATACCTGTGCCTCTCGTCATTGACACAATCAGCAAGCAAATGACTCATAATCTCCAGCCTGTTTTCCCAATTCATGCCTGGGTTTTTTGCTTTTGCAAAATACCTCAGCTACTGCATGACAGTGCTCCACCAGTTACCTCTCACGTTGTGCTCTTCAAAGTCAGGTCCGAACGCATCAAACGGTTTCCAGATTCTAAATGCACGAACCTGGGGAACAATGACGGAAAGGAAGGCTGCAACATGGGTGGGAGCTGAAGCAATGTTCGAGTCACCCAATTTAAGGACAACGATGTTGTTGTATTTTCCATGGTTGGGCGGCCGCCCACTACCCACTGCGTTTACCACAATGCCAAGGTCTTCAAGCTCTGGGCAAAACTCCAGTAAAGTGGCGAGCCCGTCAAGAGTGACCGCGGAATGCCCTCGGCACTCGTGCAGTGCACCTAGGGATAGTTTTCGAAACTTTGGCAAGCCCTCGCTACTTCCGTCGAGGTATCAACATTCAGTGACAGGGGAAGAACTATGTCGATATTGACTTCTCGAAGATTTTGAAAGGTGAGAAGTGTCTTGAGCACCTCAAAATCAATGGCGGTCCCCTGAGCTGGTCTAGGGAAAATTTCCTTATCATCCACGACAGAGAATCTCTCCATAATTTTGTGTGGACGATGCATATCATCCACCACATGCAGTAGGTCATGCAGGACATGTTGTCCCAGATTAAGGTTTTCAACAGGGTAGATCTGTAAAGCAACTAGAGCAGATGGAAGGTGCTTCAGGAATGATATAGAGGAGTTCAGGCAAGCAGATCCGACTGGATGTAGGGTAAAATCCCGAAGGTTTGTGAAGATAGGCTCACTTGAAGATGGGAGCAGATCACGAAAAACTCCAGGAGAGTCTACCGTGATATTTAAGCTCTGTAAAGACTCTAGATGTGCGAGATGAGTTAGAGTATCATTCAGAAGAGCGTCACAAGTGAGGTTTTGAAGACGACTCCATCCACAGATAAAATCCCTTGACAGCTTGTTTAATGAAAACGAATGCTCTTCGCGACCCAGGTCAGATACAAAAGTAAATTGCTCCAACAAGGGAATGATAGCTCCTAGCGACGACATAAATGCCATGGCCCGACTTACCTCTTCCGTATCGATAAAAACTTCCATATCAAGTCGAATGAGACGTGGTCCAACAAAAGAGCGAAGGAAATATGGCCATCCTTTGCTTGGATTGGAGACCCTCAAGTGGTGTAAATTGGGAAAAAGTGAGGGCGGTGCAAAACTGAATACAACAAAGATATCGCTGTCAGACTCGGAGTTAATGCCGGAACATATTTCGAGTTTCTTGACACGACAGGAGTATTTCTGGAATTTAATCCAATCTGCTGGACGCAATGGCCTCACGGAGCTCTATGCGAAACCCGTCAGTGATATCCTAGTTGAAGTTAGACCCAAGTTGTTGACTTGGAACATACAACAGCATAATCGGATTCCGTCCAGATCGCTAAATAAGCGACATGTTTGAGCTGGCACAGTAAGCAGCCATCTGATTCAGGATGGTCATCTGAATCAACATCCTGAGAGAGAATGTTGTACAGTACTTCACGTATCAGGAGGGCTCTATGGCTCTATGTATGGCAGACATAGCTGGTTATGAGAACTATGAGAACTGGACAACGAGAGCAATGCTGCAGTTGCATCGAACTTGATGTATGATACGGATAGATCCGGACGACCAGCGGCCATTCCACAGTCACGGTATAACTTGAATGTACCCATGAAATGATCATGATGTATCCACGCTCAGCGCCCAGCGCTCATCACGCACTTTTTCTGGAAATTTATACATGCATCATACTTCTCCAAAAATGAAGTTGCCAACTTTTGACATCCCCACGCTCACTTTTCATAAAGCGATGACTAGGCAGCCTTAACCATCTACTATAATTGCAAACCGCTATGTCCAACCCGAATACTGCATATACTGATGTTCTCATCGTTGGTGCGGGACCATCTGGTCTCATGACCGCACTCAGTCTCTCTCGCCTTGGAATCAAAGTCAGGATCATCGATAGGAGGTACACTGCATTCTCATTGCCTTTTCACCCTCTTACCAGTATCATCCAGGCTACCCGGAGAAACGTCTGGTCAGGCTGATGGAACTCAGCCAAGGATGATAGAAATATGGGATAGTTTTGGCATCGGTGAAGAACTACGGCGCGACGGCTTCCACGTCCATAAGCTAGTATGCCTTTTGAAGCTACTTTCTCAACGCTCTGTTCTAAACTTTGCTAGGTCACTTACAAACCGAACGAAGAAGGCAATGGAATAAAGGTTCACATACAAATTTTCTTTCCCTATAGAGTATGTACTGAACTATGCTCAGGAATGCGACCCGGGTGTTAACATCACTGTGGATTCAACTCCATATCCATACGAGGTCACTGAACTTGTTGCAGTGTCTTTTTGATAGATATATTAATTATCAACAGATCATTGCCCCCATAGAGGTTTCCGAGGGTATCCTACGAAGAGCCCTCGGTGAAGGTAGTATTTCAGTCGAAGAACCCGTGGTACCTGTGTCGATAGTTATCGACGAGTCTGATTCTAATGCGGAGAACGAGTACCCTATCAAGGTACTTTCAAACCTTGGTCTCATTGTCCTGCCGATCTAAATCCCACACAGCTTACTCTGGTGCACTTGAATAAAGAATACGTGCACTCCAACTCCGTTCCCCAAGAGCAGAGGGGAAATCTAGTAAACAACCCAGCTGCTGTTCGTAGTACTGAAGTTGTCGGGGCCAAATATGTTGTCGGTTGCGATGGTTAGTTTGTTGACATCTGTCTATAGTAGTGTTGACTCATCTCTATCAGGAGCTCGCTCTTGGGTACGCAGATCTATGAACATAGTTATGGAAGGAGAGAAAAATGGTTGGTCAACCAGATATTATCTACTAATGTCGACACTTACTAACTGTTGACTACAAGAAAATACCTGGGGCGTGATTGACTTCACTCCAATAACGGATTTCCCAACCCCTTGGGCCAAGAACATTATCCAGTCGCCTATATCAGGTGCAATGGGGGTACGTTTCTCCTTTCGGTTTTTTTCCCTTTGTCTCATACACTCTGTAGTTCGTTCCTCGGCCTCTTGATACGGGCCGAATGTATATATTGCTGAGGGATTCGATTGGCACGGGTCATGATGATTCTGGAAATCCTTTGGGTAAACTTACAAACGAACGCAAGATCGTAAAGGTAGTCGTGAATATTCATATGATAGAAAAATAGGCTCATTAAAGTATGCTTAAGGCTGTCGAAGATGGTCTTCTGCCGTTCAAGATGGAACTTACTGATATAACTTGGTTTAATATATACAAAGGTAAAGTTAGCTCTATATGCTTGAGGCGATCTGTTGACTTATTCAACTAGTTGCTCAAAGGGTAGCAAACAAGTTCTCTCATTTAAATCGCGTGTTTATTGTTGGGGATGCCTGTAAGTGTATCACACATCTCTTCAAAAGAAGTGGTCTAAAACGATACTATTTCAATAGGTCACACTCATTCTCCTCAAGCAGGGCAAGGGGCCAATACGTCAATGACTGACGCCTGCAACCTTGGTATGAGTGCTTCTTGTTACTCGCTCTCAACTCCAGCAACTGAACTTTGTGTGGAAAGCGTGGAAACTTGCTTATGCTATTAGAGGCTGGGCAAAGCCAAACATCTTGGACACCTACGAAGAAGAACGTCGACCTTACAGCATCGATCTAATTGCGTTTGACAAGGAGCTATCCAAGTTGTTCAACCCAGAAGGAGTGTCGCCTGAAGAATACACGCAGTAAGTGACAGCTTATCTAAGAATATTCTTGAAGTTAATGTTATCACCAAGGCTCTGGAAGCTTCGAAATATGTTCACAACGTAAGATCATTGAGACATTAAGACGGATTGTTTGTTCAATGAGACTGACGCCGTGTATAGTGGCATTGGATTACGATATAGCTCATCTCTGATTTATCAGCATTTTCAGCATTTAGCAGAAGGTCTACGATTAGGCGAACGTGTTCCTCCAGGAACAATTATCCGACACGGTGACTGGAATCCAATTAACTTACAAGAGTTGATATCCTACGATGGGAAATTCAAAATGCTGCTCTTTCCCGGAGCCATCACTCAATCGAACGTAGTTGATCAATGGTTAAAAACAGTTAATGTGCTGAACAGCATCTTATCTGAGGAGCGGAGTCGTGTGTTGGAGCCTTTCTTGGTTTTGAACGTGCCTAAAGAAACTCGGGTTCACGCCTCTCCCATGCCAATTTTTGCGAGTGCAAAGAAGTAAGTCTACTAACGATAAAGATGGTTTGTGATCTGTGTTGATTATCCTGAATTTTCAGTACATTTGTGGACGATAGCTTACGGGTGACTGGATCCACTGGAAAGTTATATCAGGAATTTGGTGTAACATCAGGGGTTGTTGTGTTAGTGCGTCCAGATGCGCATATTTGTATGATCTTACCATTAGAAGCTGCCTTTGTCTCTGATATCTGTAAATACCTACACTCGATATAGTTATTGTAGTTACATGCGGCCTATCTTTTATCCCACCTGCCAAGTGGGTGCTATGCATGTGGGCAGCCATTGAGCAGATCTTGAGCTCATCATTCTCCGGCCTTCCTTTTTTGTCCATCTCCGTGCACTCACCGCGGCACATTCCTGAGGCTTTGCATTCTCCATCATGTTACTATTTTGATATATTCTCAACCTCTAGGGAGACGGGCCCCGGACGCCAACAGCCTTTATTCTGGTTATCGTTGCTAGGTATAGTCACCGTGACATTGATATCCTCTTGATGTTGGAATTGCCAGGTTCCTTTCCAGGACCAGACCCAAGTCGTGCCATGGTACGTTTGCCACTCAATATTAAGTAGCATTGTATGTAGTTTAGCGGTGCTATCCCAATCCCCCTATCATTTCTACCTCTATGTCTGCTAAAGTTGAACTTCAAGGTCTTCTTGCCCTGATAAACTCGTCCGCAAACGAAGCCATTGCAGAATATGACAAGGCCGGACAAGAAGTGCCGACGTTGGATTCTACCCTTTCGCACCCACTCGACACGGCCCTCGATTCACTTGCCCTCAAGAAAGCGATACGCGTTCTTGAGGGTGCCTGTCAGCAATTATGTGCTACTTTAGCACCACCTCAGCACACTGTCATCAACGTAAGAGTCGTTCCTAGGTAGACATAATGTTCTAATGCTACCTACCCCCATCAGTTCGTCCAAAATTACGACTCTGCTTGTGTGCGTGTGGCGATCAAATCTTCCATTACAACCATCTTGGAAGCCCATCCCAATGGCCTCCATGTCAAGGACCTTTCGGATATCGTTCATATCGAAAGTGGCAAACTTTCGCGAGTCTTACGTTCGCTTGCAACCAAAGGTTGTTATCGGGAGGGTAGGTTTCAGAGACTGATTTTAAGACTATTTGGCAGCTAATTTACTTTGTATAAGTCACTCAAGGCATTTTTGCTAACAATCGGTTATCCCTTGTTCTTCGCCCGTCAATTGAAGCATGTGTCCAGACTTATTTACATACGGAAATAGTTATGAGTGGTGCTTCTGTATTGTATGAAAATCTCACCAACCAAGATACGGCGTTCTCATACGAGCCGTCGAAGGCACCTATTATGGAAGTGCTTAAGAAAGAGGGTATAACAGGAACTTTTTTCGATTGGATGACGTCAAATGTGAGTATAATGTTCATCGCTTCGTCTTGTCAGCCTTATCACATTCACCTCAATAGCCTAATACTCAAGAGGTCTGCAATTTAATTTCACGTGTTTTCCGGTTTTTCTAAGGAGAATGTTTGAAGGAATATCACCGTGGAATGATAGGTGTGGGTTCCATTATGGGCTCACTCTCTGTGCTAGAACGTAACTATTATTGTTATATATTTTGGCTCTCATTCTATTCACTGTTTCCTTACTAGACTTTCCATGGAAAGAGGTCTCCACGGTGTGTGACCTTGGCTCTGGTATTGGACCATTCTCCTTGCCACTGGCCAAAATGTATCCAAACCTACACATTACCTGTCACGATCTGCCAGAAGTCCTAGCTCAAGCTCAAGTCGTACGGTTATACTGTGCAATACTAGGCTTCATATTCTGATGATATCAACGATAACTAGGTTTGGGCTCAAAAAGCACCGGAAGCTGTCAGCGGGCAAAATGTTGAGTTTGTGCCATTGAATTTCCTGCAAAAAGTTCCCGTTCAAGGACAGGACGTATACTATGTGAGTGATGAAATAGGCGTGCCCAATGCACTTAATCAACAATAACTTTAGTTACGACATATCATCCATGACTGGCCCGATGCAGAAGCTACAGTGATCCTTCGCAACGTGCGACAGGCCATGGCACCCCACAGCCGTCTACTAATACGTGAGTTGGCTATCTTGTAGGAATTCATTCTAGTTGGCTCAGTGCATTCTAGAGGATTATGTCATGTTGTCTGCTAGTCGGGAGGATGACAACGTTCGGCACAACGCAACCGTGGTAAGTAGAGCATCCGTTATACTTTGTTGTTTTCTGAAGTGTTTCAGGCTCCAAAACCTCTCCTACCGAACTACGGAGCAGGCAACATGCGCTTGTATCAATCTGACCTGAGTATGTTGATTATACACAATGCCCGAGAACGCACATTGGACGAAGTGATTAAATTAGGGTACGTGTAACGAAAGCTTTTGGATCGATCAAGACTAATGAGGTGATATGCTTAACAGGGATGACGTTGGTCTGCAGCTGGCGAAAGTGTGGGACCTTGGTGAATCTTGTGCGATTGAGTTCAAGCTAGCGTAGTCCTGAGGACAGCGTCAAATATTTTGCATTTTCTTTAAGTATGTATGTATATGCCGGTTGCCGTACTATTAGAAGGTTTCGAGCGTGCCCACTCAAAGCACTTCGGTGCCAGGGGTGCCAGGGGGACGATGTTATGATGATCACGATTCAATGAGACGACAGATAGAAGAGTGGATCAGAAATCCTTAAGTGGTAGACCTTTCTCACTGCTTCCATGTTTCAGCACAGAGATCAGAATCATGATGGATGATCACCGTGACTGCACGCACCTTACAAGAATTATATTTTAGCACTGCGCTCAGCGTACAAAAGCCGTGATTGCAACCCTTCGTCTGCACACGCTACACCCACTCCCATCTTTGCACTCCATTCCTCTATCAACAGTCCCAAACCCTCGCAATGTCCAGCATCTCGTTCAAAGACAACTTGTGTGCATTTCCTTGACTTAGCTCTGTCGAGAATTGACCATAAATGACGCAGTACTCATATCATCGGTGGTCAGAAAGTGAGCTCAGCCTTAACTAGGGATGTCATCAATCCTGCCACGGAAGAAGTGGTGGCATCTGTTCCTGTAGCTACCAAAGAGCAGCTCGATGCTGCTATCGATGCTGCTGCCACTGCTTTTCCTGCCTGGGCTGCTACACCTCTAGAGCAACGCCAGTCCCTGGTGGAGCAAGTGGGTATCCTCCTAAATGCAGATGCAAATCAATTTGCAGAGATACTTGTTAAGGAGGGTGGAAAGACAAAGTCATTGGCGTGAGTTGTGCCCCTTGATTTCTGTTAGGTTTATGCTCATATTGATCTCTTCGGCTAAGAGATCTCGAAGTAGGAGGCACCGCAGCTTGGATGCTTGCAGCAAAAGCGCAATTCCTGTCAGATGAAATCATCATCGATACACCAGATAGAAGGGTTGTTTCGCATTATGTTCCACTGGGTGTCGTAAGTTGTCTTCCTCGTCGTACTTTTCTTGTCGTTAATGTCATCGTATAGTGCGCAGCATTAACTCCCTGGAAGTAAGAGACACCTCTTGCCTTTTGCGAGTGATCGGTGATAATGGTTGAACAGTTTTCCTTTGACTTTATTAATTTGGAAAGTGGTTCCAGCACTTGTTACCGGTAACTGCCTTATCGTCAAGCCATCTCCATATGCTCCTCTCGCAGCCATGAAATTCGTAGAGTTAGCTCAGCGCGTTTTACCACCCGGTGTCCTATCTGTCCTGTCTGGTGATGACGATCTGTAAATGTTCTTTTTCCTCAGAAGCCAGGTATTTTCTGACAATTTGTATTAGGGGACCTTGGATATCGACTCATCCTCGAATTGCACGTATTTCCCTCACTGGTTCATTGGGAGCTGGAAGAGCTATTATGAAAGCAGGATCAGCAACGCTAAAGCGTCTCACTCTGGAACTCAGCGGCAACGACCCTGCGATCGTTTTAGATGACGTCGACCCCAAAGTTATTGCGCCGTATGTCACCATTCCGTTGCACGGTACAAGTGATCTAACTTTGCGTGTGACAGGCAAATATTCTGGAATGCACTACTTAACTCTGGACAAATTTGTGTCGCGTTGAAACGCATATACATCCACGATAAAATATACGACGCTGTTCGAGACGAGTTGGTAGCATTTGCGAAAACGATCCGAGTTGGCAACGGTATGGACCCAGAAACAGCTCTTGGTCCTGTCCAGAACAAGGATCAATTCACCAAAGCCAAGTGAGTTTTCTCTTGATATGTATACCGACTCTGGATACGAGTTAGCGAATAGAACGTTCCTCGAAGACTGTAAACGCAATGGTCACACTATCGCTTTGGGAGGCACGGTCGACGAGAGCCAGAAAGGTTACTTCATCCCCGTAACTATAATTGACAACCCGCCAGATAACTCCAAAGTTGTGCGAGAAGAGCGTAAGTATAAGAGTGCCATTGTAACTCGAAGGTACTCATGCCGCTATCTACAGCTTTTGCTCCCATCCTGCCTTTGATGAGATGGTCTGATGAGGACGATGTGATCGCGAGGGCAAGTAAGTGTCGTTAACTTCCGCTAAAGGTTCATTTGATATGTGGCTTATCACATGCCATCTGAAAGATGACAGCGAGTATGGTCTGGGTGCAACTGTTTGGGGGAACGACCTTACACGTGCTCAGTCTATCGCACGAAGGCTGGAAGCAGGGACAGGTAAGGCTGCTTGCGTGTAAGCAACCTGATAATGACGTTCATATTGCTCTGAATTATAGTCTGGATCAACGAAGCTCATCAATTCCACTGGGATCAGGTAAAGCTGTATTTACATCATCGTTCAATGGCGTTATTGACCAAGCATTACTTGCCCAGCCTTTTGGTGGCTTCAAGGTATTTTTCAGTTTTTATATTATATGTCCAGAACTTTAATTTTCACAATCAAACAGTTGTCTGGGTTAGGCGTCGAGCATTCTAAGTATGGCCTTTCTTCGTGGACCAACATTCAAACCATCACTCTGAAAAAATCTAAAACGTAACACTGTCTTATTCACATTCATGCTAGCGCTATCCTGTTGAAAATGTACTAGTATTTGTATCATACGGATGTACCTCAGTTTTTGGGATACATGTCATGACAGGGCATTAAAAAATGCTGGTGAATTGAATTGTTGAGTCGTCCACAGTAGCCTCATTTTACAATAAAGACATAACGCAAACTAGAATAGCAGCATCCCAGTGTAATAACATCACTTTTGTAAACGCTGGCTTGATTAACAGCAGGGAAAGAGGAAACTGCGGAAGGCCCCCCGTGAACATGACACCGGGCGCACTCTTTAACAGATTGATTGAACTTCTATGTTCAAATGTGGCCCCTAAGGGCGATTTTTGGCACAAGGTGGCAATACCGGGACATATGTTGAACCAAATGTCTCCAGTATTACGCCAAAGCACTCCCCCCACTCTCGCCTACACGCCATACCTCCATACCACCTTCACCGCCAACGCCAACAATGCCACTGGCCCAGTCTACACTCAAGATCTTCTGACCATCCCAAACTTTGAAGACGGAGACAGCACCCTTCATGCTCCGCAAGTCCCACATCCGCGCAATACCATCGTAAGCGCCGGAAATAAGCTGGTGAGACCCAGACAAAAGCGATGGTGCAATACAGGACGGCGTTGCTGGGTGAGCCAGAGTGCCGATTGAAGAGTTTACAGATGAAGCAGACGATCGCACATCGTAAAGAGAGATAGTACGATCTGTCGAAGCTGCTATAGCCGTGTTCCCGTCTGACGTGAGGGCCAAATCTACCATGGGCCTTTCTGGTGCATTCTGTAACACGTATCAGTGCACAGAAAATAAAATAAAAATAGATCGAAATCATACTATGGTGAAGGTACAGATACCAAGCTCAACATCCCAGGTACGAACTGTAAAATCGAAGCCACAGCTGTAGGCAACTCTATCCGAGTTCTGAGAAAAAATAGCCTTGGAGACTCGTGCGGTGTGTGATTTGAGTACGGCCAAAGGAGCCTTACGTTTTGGTCCATCGCTATCGTCGACAACCTTCCGCCTTTTTTTTCTGTCGGACGTGCTTACTCGATCGAGGGGCACTTCGTCGTCGTCTGGGACATCTGTATTCCAATAACCGATGAGTCCATCCCATGAAGCAGTTAAGAGTTTTGACCCTGACGAATCTGAGGAGACTGATGAAAGTGGAGCGGTATGTAGATGTAGGGAAGCTAGCGTCTGCAGTTGGATAGTCTGATCGGATGAGAGTGATAGTTTTGAGATTCGAGCTGTGAGATCGTGCGAAGAGCTCGCGAGTAAGCGCGAGGAGTCGTCCTGTTCTGATTCTACATTACGAATGATACAACAAGACGTTATTGCCGCCGCGTGAACGGAAGTTTCATGCACTATTTTTTGTGAATAATTAAATAAACGTATATGGCCGTCATAAGATGCGGTCAAAAAATATCTACCAAAAGCCGTATCAGTGCGATATCAGGCGTATGAAAGAGGTGAATAATACTTTGGAAGGCGACAAGATACCGAAGACACCCAATCTTCGTGTGGTAGAGAAGACATTTTCTGAGGGGGAAGAATGGATTCGAAGTACTCGATCTCTAACGTTCCCTCCTGCAAATCGCGTTAGCTGTGTTCCGCGGAGGTTCAACTGTCTGAGCATACCTCCCCGACTCCTTTCTCTGCGCACCATTCGCCGAGACTTGTTCTCAGGATTTCCCCATGAACCAAAAAATCAAAAGGGATTGGACTTGGGAGAGATAAAGCCTTGTTGATGAGCTGCGAGAGCTGGTAACGCTTCCAAGCGAGTGGGATCATGAACTTCTGGGAAGGGAGCGGGTATGGTGTCTGTGTAATGAACACGACAGACTGGGTTGGCCCTATGCTTGCAGACGATGAAGCCATGGCTACGAAGGGGATCCGTTATCGCTCTAATGTTATATCTCGGTGCAGCAATATACGCCTGCCAGTACTATGGTACTACAGACTTGGTAAAAAAAACGGCGATCATTGAAACCCTAACCCGATGGGCGGTCTTTGTTGTCGGATGTTTGTGTCTGCCACGTCTATGGTTGGGACGTGTAAGTATTTCGCGAGTAACCATTCTCCTCAAGCTCTCTTTTCATCTTACTCCCAGCCGCTCCTTGGCCATTCTCCAACATGAGCGGGTGTATGTTTCTTTCTTTTATAACGTGTAGGATAATGCTAACAATCACTCGTAGTCCGGTTTTTAAATCTCGTCCGACCTTTCCTTCCGCTCTTACCTGAGGTTTCTTCGCCTGACCGAAAAGTTCGTTGAATTTACTTTTCTGTTTTGTGTAGACAAATAACTGTTCTATCGTGTACAGGTACCTTTTAATCAGAAAGTGCTATGGACCGCCGTCACTCTTCTTATATTCTTGGTCTGCTCCCAAGTGCCTCTTTATGGAATCATGTCCTCCGACTCGTCTGACCCTCTGTACTGGATGCGTGTCATCCTTGCTTCAAACCGTGGCACTCTAATGGAACTCGGAATCAGCCCAATCATCACTAGTGGAATGATCATGCAACTGTTGGCTGGTGCAAACCTAATTGAAGTCGACTTTGGATTGAAGGAAGACCGGGCCTTGTTTAGCGGCGCACAGAAACGTATGTCTCTTTTTGAAAAAAAATTGTTGTCGCCATTTGGTTCATCCACTGATCATACCAATCTAGTTTTCGCCCTCATCATCTCGCTAGGCCAAGCTACTGTTTATGTCGTCACCGGTCTTTATGGACAGCCCAGCGACTTGGGTGCGGGTGTCTGTCTCCTCCTTATCATCCAATTGGTTTCTGCGGCTCTTATCGTGATTCTCTTGGATGAGTTGCTTCAGAAAGGCTATGGACTTGGCTCTGGAATTTCGCTCTTTATCGCCACCAACATTTGTGAATCCATCGTCTGGAAAGCCTTCTCTCCTACTACTGTAAACACTGGTCGTGGACCAGAATTCGAAGGTGCTTTCGTCGCCCTCTTCCATCTCCTCTTCACCTGGAACGACAAAGGTCGTGCTCTCCGAGAAGCTTTCTGGCGAGACAGACTCCCCAACGTTATGAACCTCATCGCGACTGTCATTGTTTTCGCTGTCGTTATCTATCTGCAAGGATTCCGCATCGAAATCCCGGTCAAATCTAACCGATTCCGTGGTCAGCGAGGATCGTACCCTGTCAAGTTGTTTTATACTTCGAACATGCCAATCATGCTACAGTCGGCTTTGACTTCCAATGTCTTCATGATCTCTCAGATGCTTGCCTCTCGTTTCCCATCCAACCTCCTTGTGAAATTGCTTGGTGTGTGGGAGGTAAGCTCGTTTGCTATCATTCTAAATTGATGGCTCCATAATTCACAACCGTGCGTAGCCTTTAGATGACTCTCCTCAACTGCGGGCAACGTCTGGCATTGCGTACTACATGTCGGCCCCTCATACTATCAAAGAAGCACTTTTAGACCCCATTCACACTGCTCTCTACATTGCTTTTGTCGTTTCGGCTTGTGCTCTTTTCTCGAAGACTTGGATTGAAGTCTCGGGAAGTGGTCCCCGAGATGTCGCCAAGCAACTGAAAGACCAGCAGATGGTCTGTATTACTATCGTTATGTGCTTTGTTGGTGCTCACGATTGATGTAGGTTATGGCTGGTCATCGTGAAGGCTCCATGTACAAGGAATTGAAGCGTGTTATCCCTACTGCTGCTGCCTTCGGAGGAGCCACTCTTGGTCTTCTGTCTGTGGCTGCAGACTTCATGGGCGCAATTGGAAGTGGAACTGGTATCCTCATGGCCGTTACCATCATTTACAGCTGTATGTCTTGTCTATATTATAATTGAGCAATTACTAATTGCATTTTGATTCATTACAGATTGGGAGATTGGCATGCGGGTAATTATTGTTGCTTGTGTTTTTGTTGGTTGTCATTTATTTACCTTGTTGTTTTCTAGGAATCGGGTGGACCTGAAATGGCTGCTCTCAGTGACTTGCTATAAATGACCGTCATACACTCTGGTATCCTACATATTTATCGCCGTCGTGCGCTTTTGAAGTGGTGCACTCAGGAGGTATGGAGGGACAAGAAAAAAAAACAAGGGTCCGCTCTACTAATTTTTCACTTGGGTGAAGTCTTGTTGAATAGAATATCGGTGGACGTGATCCTGTTTCTATATCATGACCTTTTCGTTATTTAATGATGAAAAAATGGGAGATGTTTTAGGACCGACAGTTTTGCGAGTTGAATGATTGTGAGCATGATGAGGTTCCTTGTGATCTTTTCAAGCCTTGAGTCGACTACTTGAAGTTTGAATTTCATTTTCAAGCTATGTGCACAGTACTGTACATCTTTCTCCTTTTTGCGGAGCTCGAGGTGATTTCAACACTATTAGTTATAGGTAGTTACTCTATCTTTGAAACTTAAGATTGAGAGTTTGGCTAGATGACGATAAATGGTAATGAAGAATTATTTTAAGCCATGGATATATCCTATCAGTTCTTTATGAATCTCGCCGTCCGTCCATAAATGCTCAAATGTGACCCCCGAAGTCCCAGCAAAAACTTAGTTGGTTATCTTATCAGTCACAGTTACAGCTGTCAATGTCAACTTGGAAGGGAGCCGTGAGCTATTAGTAGTAATAATCTGGCGCATATACCAGGGGATAAGCTATCTTGAACTCTGCCTTACGGTCCGTGTTTTCTCATCTTTAAGTTGCAGCTGATTAACGTTGACTGGTAGAATAGAATTTCTTCATATACAGGGTCGAGTACAAAAGTTAGGAAGTTGCTTTCTGGATGGTCTTCGGGACGTTTGCAATTGGTGGCAGCGCTTGTTTCCTGCACGCATCCCAAAAGAACCTTTATGTCGTCATTCATTCTTGTTCTGAAAAACCCATTACAGAAATCGTTCGTGGCCACGGCTGGTAGTAGTCCTGTCAAAAAATTTGTCAAGATAGGTAATTAATTGATACCATCGTCAAACCCGGACTTCTGATACATCACGCGGACCCTTTCAACGTCCTGCGGGTAATAACTATGTGGCTTCCTCTTGTACTGTAAGCTGCTGCTTTTTTACTTCACTTTTGACTCGAAAATGGCAGATGCCCTCAAACAGCCGGATAAGATCTATTCTGACGACTCCCGCGAAGATGCGGCCGCGGGGGACTACAGACCAAGCGAGACTGTCAAGCGCCCTACTGACCTCAAGGGATCGCAACCCATACTCTCAGGTTATCATACTAGGATTCGTCTGTTTCATGTGTCCTGGGATGTTCAATGCGCTTACTGGCCTCGGAGGGGGAGGTCAAGTCGATGGCAAGTCAGCCGCCAATGCAAATTGTGCACTGTATTCAACATCAGCGTTCTTTTCCTTTTTTTCCGGGTTCGTAACTCCTTCTCTAATGAAGCTTCTGACATGTTCACCCAGCTAGACCAGGTAGTTCAATTCACAACGTATTAGGCTCCCGACTTACGCTCTTCCTTGGAACATTTGGTTATTCTTTGTACATCGCGTCTTTCCTGTGTGTATCTCCAGTTTGTGCATTGCTGGGTTTCAATGACTCTTCTAGACAGTGTTGTTAACATTCATCCTGGTGCTGGTGCTTTCGTCACTACAGCTGGTGCTTTGTTAGGCATTTGTGCCGCTTTGCTATGGACCGCTCAAGGAAGTCTCATGCTGGCATATCCAACGGAGGTTCAAAAGGGGAGATTTATTGGTATCTTTTGGGCAATATTCAATCTCGGAGCTGTTGTTGGAGCTGCAGTAGCCCTTGGTAATAATTTCCACTCGGAGGTGAGCTTTAATAAGTCTAGATATCGAGAAAGCAATTCATATTCGATTCATAGGCTGGCAGCGGTAAGTGGACGGTATTAAGCCTTGATTGTATTTTATTGATGTTCTTGTCAACATGTTATTGGTGAAAGTCGGAAATGGAACATACGTCAGTTGCTTAAATCTATGAATGCGAGAAAGACATGTGCTAAATAAAAACCGTAGATTGGATTCCTCATCCTCACTCTTATTGGGGTGTGCATTCCTATCTTCATGGTCGATCCTGATAACATGATACGCACCGACGGCACCGAAGTTGCCCGTGTCAGGCATCTGTCGTGGAAGCATGAATTTTACAGTTTTTACTTGACGCTCAAGACAGACCCTCTCATTCTTCTTCTCTTTCCAATGTTCTTTGCAAGTAACTATTTTTATACTTGGCGTCAGTACTTCAATAGTACTTCAACATAGACAAGAAAGATAGCTAACCCCGATATCCTATGTCGAAATTAGAATTCAATGACTACAACTCGGCGTTGTTCAACATCCGTACTAGGGCTTTAAATAATATCGTCTATTGGTTGTCTCAGATATTTGGGTCCGTTGCCATTGGCGTTATTCTAGATCAACCACGAGTTCGCCGCCGGGTCCGTGCGTTCGCAGGTTGGGGCATCCTTCTGATCATGGTATTTGTTGTGCATGTATGGGCATACTTCTATCAGAGGTAAAGACGTTATTCGGCACCGTTGCACCAAGCTGAATCCATCTAGCAGGACTTACACTCGGGAGACGATTACAAACCATCCGTTTGACATGGACATGTACGACATTGCTTACCCAGCGCATTGTTGGCTAATGATATTCTGTGGTTTGCTCGATGCGATGTGGCAAACTACGGCGTACTGGCTCATGGGTGCTATGTCCAATGATCCTGCCAGGCTTGCAATTTTCATAGGCTTCTGTATGTTCCACGCATCGCTTTTACGAGATGATAACGAGAGTACCGTGATCCCTCACCAGACAAATCATTAGAATCTGCAGGAGCTGCGGTTGCCTGGCGGGAGGACGCGATCAAACTTCCGTAAGTCTCATTGCATAGTGACTCTGTATATTCGTGCTGAGTCATTTTAGATACATGAGTATCTTTACCTCGACATGGGGCCTTACCGCAGCTGGCCTCGTGTTGGCTTTTCCTATGATTTATGTGCGAGTCAGGGATCATTCGGATGTAATAGATGAATATGTGTGAGTGGTTCTTGCACGATACGCTGCAGTTCGCCATTAAGGTTCGTCGTAGAGACAAGTCGCTGGTGTGTTCGAAGCTAACATGACAAAGAGTGCCTCTTGCGTGAGTACACTGTATACAATGTGCATGTGTATAGCGAGCATGGTGATGAAGATAGGAAAAACCATGTGGATTAGAGGATGCAGAGTACACGATTACTTACTTGGCGGAAACATGTAATTTACTCAGAAGTCTATATGACTTGCCGCCGCGCCCAGCGCCACCCAAAGCGCCACCCCGAATAATTTGTGGTAGCGCGTCCGAGGCTGACTGTAACTTATTTCTAGCCTGCATCAGGCGTCATCGCCTCGCTGCTATAAGTTACTTATACACCTCGATTGCGGGGTTATTATGCTGCCTGGATGAATATCCACGTCTGATATTGCCCTTTGACCCTTTCTATACACTGCTGGTTATGAATGCGCAACGGCAGCAACGTCCTCAGCCTACACATATCCTCCGTCGAGCCGCCAAACTCTTGACAAGCAATGGCCAGCCCGTTCTTGCCGTCCAGGATGCTGTTCTAGCAAAGGTTCCTTCTGAACACGCGTTTGCTCATCCGCTGGTTCACTCTAAAAGCTGGGGCGACAATGGCATTGGAGCGTCCATCAAGAAACAGTTGATAAAGGTCAAGACTGTCCCTCTTGTCCGCTCAAAGTCGTCACGGTCGAACAACGATGTTCTCCTGAAAAGGAAAGATACGCAAGCTTCTTCTGATGCACGCCTTGAAAGTGTGGACACGAACAGCACTTTCGGCTCTATCCAGATATCCCAAGGCATAATGCAGGACCCTCCAACACATATCATGGAAAATGCGAAGGAAATTCATCCAACAGACCACCGCCGGCACGAGGGTGTCGCTCAAGAGGCATTCGTTGCTGATGTTGCAGTTCCTTTATTGCTGCAGCGGGGTGTGCCCATGACAAAGGTGTCAGCAAAAAAGCAAAAGACTTACATCTTTCAATTGGACCCCGATCGCGGCCAGATCCTGTGGGAATCGAAGAAACCAAAGATCAGTATGTCGACTACAATATCTATCGCTGAAGAATGTCCTGCTGATCTCCTACTAGTTCCAATCGAGAACATCAAGGAGTTGCGCTCGTGTGCCGATGCCAGGTATTACCGACAACAGTTCCAGCTCGCCCACGAGTACGAGGAACGATGGCTTACCATCATTTACATACTGGATGGAAGTTATAAGACTTTACACCTTATTGCTTCAACCAAAGACGTGTTCCAGACATGGGACATCACTCTCAGGAAGCTATTTTCTATTCGCCAGGAGCTGATGAGTGGAGTGGGTAATATTGAGACTAGGCAAGCCATTTGGGAGAAACAGTGCTGGAAGGGAGCCGATGAACAAAGCGACCACAAGTTAGAGTTTGACGAAGTGGAAAAGCTTTGCAAACGCTTAAACATCCATTCGTCTACTGAAGATCTACTGCGGCTGTTCAAGGTCTTTCATGATCTCATTATGGCAGCGGATCCTTTTTCTGAACTCTGCTTAACAGCAAGCTGACGTCCAAGGTCGCGACTATCTAGACTTTGGGGATTTTCAGCGTTTCGTCAAATTGCTCAAGGCTCGGCCTGAACTTGATCGATTATATAAACGATTATGCTTTGTCAATGGCGGGAATTTCGACTGTCATGCGTTCGAGAAGTTTATGCGAGGGACCCAAAGAGTAAGTTGACCTAATCTTTCTACCTCACAAGTCACTCAAAGTCACTCACATGCGTGTAGTCTTCACTCAGCCAGGAAGAACTGCGGCAGTTGTTCTTCAAGTATGCCTCTTTGTCAGATGGAAAGCGCTCTTCTTCCAACGCTACATCTCTTCCCATCAAGCCTTATAATTCCGAGGACAGGATAAGCATAGGCGTTCCCTCATCGGAGAACATAACGTCGCTACCGCTATCGGCATCACCTCCTCCCCTTTCACCTTCGATTGGCATCACCGGGCAATCTCGAGGCGAGGCTAATAGTGCCCTGAATTATCATATAACTCTAGACGGCTTCACTGCGTTCTTACTTTCAAGTGATAACTCTGCTTTTGCCGATCAGCACGGCAAGATATGGCATGACATGACGAAGCCTATCTCGGAATATTTTATATCCTCGTCGCACAACACATACCTTGTCGGCCACCAGCTTGTTGGTGTGAGTACCATAGAGGGCTATATTAGGGCACTCTTGCACTCTTGCAGAAGCGTAGAACGTATGTGTGGAAGTATTATATAAGGTCCTTCGCTCAACTTTTTGAACTTTAGTTGACATATACGATGGGGATGGAGAACCTATGATTTTTCACGGAAAAACCTTTACCTCCAAAGTTTCAGTTCGCGAGGTTTGCCAGGCAATCGCTAAATACGCGTTCGTGACATCTCCATATCCAATCATTATTTCCGCGGAGATACACTGTTCGTTGCCTCAACAAGACATGATGGTCAAAATCATGTTCGAGACTTTTGGTGATGCTCTAGTCAGCGCACCCATCGACGGAAGGCCAACGTTTGACATTCTACCTAGCCCAGAGGATCTCAAAGGCAGAGTGCTTCTGAAGGTTAGCCCTCTGGTTTAGTCACGTATACGGCGGCTGATGTTAGCTTTAGGCTAAGAACCTATATGTATCAGAAAACGAATCCATAAAGATCAAAGATATTACCATTGATGCCGAATCATCTACTGAAACCTCTGCTTCGGAATCAGAGGTGATCCATGAAATGGAAGTTGGATGGAAAAAGGCGCGCGAGCGTGAGATGGACGCCGTTAAAGGTGAATTCTGCTCCTCAAAATTTGGTTCCTGTGGTGTGTTTTATGTAGTGATGTTTTCTAGAGCTTAAAGAGGAGCTCCACAAAGCTCGGAACGTCTTTGGGCGGGTCCGTTCTCACCACCACAAGTCGACATCGTCTCTCGGTAGGACCTTCTACGCTAGCTTCTGTTACACTGATCGAGCAATCGTTTGCAGTACCCAGCCATAGTCCTAACAGCAAAATCAAGATGTCTTTTGCTGTCGTATCGCTTCTTGTGTACACTGTCGGAGTCAAATGTCGCGGCATCAACAAGAAAGAGCATTACGCACCGGAACACCTATTTTCTTTATCTGAGAGCACGGCAAATAAGATCCTCAAGCAAGGAATGCTGGATTTGATTAAGCATAACAGGACACACCTTGTTCGGATTTATCCAAAGGGGCTCCGTTTAAATTCCACGAACTATGAACCTCATCGCTACTGGTCAGCTGGTGCCCAGCTAGTAGCCATAAACTGGCAGACGTTTGGTAGCAAGGTTTCACACTAGGTGTTATCATGACTGATCATTTTACTATTAACAGATCTCGGATACATGATCAATCATGCCATGTTTCAGAGAAATGGTCGGTCAGGGTATGTGCTGAAGCCTGCGGCATTGAGATTGCCAGATAAAGAACTTTTATCTAAGAGGACAAAACATAACTTCGATGTCACTGTGAGACTCTGAACATCTCTCGCAGTCAATCTTCGCATACTTATTTTGTATCATAGATTATCTCAGCACAGCAGCTTCCTCGCCCTAAAGATTCTTCTGGTAGGGAAGTCATGGACAAATCTATGATTAATCCATATGTCGAAGTGTCTATCCATATTCCAGACTGGACCACCCCCCCCACCGCGCAAGCAAGCACTTCTCAGCTAATTCCCTCTACGTCGACGACCGGATCGTCGTCTCCCACGGTTGCCCGTATGCTGACGTACCGCACCGGTGTCGTGAAGAATAATGGATTCAATCCTGTGTGGCAAGAAACTCTATCTCTTCCATTTGACTGCGTGGGTGGTATGAAGGACCTCATCTTTGTTCGGTTCGCTGTCCGGAACGAAGGCGATAACGAAGAAGAGCCGATTGCGTTGTACTGCGTTAACTTAGGGAGCTTAGAAATGGGTGCGTGACATGTTTTTAAGGATGGCGCGTACAGAAAGCTGATGTCGAATTTTGAAACTATCAGGTTACAGACATCTTCCGTTACATGACTCTCAGTTGTCACAATACCTCTTTTCAACGCTCTTCGTGGAGGTTGCGATTCATGATAATTAGATTGTATTTCATCCTTCAATTTCCATTAGAGTCACACCTTCAAGCTCATTGTAGAAACTCATAGAACATGCACAAGATTATATGCATTTTCCATTCGCACAGATTCGTATTGCATTGTAGAAACGAAACATTATTACTTATATTAGTTTATATAGCAACAGAATAGAACAAGTTCTTTCATTGTTTGTATGCCAGTGCAAAGATTCCTACAACATTGTATCTCAGCGCAAGCTCCATCGAATGGGCGATAAACGACAAAAAAAGAGAATGATAAACGAAAATCTAGTTACAGAGAAGATGATGATAGATATAGCAGCAAGCATTTGATATCGAGACATGGTGGTATTTGGGTAGTACTTTATGATATTCGAAAAATGAACATAGATAACAAATATGTAACAAGGTAGTCAAGGAAATGTGTTTCTACACAGGAGCTCAGTGCGGATGAGCTTTACTTTGGAGGAGGAGTGGGTGGGCCTGAATTGAATGCCACAAATCAGTAAGTTGTAGAATGAATATGATCAATCTTTACCGAAAAGCCCAACTCGAGCTGCAGGTGTAGGAGGCATGGGCGATGCGGGCGGAGCAGGGACGGGAGCCGGCGCTAACATGGGGTTGGCTAAAGCCGCAAAAATAAGTAATGAGCTTGGGTCTACCTAGACATTCAGTTGACGAGATTTTACTCACGTCTCCATTGTGCCCATGCAGGGCCGTCGGATCTGGTTGGTTCAGGAGCGGGTGGGGGAGGCGCAGGCGCAGGCAGGGCCTTTGCTGCTCTCTCCCTGCGTTCGTTTCTCTTGTGAACGACCCTCCAAGCTGGTCGTGCAGGTGCAGGTGGCCCGTCGTCTGGTGGGGGAGGAGAAGCGGGAGGAGGCGGAGGAGGTTCTTCGGGCTGCGCATTTCATTTGATCCAAGATAACAAAGAAAAAGAGGACCGCATTTGTATTTATTGTAAACAGATCGATCGTTTTTATGAAAAGACAATTGTGCCCACCTTTCTCGGCCATTCTGGTGAGTATTCTCCTCCTGCGCCGTGTTTCGATTTAACTGCCATCAGTTCTGCGATCTCACTAAGGACATTCATAGAGAGTGGATAGTCGAGTGCAATGTTGAAAGAAATCCATGAATGCCGTAGATGTCGTCCTATAGGAAGATTTGAGAGGAAGAGACGTACTATTGCAGCTGCCTGCGCTCGTCTCTGAGCTTTCCTACTTCTGAGAGAAGGATGCGCACTTCGCTTGCAAGTGCTTTGCTGAAATCGTTCAGATATCTGCGATTGTTGTTTTTCACACAGAAAACGATCAGCTTTCACCGGATAACTTGTGGAACTTAGACCTTCTTACTTAGGAGGGGCACCGTTGAAAGGAACAGGAGACTTGTTGGAGGTCATAATAGTGCTTTGGCGGGAGAGATGTCAAGTGAAAACACGACACTGCGATGGTGAGTATTTCTGGTGGTGTCACGTCTGAAAGAGACGGTTACGCCCGAGGCAAATGCAGCATGAGGCACGCCTTGCTGTTACTCTCATGGACCCCATTTTAGACATGGTTTCTTTCATATCCAACGAACCCCATCTGTCTTTGTAGTGTAGACGTGGCTTATATTTTTATCAATACACTAGTACTAGTGCCCAACTTTGTTGCAACGTTGTTTTCAGCCAGCACGTTATTAGACATAAAACCAATGCACGTGACGAACACGTCGCGAGTGTGCAATCGAAGCTTCATCTTCAGAACATGGCCACCAATGGCCACCCAAGAAGCAAAACCACAAAAAATATGCAAGATAACAGAAGATAATCCCTTAAACACCGGTATTAACGATGAAAGACCATAAGAAGAGGAAAGTTCGCTATTTCGGGTATATTCTGCTGAGCTACTAGTCGACATGACATTGATTTAAGACTTCTTCCACGTAATCTGCCATGATGCGATGTGTTTCCTTGGATGGATGTCTGTGATAAGTAAACATTAAATACACGGCCGCATGAAATCAAGGTTAACGAGGACAATGTCCTCACCCAGGTATCCAGTAGAAGTAATGTTCTGGGTCTGAACAGGACCCCACCGTCGAAGTGCCGTTGCCAATCACGCAAGATGAAGTATTCGTATATCCAAATGCTTGATAGCCCGGATCGGAACCCAGCACGCCGTCCCAGATACGTGCAAAGTTGGCGAATGCGACATTTAAGGGGGGCGTTGCAGAATGGAAAGCTGTGAGACCATCGAAGATAGATTGCAGCCAGGCTTGACCATCGGCGTTTGTGGTGCCACGACCGTAGACGTCTGTGACGAGGAAATTGCGGGCATTTGTTGGAGACGATGAAAGAATCTGCATTTGGTTGAGGAGATCGTGGGCTGCTTGGGGCAGATGGTCGCCGTCAACTTTGCGAAGTAATATCATCAGATTGGATGGAAGATTGACGAAGAGGATACTTACTGAAGGAATCCTCCCAGTCACTGAGAATAACGTTTTAGAATTGAGCGAACTGTATGAGGAGAATACCTTACTTTATTCCAAAGAAAACCGTATACAGAGTTGTATCGGAATCGAGATTGTTTGATTGACTGAGGAAGGTGTTGACTAAGAGAGGATGAGCAGAGGTATGAAAGTGTTCTTGCGAATTTATTACCTTGCATGATAAAGTCTACATCTTTGGGATTGCTAGGCCAGAGAGTGATGTTTGTGACAGCGCTGGAGATCTGACAATGGAGATGGGAATCAAGCGGGCTGTAGTGAGGTGAGACGAGATGAACTAACGTACCGCGTAATCCATCAACGTCGCTCCAATGTCATCGGCGATATCCTCGATCCATACTCTCCCGTTCGTCGACCTTCCACCAGCTTGGGCATTGGGAGGAATGATTACAGGGGGAGCGAGAGGACCACCATCATGTCTACCCCCGTCTGTGTAAGAGTCCTGCACAGTAAACAACATAGCTTCAGTATTGCTGTCCGAAAGAGATGAGCGCGTACTAACCCCAAAAGACACGATTGTCTTGTACTGGCCGAGGTTAAGTCCTGCATTAACGTCTGCAGTGGTTCCACCGAGGGGCCCACACTGGGGCCCGACTGCTAAGTGGATACCATCGTTGTAGACTTGACGGGATATAATGGCAGCTTGAGCATGTGTTAAGAAAGCAAGCAGAGATATGTGGAAGATCATGACAGAGACAGGCTATGGGTTGACAGCAGGACCTCAGGACAGAGAACATGTTCGCATGAGCTTTTATGTTGCCAGGGACAAGAAGCGTACGAGAAGGGAGCCCTGCCTTGAGAGAAGTCTGAAAACGCGCGAAGCAACCCCAGAGATGCACTGACGGAGAAGAAGGAAGTGCTGTTAAGGGGACTCACTAGACTGATGGACCACGAGGTGGACCAGACTCCAAAGGCAATGGTACGGAATGGAAAGGGCGGGTGACAAGAACATGGGCATCATGTGAGACAACCACTTGCCCGTTCTCTCTCACAGGCAGCCATCGTCCGGATCGTTGCATGCGGTCGTGCCATTACCACCCTTATTCGCTTTCATTACGACCACATGCACACGAATCATTACAGCAATTGTGAACAATCCAAGGCAGAACTTGAGGCTAATTTGACAGTCACTGCCAGGTTTTTTGAGTCGAGTCACAGATGTGCCAGTGGCGCTGCGTCGCGCTCTTTGACCACGCTGCACTGAATTTGGCTCAACAGTACGCAGAAGACCTTTAACAGCACAGCGAGCAGCTCCTCCAGATCCCCACACCAAGGAAGCTCGCTGAATTGGGGACAGTCTTCTTTCCCACTGCCATCCCCGCAACTCTCTACATTTCTTTGGCAGTGTTATTCGCGACTGTGGTCGTGCACTATGACAGAGGACATCGTCCTACTTTGGCTTACCAGCGCTTATGATCACGGGAGCACAATCCTGGCGAGTACTGGCTGAGCAGACCTTGACATAGAGCAATGAGTGGGCGACTAATGGCGATGTGCACTTCGGGTCTTTTTCAACGTGATCTTTGCGGTCAAAGATTGGTATGTGAATGACCTAGGTTTACATTACCTCGAGTCTACGACGACTCAGTAGTAGAGAACGCTCGATATACTCTTCTTGGTACATCTGACGTGTGTTTTACTTTTGCAAGTTCCTGCTATTAGAAATACTTACTTCCACATGACAGGTGCCAGTCCACATAGAAGCTTGAAGATCACTGGGCGTAATCTCCTCATCCGCCCAATACTCCTATCTCTTCTGAGATATGACCGTACTAGCCCACAAATCACGGCTCCACGTTACTTTGTATCGAGGGCCACTACGAAAGTCTTGCAGCCGCTAGGCTACAAGTTGTCATTTAGATGGCTTTCTTCACATTGCCAGTAGACACAAACTGTGTTCCAACTTACTCCTCGAGGGGCTACTCTTACCTCGTTTTGTAAAATCTGACCTTAAAACACCGATTGTTGGGATGTCGTGGTCCATATTCCAATCAGTTTCATTTACACAGCGGGCCTGGTGGTTCCTTTGCGTACCTCGCCCTGTCCTGCTATGCCCTGAATCCACCCCCATGTTCCTCACTCCAATTTGCACTGCACACATCGAGAACCTCACTTTGCTTTCCTTCAGGATGAATCTTTTCTAATCACCCGCCATAATATCGGAATAATTTCGGGCGGAACTCTGAATGCCCTTTGAATCAATATTATGGCACATGCTCCACTATTCAGTACTTCAGTACTCAGCATTCAATATTCAATACTCTGTGGCTTCCTTGGATATATATTGTCAGTTACAGCGAGGGTCTATAATAAGCGTTCCAAACTTCACATGACGCGTCGGGCAAAATATATCACGCTTTAGCCTTTGAACGACGGTGCATATCTCCGCCTCATATTTCATCAGCTTGACTCGTCACCGGTCATCCATCATATCACGCGCTCTCTAGCCAAGTTCCTCGATGCCTTAAAAGCTTTGCCTGGCAGTACGTCTAGTTCCTCAAGCCGTCGCTCTGGTCAATCCTTCTCGACATATTGAGATGGTCAAAGCTGTCCTCGCTTTTGCTGCCCTTACTGGGCTAGCCCCTCTGACATCTGCCTCTAGCGCTTCGGACTATTGGCGTCGACAGCCTCAGCGTAGGGATGTCTCACCCACCGCCACTTTCGCTCCTGTCCCGTCGACATCTCCTACGGTCTCACCCATTGTGCCCAATCCTTCACCAAACTATGTCGACAGTTTCGTGAAGCCTTGCGGAGAAGCATTTTCCCTGAATGGCCAACCGTTCTATGTCAGCGGCTCAACTTTTTGATTTTCCGTAATTCGTACTCATTATCCCTTCGTAATTTTAGTTCGCTGGCGCAAATGCGTACTGGCTCATGAACCAGACGAACGACTGGGTGGATGCTGCTTTTGGTAACTTATCAGCTCAAGGGATTGGCGTTGTCCGAACTTGGTAAGTCCTCGTTTTGGTACTACATAGTTATATCACCAATTCAATGCAATTTGTCTGATTAGGTTCTTCAACAATGGGTAAGTGGGGCTTAGTATGACTATTGGACATATCTCTACTAACTTTTACGCACATAGCTACTACAATACTGTCAATGGCACTGAACAGGCATTCAATGACAGTCCAGAAGGCATTGGTCACCTCGACTACGTCGTTAAAAGAGCCAGGGATTATGGTATCAGGTTGATAGCCACTCTGGCGAACAACTGGCCCGTGAGTTCAGACCTCATTGATCCTCGTCGGACACAGTCTAATCGGTGTCACAGGATTTTGGCGGCACCCATTACTATCTTCAACAAACTGGATATCAATAGTACGCTGGTTATTATTTGATCAACCCGAATCGCTCAGCATAAATCTATTCAGCCACGACGATTTTTTCACACAGCCAGAATTGATCCAACTCTACAAGGAGTATATCTCCCACATTCTCAATCGCAATAACACCTTTACCGTAGGTCTTTTTTCGTCCCAACTTCCGCCATGTCTCATCTTATTCGTAACGTAGGGAATTTTGTTCAAGGATGATCCCACCTTCTTTGCCTGGGAGCTGATGAACGAGCGTGAGTGCCTTGCATACTTGTCTTCGGAATGTACTGACTCCTTCGTATAGCTCGCTGTCTGAGTTATACAGACATTAAAAGTCAAAATTGCACAACAGCGAGTGAGATATAGCTTTTACTCATCGCTTCACCATTGTGTGCAAATACTCACTTTCCACAATACTGTAGCTATGACAAATTGGATCGACGACATGTCAACTTACATCAAATCACTTGCCCCGAACACTATGGTCACTGTAGGGGATGAAGGTGCGTCACATTGGATCGCAGCCAACCTCTTGTATATCAATCATTGCACTAGGCTGGTTTAATGAGCCTAGCCTGGTTGACAACTGGTCAGTACGCGATTTCTTAGGCAACTACTCGTATTATATTTGTTCATAAGGCTGTACGACGGTTTCAACGGTATCGACTTTGAAACCAACCTCCAACTTGAGAATATTGACTTTGGTACATTCCACACATACCCGTGAGCCAGTCTTACTCAATAACCGGCGAGACCATTAGCTTCTTTTGATCTGATGTATATTTTACAGAGACCATGGTTGGGGAGCTGGGACCACAGGTTATGACCTATCTTTCGAGTGGGGTGAACAATGGATTCGTCAGCATCGTACCGTTGGAGCCAAGGTTGGCAAGCCAGTCGTGAATGAAGAATACGGGTTTGCTCAGAGGACCGACAGGTGTGCTTTTTCTTGGATATATATTAGCTCTGTTTACAATTTATGATCATAGGATGAGCTACGAGCAGTATTATTATGCAGTTACCGAGGACATTGGGATCGCAGGAGATCTCTTCTGGTGTAGGTGCCCCTTTCTACTTCGATATCCTCTTGCTCACATTCCTCCGATCCAGCCTTCTGGATTGCTCCTCCGGACGGTTCTCCGATTGCTGAGGGCAACTCGGCTAACTCGACCTACACTCCAGGTCTAAATTATTATACGAACGATACCGACTGGCCAATCATTCGTCAGCACGTTTATAATATGGCTCAACAAAATCTCCCTAAAGGTCAGGCGGATTTCTCATGCTTTGGAGCAAACAAGTATGTCGTTTTATCAACATTTTGATGTACATTGTCCCACTCATGCTATCTGAACGTTTAGTATGTTCTGTTCCGAGACAGCTGCGTAGATAGCCAAGCAAATGATCAGCCTGAAGACAACTGATCAAAAATTTCGGTGATACAGGTCGTCTTGGACTAGAAGTTAAGATTAGTATATGATGTCAGAGGATGTAAGAATCAATTCCTGCACAGAACCACCTTTTCCCTTCTGAATCAACGTGTACGCTTTTCGTAAGAGTGTTCTTGACAACCTGAGACCGCCCCTTTACGGTTTTTCGTGGATCGAGTATTGTAAGAATGAAGGATCTTCTTCCGAAGAACTGGATGGTGCTGGGGATGACCCTCTTTGACAGTGGGCACAGACCAACTTTCTGACTAACCTTTAATTTTTCTCAAGCTTTGGACGAAAGCTCTCTTCGACGTACAATGACTGACTGGAGAAGCCATTACACTCGGAACCGATCCTCACTCACTCGATTGTTCATGTAAGTGCCTTGACGTTTTTTGCTGATGCACATATTCTAATCACTTCTTCAGATTTTGAACGTTGCTACTTATGGCTTATCGGGCTATGACTGGAACGACAATGAGCTCATCAGGTACTCTACGTGACCAGAGGATATATGATGAGGTGTGCGGACCGATGGACACTAGATGGTCTTAATAAACGAGCAAGAAAATCAAGGAGTTTAATTGACTCGAACGCTATCATGGTTATGCCAATAGTAACGAAACGAGTAGGAACAAGGGAGATGAAGGGACTCCTACTCGGTTCCTATTGGACAGTTTGCGATCCGAAGTCGAATATACATGACAATGCCCGGATCGAGTCGAAATCTCGATACTGAACGTAAAATAAAATCTCGAATCCACAAGAATCGGCGCTGCGAGTGGTACACGTCGCTACTGATCAAGAAGCCTGGTTTTTGGTGTCACTTTGAGATGGCTCACCGTTGTGTAGATCATAATGAAGTCCGGAGATGAGCGAACATAGCTTTGAAACCATCATATAACTCTGAACTGTGTTCATCCATTCGCTCCAGGAGTGATATGACTCTAAAAACATCTCGGAGGTGAAGTGGGAGTGAACCGATAATGCTAAGGTCCACCTTTCCATAGACAAAGCTGATAACGTGATAACACAACATCAGTCTCGTCCAACGACACACAATTCAACCCGTGAATTTTCACAAAGATGCACTATGAGAGAAGCTATACCATTTCATTGTAAGCCTACCATTGCACTATCGAAATACACTCATGTGGTCCTTACAGTCCAAATTTCCCAACAGAACAACATCCCTAGCAACTTTTGGCACTTTGCGCTTCCTCCATCTTGACCCACATTCCTCCCTGTCAAGCGAAAACATCAGCCTCGCGACTTTACGGTGACCAGCACAACAAGCGAGTGATACTTACCATAGAATAAATAGTTAAATAGGCCTTCGGCCTGAACTTTTCTATGCCCTTTCGACCACCAGCTGTAGCCCATTCGGCGGGAGGGCGAGATTCAGGGGATCGAGCCTCAAGATCAAGCGTAATAGACGAGAAATTTTGCAACAGGCGAATGAGCATGAAAGACATCTCGTTGTACGCGAACTGTAGGTCGGTGTCGCCGCGCAATCAGTGTGTGATAACAAAAAAGGGTTGCATAACAACTTACCTGTTGACCAAGACAAATTCGAGGTCCTGCGTTGAATGGCAAGAAAATAAACGGGTTGGGTGTCAAATACTTCTTCAGCCTGTCGTCGAGGAATCGATCGGGGTCAAATTCGTTAGCTATCACAAGAGTTAAATTTCTAGCCGACAACATGCAGGTGCCCTCACTCACCATCTGGACCCCACAAATCAGGCCTGCGATGCATGAGGAGGACTGAATAAGCAACACTGGATGATTGTCAATAAACTACCAGATGCACAGAGGGAAAAATAGAAACAAACGTAGTTCTAGCAGGAATAAATAATGGTTTTTCATGAGGGTTCAGTGAAGACCATGTAGTATCATTGATACTTTCGCTTTATACATTAGACAGAAATGTGATAAGGAAAAAACAAGCAATTAACAACAAGTTCACTGACCGCAAATTGAAGGGACTGATCGATTGACCTATAACATGAGATAGTATATTTTCATGTTTAAATGTCACTTACACTGCCGGAAAAAGCCTCAACGTTTCTGGAGATAGTAAAGGTAAGCTTGGATGAAACGATTACATGCAACGCTTTACCATTCAGGACTGCACGAAGATACTTCATATCCCTAATATCATCGTAGGTGGGCCTTCGGCTGGGTCCAATCTTCGCCAATATCTCCTCCCGAAGACGGGCAAGAGCAGGAGGGTGCAAAGCGAGGAGATAGATGGCAGAAGTCAAGGTCGAGGCAGTCTAAGCGAAGAACTTTTAGTATGAACATCAGGAAAATGTGGCGTGACATGCCGTGTCTCGACCAGCAAGGAGGATATTGAGTACTTCATCTTTGAGTAAAGTGATATCTACAACCAAGGTTATTAGCGTGCGCAACCTCTATAACCACGAAAAATGCCTTCCTTACCTGTGGTCTGGCGTACAAGGTGTTCCAGAAGTGTTTCTTCGTCCAGAAACGCATCTTTGTCGGCATCAAAAGACGACTGGTGTTTCTGAATGGCCTCCTTCAAGATGGGCTCCAAAAATGCATTAACGACCTGCATAGGCTCCGCCGTTCTGTCTGCAAATAATTCCAGTAAAGGCCATGTCTGGCCTACCGTATTGCGCCTGGCGACATTGCGTTGAGCGTCTTTAAATGCGCGCGCGAACCTCTCCGAGGAACTGTTATCCTGAAGTTTTGTTTTGTTCACGTCATAAGGATACGGTAGTCCAGAGAAAAGTGTGTCGACGGAATGTCCGAACAGGAATTCAGTAGCCGAGTCCAGAGTAAACCGCGAAATTACATCCTTATTGCATGGTGAACAATATTGTTACATCAGGGCTCACGATGAAATAAGAAAACGAAAGGATGCACCTGGAAATCAATGGCATGGCCGGAATTAAATCGGTCTTTCATCAGGGAAACCGTTTTGTTCGCATGTCGGTCAAATATATCAAAATGGCTAATCCTGTCGCGATTGAAGAACGGACGAGTCATGGTGCGGTGGAACCTAAGGCAAATGCCATAAGCCAATGCACTTTGCTTATAGAATATAATCTTTACTTCCACGTTTCTCCTGAACATCATTATTTGGCGGTTGTGGGTGTCATATATAATGAGTTAATCGACTATGCCAACTTATCATATGACTCACCATCAGAGTTGAATACACCAGTGCCTAAGACGGATCGAGCAGTATCACGGAACTTTTCACCTATTCGGGATTATCGTTAAAACAGGATGGTGAGATAATGGTCAATGTGCAGACCTTTCTCGTAGTTATTGAAATCAGTAGCGAGGATCGTCTGCATCGGCATTACCAAAGCAATGCATTAAAAAAACATGATGATTACTCACCTTGATATGATTTGGTTCCGCCGTCATGATGACGTCCTCCCATAATATGTTCAGGTTGATGGTTGGTCCGTATGCAACCATATGTTCATGCATGACCTGACCTGAGCGAGAAAATGACAAGGTCAAGTCACGGCTTGATTTGGCCTGGATATGAATGAACTTACCAATATAATCATCGTCACCTTTTGTGACGAGCTCTATCAACACATCCATATTTCCAATCCATTTCCCTTGAACTCGCGGAACTGCTCGCGCGCCCATTATCATAGCTCTTCTCCGATGAGAGCGCTGAGTCCAAGCCAAGTAAACCGTGAATACGATGGGAGTGCCACCAAACAAGAAAGCAGAGATCGCCCATGATGAGAGAGAGAGATGATACAATGAAAAGATGCGTGAGACAGCAATGAAGAGACCAACGATGGGAATAACGAAGGAGAAAAACCAGCGAGTGAGCAATACCACACCTGGTGTTTTCCACGACATGGTAGTACTCTGAGTGAATTAGTTGATGCTATTCAATCACCACCGTAACATACAATAATATGCTCTGGGAGGTTTTTGACACAACCTTCGCGCATGAGTGCAGCTTTTATAACAATGATGAGTTCGGGTTACTACTTATCGTGGGGCAAATATCTGATGCTGCGCTTTGATTGAAATACGGTTCGTTGCCAAATGCAGTTGCCGCCGCAGGTTAGTCTGCATCCAAAGTGAGGACAAAAACCGTAGTACAGGAATCGGCAACTCTGCCATAGCTAGGGAAGTCACCGAATCGGTCGACCAATTGACCCACTTGTAGTTCCCACGGAAGTCCTGTAACTAGACATTGTATTACCCTGCTGATGTAAGTCTAGTTAGAGGCATATATCCGTTTCCCGGCCTCTTTCTATATTTCCTTAATAATTCCACAGACTTAGGCTCGCCGCGACATCACCTCCACCGGCAATACCAGAGTCCCTGTCGGAGGCATGACCACAATTGCTACGTCATCGCCTAACGGCTTGTCGGCCAATGACAGTCGCAACACGAACAGTAACGCGCGTGACGGGACGCGCCTGGCATCGAGCACAATGCAATGCATTTGTACCATGATTTTCTAAATATGTCAGGGTAAGATGGCGATCGAACGAAGCCGCGAAGCGGCTTCGTTCGATCGGTGGGCTGGAGGCATGATGAAGAGATACCAGACTGCCCTCAATGGAGGTAGACGAGCAGTTTCGGATTTTATTCCTCATCAGTGGTATCTTCAGAGGTTTATATATGCAAACTGGCGAGAGTAGCGGCGCTTTAAATCGCATACTCCGACGGGGTCCTAGCTATTAGATTCTTCGATTACGACTCGTACTCGAAGGTTCAGACGGTTCAGATGGTTCAGACGGGGCGGTTCAGACGGTTCAGACAGGGCGGTTCAGACGGTTCAGACGGTTCGGACAGGCGGTTTAGACAGCGGAACGCTCTCCGAGGAGGTTCAGACGGTTCAGACAGGCGGTTCAGACAGGCAAGGTTCAGACCGTTCAGACAGTTCAGACCGCGGAACACTCTCCGAGGAGGTTCAGACGGTTCAGACGGGCAAGGTTCAGACGGGCAAGGTTCAGACGGTTCAGACGGTTCAGACGGTTCAGACGGTTCAGACGGTTCAGACAGACGGTTCAGACGGTTCAGACGGGCAAGGTTCAGACGGTTCAGACAGTTCAGACAGTTCAGACAGGCAAGGTTCAGACGGGCGAGGTTCAGACGGTTCAGACGGTTCAGACGGACGGTTCAGACAAGCAAGGTTCAGATGGTTCAGATGGTTCAGACGGGCAAGGTTCAGACGGCCAAGGTTCAGACAGCGGAACGCTCTCCGAGGAGGCTCAGACGGTTCAGACAGTCGGTTTAAACTATTGAACCATCTCCCAGGAGGTTCAGACAATTCCATGGTTCAGACTGTGGAATCCTCTTTGAGGAGCCTCACAAGGCTCATGGCCAAGGTTTAGACGGTTCAACCAGTCGGTTCAAACTGTGGAACCCTCTCCAAGGAGGTTCGGATGGGTCAGAAACACAAGGGTTCAGACCTTTAAGGGTGTTCAGGCGGTTCAGATGGCCATTTATTACTCCCATGTTTATTTGCCGTTCCTTTGTCATTTTGAGCATAACGTGCCATAGCAAATATGAACATGCATCTCCTCGGAGTTACCAATTGGTTTGACTTTACCGCTTATTCCTATTCCGGTGTTCAGCCGTTGGTTGTAATTTCAGGTTACGTTTTTTTACCTGTTCAGTCCAAAGATAAGGTACAGGCATCTATGTCAATGGCTATCGAGTTACAATGTATTTATAATTAAAGTCATGAAACCAGTATCCCTATCAAGTACTTAATTTTTTCTTTTGAATTTTACTTAAATCCCAAAGCGTCTCTGCCGCCACAAGAGACATCTCAGCGCACTTAACTCGTGTTGCGAGGAGTTCTTGGAGGTCCATTTTCTCTATCTCCTCCTTGGACGGTGGGGCCCATGAATCTAATAAAGGTTGAAGTACGCTATACATGGCATGCCCAGAAGAGCAACCTTACCTTCGGTCCACTGATGCTTTAATAGTGCTTTTCGAGTCTCCGAGGACCTCCAGTAGCAGCGCGCTTGTTTCCTTTGACATGGTATACATGACGTTCCCCGCGGATTGTCGAATTCCTTCACACAGCACAGCGGCCCTTCTTTCTTCACATCGCTGAGGCATTCCGCACAGGGTATTACCTATATTGCAAAGTCAATTCACTCCAGTACGTTACACAAGTGACCACTCACATAAGGAATTGGTTTTGATTGCTTCTTCGGCGTGGTGGTGTCCTTGGAGGGGGTTTCCTTGGCCTTTCCTTTTCCCTTGGAGGGGGTTTCTGCCTCCGTCTTGCCTTTGTCCTTCAACGGACTTGGGACGTTCTGCGCGTACCTTTTTTTCGTGATCACCACTTTCACTTGTCTATATCTCGGCTTGATCCTCTCCGGCTCCTTCTCCCTTTCCTTCCCCTTTGACGAGACTTTCCTGGCCGGGATCCGGATTTGAGGAGGACCCATTTTCGTCTGTTGCGTGTTTAGGTTAAATAAATTTTACCCGACAGCGAATTTTACTTGCCATTGGTGTTTGTGGTATTTGACCGGGACTCTGTCGTTGTAGTATTCTCGGTCAGCTTTAAAGGCACTCGTGGCAATTCGTCTTGACTTACCTGATATTTCGCCGTCGGAGGGACCTCTTGCTCCATGTCATCATCCTCCTCTTCATCTATGGCGTCGTCCTCCTTTGTTTCCATTTCCCGGACATACTCGACCTTCTTCATAAAGGTCTTGTAGAGAGGCATCTCACGGACCTTTGGCATGAGAACCTCAGCTTTATCGAACTCCTGTGACAGCAAGCTCTACAAAGGAAGGTTAGTAAATAAATGCCCAGCGTGATTTTCCGCTCACCTCTTGTTGCCAAAACAGTGCTTTGCCTCGACATCGCTCGGCTTATTTTTTACTGCTTCCACGGTGGTGTCGAACGGGATCGACCTGATAGTTTTGACAATGTCAGAAAGTTGTTTTTGGAATGCGGAGTTCATGGTAGTTTTGTTGAAGTGACAGCGAGTAAACCCTTGTCCCGTGGAAGGCTTGTTTGTCGATCGGAATTGGCCGGCGGCTGTCAAACAGTATTCTTTCCTATCGATCAAATATCAAAAATGGTCTGCTGATAACAATTCTTCTATTTCTGGTCTCACGTGCCGCCTAAACTCCGGGGAGACTGTAAGCCTGGTCATCTGAGGATCATAACTAATTTATTTTTACTTTGAGAACACTTCTATATAACACGTGGTTCCAAATAAACCACTGTTGCGATGAACATATCGAAAATTAAATGAAACATCCTCTATGTAGTAAACAGCAATCAGACGAATGATTTGGCCTCCCAAATCATTGATGCTCCAGTTTGACAATTTTTTTGATAATGCAACAATCCCAGCCAAGTCCTTTTCTGCAAAGGTTGGTCCTCGCTCCACGGAAGAAAAATCCCTTTTCAGTCTCCTAGCACAGCCAATGTTGACACCATGTTTTCCAAGGAGTTGTAGCTGGTACCCCAGCATTTGCCATGTAGCAAGTATTTTAGCGAACATCTCGACGCCGATTAAAGTCCGTTCCTCTCCGAGGAGTTTACATACAACATCGGGCACTCCTCAAACGTTTCGTATAACATTATGGTTGCATCCATGTGCTGAACCTTGTTCTCCTTGTAATATTCGTACGCCTCGGAGCGCTCCATGTTCTTGCTCAATGTCCTAGTATAAGCTAACCTACATCTTGCTTTTTGACTATGGAACTCGACATGCCATGGGTTCATGAGCGGTTAAAGTTCCATTCCATCTCGTTGTCCTCTTCCGTGCGGCGCGATAGATTTCCTATCCATACCGTGCCGGTAAGGTTGGGCGACTGAACACGAGTGTAATGACACCAGTATTGCGTGACCCGGAGATTACTGATCACACACACCACACACTGATTAAATTGTCACTCTTTCTACGCAGGCGCTTGTTCGCCGGTGAGGAGTTGAATTGATATAGTCATTGCCTGAATATTATCCCGGACATATACCGTTAGCTTGACATGTTACGATAACACAATTTCCGGACATCTCCTTTTATTTCATTCTCCGCTTTAACTCTATACCTTAATTGCCACGCGGCATCTCCCTTTCTCGCGCCGCGTTGCCTTTCTGTTATTTTTAGACTTAACTCTCTCACACAGTGGAGCTGGCCATACGGGCTAGGCCCTATGACATCACCAGCCACTGCCTTCATCAACTGTATAGTACACATGTACAAACAAACCTGTAGTAGTATATATATCCCAATAGATCCAGGAGACTCCTCAGCGAGTCCTCCTGTTGTATACCAACTAACTCACTGCAGCCCAAGGGGTACCCACTCCCCATCTTCCATTACCTTTATAGTGTGTTCCTGTGTGCGCCAGAGTAACTAACTCTTGGTTGTTACATGACATCCCATGTCCCTTTCTTGTACAGATATCTTTCAGCGGTTCTCGTAACGTATTATTGTTTTGTTCATTTTTCAGACATTTCAACTTGTTCTAAAATCTCCATTCATCGGGCGAGTATATCATTTAACCCCACGATTTGGAATGAGACATTTACTTATTCTGTAGTTTACATGGGACGGACGTGAGAAGCCTTATTGATCAACAGCATTTCCCTCGCTCTAATGTGGCCATCATAATTGGCTATTATCTTCACCAGATCTCTCCTCTTTGCGTCCCACACAGAGTAGGCCTCTTCGCATTCCTTCGAAAGCGTTTCAATTTCCTCCCTGTTCCGACTTATTCTCTCTTTCTACTCTTCCAATTGTGAGTCCGAGGTTCCCTGGAATTGGGGAAAAGAAAGATCGCTTGGCAACGATAGTACCAAAGGACTCTGAGGAGCGCCTGGCGAGACAGTGAGATGACGCACGGAGGAACTCGAAGTCTCCCTTGCATTAGAGTGCGACGTTTCAAGGGGTGAGTAGAAATCTCGAGAAGAAGTCGCAAAGGATTACTTTTGAAGTCATGTACTTTCCGGATCTCATCTCTTGTAGGATTGTATATGTCTTACAAGCTCGTAAATACCCATTGATATACCTTTTGTTCGGAAATAGTATAACCGAGTCAATTCGTTTTCACACGAATACGCCCACCCTAAACCTTGTCGCTCCGGTTACGATTACAACTCGAGGTTGGTGAACTCCTCGCAGTTATGTAGAGAAGCAAAAGTACAATACAAAAACGAATCAAATTAGCAGTTTAGTCAATGAGTTACATGCAATCATTTTTCTCTGTCCATGAGTCCATAATACATCAAAACCGCCTCCGTCCTGAACTGTAGTATTGTCCATCTGTCATACTCTAATTCAGCCGCTCGGTTTTCACTGAAAACATAATGGTCTAGTTTATGTTCATTCAGGACCTCCCAAGCTTGTCGTAGTTGGTCTTCCTCGGAATGCTCCTCGGAGTCTTCTTCAATTGCGTTTGCCGGAATGTCTTCCTGGAGTGGAACGGGCATACGATCTATGTGATGTCGATGTCAGGAACACAGGTAAAAGCCTTTAGAGGGATACTAACCTTCCTGGCTCCTTTCTGCCCATCTCAAAGATTCTGAGATTGCGTTGATCACCCAAATTCCTTCGTTACACTGAACGCAGTTGCTTGCGGTCGCTTCTTCCTGCATGCCAACAGATGGGTTGGTAGTAGTGTCATCTTTTACATGGTCTACCCACCAGCAAGGAACGAAGTTTTTCTGTATATTCGATGAAGCTGACACCGCCCCTGTACTCATGCTCTTCAGGGACCACATTATCTTTGTAGAGCTTCTCCAAGGCTTTACTGAACCTTTTGGCTTGGCGTTTGGCTTCTGTCAGTGTCATTAGTTGGAGTTAGAGTCCAAATCATCATTGACCACTTTGTGGAATCCGTTGTGTAATCACGTGGCCGCCACAGCATGGGAACGTTCGAGTAGCCACCATGAACTGTCATTCCTCTCTGACTGAGTAGTTATCTATTGTTTCGCCATGCCTGATACGTCCACCTACTTGAATTGCCTCAGCGAGTTTGTCGGTAGTAGCCAGGGTGAAATCCGATCCGAGCAACATTGACATTTTGAAGGATTTCGGGAAGCAGCAGGCAAGTCATATCTGACCGCCATATTTCATAGTCGACGACAGGTTGATATGTAGCATTATGGTCTAACGCTTTATGACCATCTGCAAGACGTTCCGGGGATACACGGCTCCCCGGAGCACACAAAATTTTTGGCTCAAATAGTGGACGTCATCAATGTCTTATCGGCATCAGGCATGCAATATGCCTACGACGTCTCCGCGGACAAAATCGCTATTCCAGGCAGCAGCTTAGGCCGTGCTATGGTAAGTGAATCGCTCAATGAAATTGTTGTCATGATAATGATGGATATCTAGGATCCGGAAACCAATGGTGAGGAGTCCGAGGCGGAGGACGACGACGACGATATTTTATTTGTTCTAATGGTGTGTATTGACGTTGCTCCAAGGAGTGAGCATTGCACGATGACATGTTTGTAGGTAGAGCCATGTCGGCGATGCACATCTTTGCGCAAGACCTGCAAGTTTCTGGTCTCCACGGAGTCGGCCTTTTGTCACACAAAGATGTGCTATTTTTGCAGTCGGGCTGGCAAACACTGCATATGGGATGGGGAGGCTCGAGCATATGGATCTAGGAACATTTAAGGTCAAACATCCTCGGACCTCGACTCTGCAATCACAAAATATGAGCTCAAACAACTTGCGATATTGCAGTCGTTGTCAGATCTAAATGAACGCTTGGAAGCTATGCAGCGTAACCAGTAGCTACCAATCCTTCCATTGTAATCAAGTGTAGTAATTCAGTTTAGTGTTACTCATCCAGGGATGGCGGGCTTCGTTTTAAAATTGAAAGTTGTTTTTTTAGTACAGCGCTCGTAACAGACTTTAGCATCGTTCCGTTGACCCTGCAAGATCTTTTGCACACAGCGATCCGCAACTCGTGATCCGCTTCCCTTAATCCACAATCGGGCGATCCGTTCTCACGGCACCGAACCCAACAATGTAGCACGGAACCCAATGCGTCTACGATAGACCTTACTTTCTTGTTTTTGTTTGACTGATAGTTGGTACGCGTTTGCAGTAACATCTTGTATCATATGGGATGCTACCTGAAAGTAGGACTCGTTTCGACTCCACGGACATGATGATGCACTGTTTACAGTACTCTGGATTCTCGGTCATCTGAAACCGTTCCGCTTTTCTCGCAAGAATGGAAACGAAATTATTTGCATGATCACTACATTCATTTTTCATTTTTCCCCAAGAAATAGGTAATGGTGCTCGGCGCGGCCGAAATACCGAGCAGCACTTTGCGATCAGTAAAACATTACAGCGTTGTTTTTTTTCAAGTATAAATACCGTCTCTGACCGTTCAACGTTTTTCTTCAACTTTTCAAAGTTAAACCTCATTACATACCATATACTTTTTAACATGCCTCTAACACCAGATGTTTCTATCTGCCCCAAATGCGAGGGCAAAAACAGTCGTGACCACCAGTGGGATCGACATAGCAAAACCGCATTGATTGAATGTTCCTTCGGAATTTTCAAGATTGAGCGTACGTTTGACACCCTCATGTGTCCCATCCGAGGGTGCAACGAGGAGAGGGAGCGCATCAGGACAATGCGAAAGCATCTGTCGGTCGCCCATGGAGCTTTGACCGATAATTCTGACCACTCGCCCGCTGGTATGTCTTTTTTCTTATTGTTCGGAGCCTTCTCTTGACAAGCTTCAAAGTTGTAGCTCTGCGCGCAGACGACACTCGTACTTCCGTTGTTGGGACCGTTTTACGACAGGGGAAAGTTGTCAAGAAAGGTAAGGCAGTAGGCGTGATGGGCACGTATGCGCGATCTCACTGTTGACCTAGGTTTAGCAGTAGGACAAAGCGTTGCAGATGAGTCGGAAGACGTTGCTGCAGAAGGTATGTCACACCTCCTTTGTGCGTTACACAACAAAAGGGCTAAGTGACTTGCATTCAGAACAAAACTTGGAGCTCGTCAACTCTGACGACGAAAAATCCATCCTCGGAGATCCTGAGTATCACTCTAGTGCGAATTTCTTCGAAGACACCATTAAAAGTAAGTTAGGGAGTTGCTACTTTGTATCGCAGTCCATAACATACTTCATAGAACTAGAGCATAGGAAGCGTGCAAAAGTCGCACAAGGTCCACAAAACGCCTCCGAGGAGTTGGACGATGAGGTCTCTCAGTTGCTTACGGAGGCTCAGGCAATTCCTGATCCAGACACCAACGGTGTGTATCTCTACCATCGTTTTATCTTCCTTGAAACGAGCTTAGAAATATCGGAATGTTTCCTTTTCATAGAGCAAGGCCACTTGATCTTCGTACCTGGCCTTTCTTATCTGGTCTCTAACAACCTGCTGAGGTCGTGTGGCCTCAGGTACCATGTAGGTTTGAGAATACTAATATGCTTAGATTGCAAGTTTGGCGTCTTGGCAAAGGACGCTCACTCGCACCTTAGCTACAGTCATCACCTCGAGGTAGACAAGGATAACATCTTGGAGGCATTACGCCCGCTGCAGCCTATCGACGACGCCCACGACATGCCCTTCATCGCTCCTAACGGTCCTCCTCTGGAAATCATTCCAGTGGTGGACGGCTATCAGTGCACTCTGCAGTGCACCTTTTGCTCCTTTAAAAAGGGTACCTGTGAAAGGCACGTCTACCATCATCCGAGGGAGCAGAGGAACTCAGGGATCGACAACTTGAGAAACGCTCGGGTTCAGACGGTGTTCCAAGGCAGGAACCGCAAATATTTTGCAATCAACGAGGCGCTTGCATCGCCTTTGTCCGAGGAGTTGCCCTTGGAAGAGATACTTCGTAATTACGAGTCTATCTTCAATATGGTCGGGCCTTCGTCTCCGAATACGCTGAGGGAGGTCCCTCCTCTTTTGCAAATCACCCAGTGGCATGTATTACTGCGGGAATACGTGGAAGATGAAGAGAAGCGCAAACAGCTTATGACCATCATGGGCCTGGAAGAACCCGAATGCCAGTTTGCTTACACGCACATGCGCAAGGCCAGCATCAAGTACTTGAACGAAGCCGCGAATAGGGTCAGGCAAGGTGGTCTAGGCATCCGTTGCCTAATAAAGCACGGCCCAAATGTGTAAGCCATTTCCTTTCATCGTCATAAGTCCAGTTTCCTCACCCTTGTTCGCACAGATCGTCTACGAACACAGACCACTTCCATACTCTTCTCACTGATTCCAGTGTCGACACGTACACCGAGGTGTTGGCTTCATACATCACATTTCTTTTCAGGACGTATACTGGATTCGGTGACCAAGCTATTGCCCTTCCTACCAATCCCCAGCAAGAGGACATGATTTCGGAATTCATACATTCACTCAAAAATCAGGCCGAAGAAGTTCCATTTCCACATGATATACTATTCAGCATGATGGGTCCCAACGACTCCGCAGAGGAAGGTGACACATTCCAGTGTCCGCTGCTCAGGTATATTGCCTTGGGATCTCTGAAGGCAGACGGCACATTCATAGAGGCAGAGTGGTTAACAGGCAAGTTGGCCAAATGGAAGTATATCATTAAATGCTGCGTGGTGATGCAGTCCGATCTGCACAAAGAGGAATCTACGTTCCGCAGGTAAGTCTGTTGTTTCTCGCTTTTTGCAAAACTACTCTAATCCCCGATAACGATCCAGGGAGATATTGGCTAACTACGACACCCACTTGAGCATCGGAAGCGGGTGTCCCTTCAATTTCATATCGGAACTCCAGTCGGCGGCTTCTTCAATCGCCAAATTGACTGTACACATTCCCCAAGTGTTTTGGGACGAACAATTTACCAAGCTATCGATCTCCGGGGAGGTCCTGTACATGTCGAAATTACGCTCCGGGTTGCAGGAAATGATGCAAACCGCATCCTACATTATGAAGGAGCTTACCGAAGGGGTGAAGTATCTCACCCGCCTCCCAGAGGACGTCAAGGACAACTTTGCAAACAAGGATTATGGCTTCTTGTGGTTGTCCGGAGGTCCCTTTACGGACCGCCCTCAACCCCTTGTGACTGACGTGCTGCAAAGCACAAAGTGGAACCTTTGCAGGAAGGACAACGCCGGCCGAATTTGTTGGAATATACCCACCGCTTGCTCCATCCTATCAAAATGTGCCATGCTAAATGAGGTATTGTCTGTCCTTAATCACATAGTACCCTCTCAGCCTTGCAGAGGCACAGAATGGGTAGATATGAAGATACGGAATTCGATGAGGACACAAAATCATTACAATTTGATGTCGAGCATGTACTGGATTGTCCGGTACACGAAGATAACCAGCATTCTAGGTCACAACAATTACATTCCATTGTTATGTCCGAGTACCCTGAGGGATCTCAATATGGAGTATTTCGTGGTCGTTCGCCCCTTGGAGGTGTTCCTGACTTCCTTGGTTTACGGCGAGTCGGCGGTCAGGTTGTTCCAAGAATATGCTTGGGTTCAGATGGGCAAGCGGGTCTCCTCGGAGCAATTCTCGGTATACCTGAGCACCCACATAAGGGTCTTCTGCGACGCATCGTTATTGGTTAATAACTGGCGAAATTGCGCGGTGTCTATAATGAGGCAATTCATAGAGCCTCACTACTACATGGGGGGCGACAGGATAGGCGATCTGGCGTCTGGCCACGGTACTTACATGTCCAGGAATCGGTACGGTTTAGAACCGAACGGTATTCCTCAGTTGACGACAGATGCCATGCACGAGTTTGCCAAATTAGACCGTCAATGGCACGACATATTGGGTTTCGGTGTTAATCCTCCCCCAATCGCCATCGTCTTTCTTCCGCGCAACGGGGGAAACTCACAAAACACGAAGGACGACCTGTTGGGCAAGGACTGGTGCCAGAAGTTTGCTCAAGCGTTGACACAGAGAGTGGTCGAAGACCTGAGGGCCACAAGACAGAAAGACATCACCAAAGGCGCTGCCTTGGCGCTGGGTCAAGCCATTTGCAGCAAGTTTGACGTCAGCTCATTCTCGTCGGATTGCAGTATCGAGGACGTCTTGAACGCGATTTATGAACGCGGTCATAAAGAGAGACTGAAGGACATGAAGCAAGCGGTGGAGCTTGCTCTCTCGAAAAGAAAGAGAGGCGTGGAAGAGGACGAGGACGAGGAAGCAAACGGGCCTAAGAAGAAGAGCCGCTCCGAGGACAGCAATTCCAATGACAGCGAAGTAGTAGTCGTCGACGCCGTCGTTGAAGATGCTCTCCCTCCTTCCTCCATTCTACCTCCTTCCAGTCTCCCTCCACCACGTTCTCTTGCGCCCGTACTGGAACGGTCTCAGTCGGCCATGGAACCATCGTTCGCTCCGAGGAGAGCTGAACTTGTCTCTGGCAAGAAGAAAAGGTACGAACAACATTTGTCGAAGTCATGCACAGTTGCTTATTCGCGATATAGCATTGTCCAAGACGTTCCCTCGGACGTCAATCGTTTGTTCGATTCTGACGTTGAGGTCGTAGAAGGACTCCCTTCCACCCCTTCCGTCGATCGCACTCCCGGACGTTCCAGGCAAGTATATATCATTATATTGTTATTCTTTTCTAACCAGCTATATTGATCCACTGTACTCGCAGGAAAGTGCCAGACGTCGCGTCCGAATGTGACATAATCCATTCGGATGATGATTTATCTGGAGATTCGCTGTTTGGTGGCCTTGATTCGGAGGAAGAAGACAACAGTCATCTTACCTCCAGTCCATCTTCTTCCACCGACTTTGCTACCAAACAGGTGTTACAAGTACTCCGGTTGTTACACGGTCCTGACGCACGTCCGAGGAGCAACGGCCAAGCGGAATTGATTCACCATGCTCTGGCTAATCAGAGGGACCTATTCGTTCGTCTCAAGTGTGGAGCAGGCAAAGCGTCAACTTGGCTTGCTTGTGGAAAAGTGGAGCTTGACAAGGTCACCGCCGTCGTCATTCCCTATAGGAGCCTTCTTGGTCAGCACATGGAAGAAGCCAATCGCATGAGGGTGAAAAGCGCGAGATGGACGCAGAGCGAATGGGAAAAGCGGCCAGAACAATATCAGGACGATGACATTCATTTGTTGTTTTTGCCCATGGAGGCTCTCAAGACGTCTCACTTTCATATGTAAGCGCTTTCACCTCTCGCCGCCGACCCTCATAATTGACTCATTTGCGCTGCAATTAGCTTCCGTCGTGAGAGCAAAGTCGGACGGCGAGTCCGCAGACTCATCCTAGACGAGTACCACGAGTACTTCGTCAATGAGGAGCTACGGCAGCCGGACCCTGTCTTCTTGCAAGTGCAACAATTTGAATTCCAGAAGATTGCTATGACGGCTACCGCCCCTCCCCGCCTCGAGACTAGGTGGAAGAGAGTATTGGGGTGGGGTCAGCACATATACACCATCTCCGAGGAGACGGACAGGCTCGATATCAGACACAGCATAGTACAATTCCCAGGTGGCAACACATTGGGTAAATGGCGTATGAGGGCGGTCGGTCGGCTCATCAAACATCTCGAAGGCACCTTAGCCCCAGGCGAGGCTATACTGGTCTATACCATGTCCTGCGATGAAGCGGACAAACTCGGAGAACAGTTCCAAATGGCAAGACACCACAACAAGCTCCCCGCTTCCAGTCCCAACTCCAAGTCCGAGTTCCTGTGTATGTGGATGGAAGGACACTACAAGACCATGGTTGCGACTTGTGGGCTAACCGCAGGCATGAACCACATGAGGGTAAGATATATTTTCTTTGTGGAACAATGCTACTCCTTTGTGTATTACGGTCAAGGTAGCGGCAGAGGCTACCGTAGTGGAGGGATCGCAGACTTTGTCGTGATTGCCCTGAACACGAGGGTGATGAAAAAGACGCCCAAAATCGACCATGGTTGTCTCGGCCAATGGAAACGCTATAGGGTCAACAAAATGACATGTCATTGCAGCATCTTGAGAGAATGCATGGACAATGACAGCGCCACCTGTCTCGATATCCCTGGAGCGGTCAAGTGCAATATATGCGAAGGTTCCAACCCTTTGCAAGAATTGGCTGTACGTGCCTGGAACGACGACTTGCCTGTGCCTGTACCAGTCCCTGTATCCACGGAATCGTCCTCCGAGGAGGTTATTCAACCCAATCCAATCAACGATGATCCTCCCTCTCCAGCACCGTTTCCTTCCTCCTCATCCTCTAAGCAGTCCAATAGAAATTCTTCGGACAAATTGGACAAATGGACAAGGAAGCAGCTTGAAGGAATGGACTGGGATCAAGCGGAAGCCGAGTTGGTGGCGATCGAGAAGAGTGCGCAGAAGACGACGACCACTAGCTTTGTTCTACCACCTGTTCCAAGGTTCCATGCTGATCAGGTCTCTTCTCCACCGTCTTCCTCTCCCTTGCGCCATGTCCTCAAGTCCAAACACAGCAATAAACCTTTGATCTCCTCGCCCCTTGCCAAGGTCTCCGTGGAGCAGTCCGCTAGACAAGCCGCTCGTGAGTGTCGTTTTGAAGATGTAGGAAAATCTTCCCCCCTCTTGTCCTTATGTTTCAAGGGTACTCCAAAAGCGCAAAGTCGTCCTGACGCCAATCCCTCGGGGTCTGTGTCCTCCCGACAAATACCGGTTTCTTTCGACGTTCCTAAGCAAGCCGCTATGTCAGAAAAAGCAAAAGGCAAGCAAAAGGCCATGAATGTGGTTCCTGTAATTTCTAGTCCGACAATAGCTCTTCTTGCTCCGACCAGGCCAACCAATGTCCATGTCGCCCCTCCCCAGATCCATCCCAGCGTGTTTGACACTCCCCGTCCTATGAGCGTCCCCACAACCCCCAAAGCTGCTCGACTCCAGGGGTTCCAATCCGCTCGCTCGCTCCTCAGTGACGCCCCGGAACCGTCCAACGCAAGGCCCCGCCAAGGAACCAATCCGATGTCCCCTGGTTTACCAATTAAAGCAAACACCGCTCAACGGGATGCGGCAACCTTGCGTCAACACAATACTATCCGTGACCTCCATACGATCATGGAGATCACAGAAGGGTCTTGCGCCGTGTGTTGGACTTTGACTGGTGCCCTCATCCGCGGACACAACCCGCCCTTCAAGTGGTGTCAAAATGCACTCCCCGAGGACTGCAACTACCGTTTCGGCTGGCTTAACGTAAAGAAGTCGCACAAGCTGCCCCGAGGACGCTATTGTTTCTTTTGCGGTGTGCCTACCTCTTGGGGAGGCACCGAAGAACCCATCTGTCACAAGAATTGGCGCATGGAAAATAGCATGTCGCCACCAAAGTCATCTCAAAACTCCGGATCCCCCCCAGCGAACCTGTGCATTTGCCCTTGGTCGGACTTCTTGTGGATCTCTATATGGATCATTTACAAGGACCCAACGTTCCGTACCGCTCTGGATCACTTTGGAATTTCCGATTTCTCAGAGGAGCAGTTTTCAGCTTGGGTGTTCGAGGAAGATCTCAGTGCAGGCGAATATTATAAAGGGTTGGAGCTTTTCGTTTGGTTTTACAAAATTTTCCGTATTCCTGATACCATCACATTTCAATGAACTATTTTTTTTTCTCTACACATCAGGTCATTTGCGACGCAACGGACGTTTATTTCACTATTGACAATACACATGTACAACACCAGAGACATCTCCTTATTTCACCATTCCCATACGCAAATTAGCTCATTTTCATAACTGTTGTCCTTACCCCACTCACTCGTATTTATTTTGCAATCACCACGTACTTATCATTTTTATGTCCCTCGACTCAGCATGACCTTGTATTCTATCATCATCGTTGTGTTGGAAAAATCCAATTCACCTGATCAGGACTGCTGGAGCATGCTGCGAGTACGGTGTCGCCTGACGACCTTATGAGGGAGCTGGAGTATCAGGTAAGGTATGAGCGGGCCCTATAAAATCATAGTGCAAATGAAAAGCCTATCATCATGTCTTATGAGACCTTACAAGGGGAATAGAGGACGTGATAAGATGTGATCAAGCTCTATAAAATCGCAGCGAAAAATGAAAAGGCGTCATCACACCTTGTTTAAGAACTAAGAAGTCCTCGAAGGCTTGGGTGTTTTCGCACTCGTTTTGTTACATTCCCCTTGTCGAGCCAGAGGGAGACCGGGAGAAAGCAGTGTGGGATGTCGTCTTTGGGAAGCTGATCCTGGAAGAACGTAAGTGAAGTACTGTATAATACATAGAAACGCACCTGTATATCCCACCATCTATTACCAGTGCTAAACTCATCATATATTTGAGTCTTGAGAGTGACCCGGCCATTGCGCCTACAAAAGAATTTCTTACACGGATACCAGAATATCATGGATGATAAGCTGGCATCCATGATCCAGTCACAATATACTTCCCAGGAATCGCGATACACAAAACTGAAATGAAATGTCTCACCCAAATAAACGGCTGAGACATTCCCCTCTCGAAACTGTAATGAAAACATTAGACCAGACTTGAGTTTAAAGTTTTGGCTCACCTGAGGACATAGTTTCCGTGCTTTTTTCAATGAATGTTCTAGATTGACGTGGCTTTGCAGTGTGATTGCCGTTTCACGTGCCCATCCACCGTGTATACCACGTAACTGTGTGTTGATGATGTCCTTGCTAAATAATCCTTTTACAGTGGTTTCTGCATACTCAAAGTCTGCACGAGTTCGGAACGGAGCCCATGGTTTGCTGTTGATGCCACGGACATTGAAAGTACTGTAGGTTGTTGGTGTATCTAGTGAGATAATGGTTGGTTCCTTAATGCCGGTGTGAGGGTGTGGTATGACTTGAATAAAGCTTGAGGGACGTTCATTGTGCACCTCAGAGTCTAAGTCCAGCGAAGATTCCTGGTGCGATGGTTCTGCTTCGTCAATTTGTGCCTGATTTTCTCCATAAGCAGTTTTGTTGAATGTAAAGTCGGGACTGGACTATGGGAAACAGTGTAGTATTAGTATAAGAAATGGGAAGGCACTCAGTACCGTAGCAACCACATGCATAAACAAACATGGAGATATTATTTGCTTACATTTGAGTCTAGTTTGCGCCATTTTTGAGGCACAGGTAAGTCATCCTGTGGGCGCGATTTATTGACTTGAAAGGATGGAGCTGTTGCAAGCTCATTATGATGACGTTTGCAGGCTTCCACATGTTTATCAAATTGACGAGAGCTTCAAAAACTGTTGCAGTATTAGCACCAAGGGCCCTGGCAAAGCTTCTTTGTCCTAGTAGATGAGCGCATGTTGATGGATTTGAGTGAGCTTGAGCTGATTCTACTAATTGCAGTTGATAATGGAGAACAACCATATCTTTGACGGCATCCTACGTCATGTTAGATTGTCGGACTTGAAAACTACCTACACACCATCAACAGTTTTCCTAACTGCGAGTAACTCAAACCCTCAATATTGTCCTTCTTTTTAAATTCACAGCCTACAATGGAAAAAAACCGTAAAAGAGAACGACGAAGGGTGCCTACAAACAGAGGGAGTGATCAGAGCAGAGACCATGTCCAAGAGACGGACTTACATCATGGAGCACAGCCAATGCAAGACTGGGGCAGGGATGATTCGACTTTGAGCGATACTCGAGGACAGAATGCTCAAGTCAGTGAAGACCATGCCATGAGACATGAAGCAGACACACCTGAATTACATGGTGATCTGAGTGTCAATCAGACAATGTCCCCACGAATGCTTTATAAGGTACACTGATGTTAATCTGGGAAGATTAGCAAAATATACTGACTCACCTAATGTCAGGTTGCTCGAGAAGCTCAGATAGCGGTCAATTTGGCCAGAGAGGAAACAAGGATTTTGCGGCGAAATACGACGATTTGCTGAACGAGACTGAAGACCCTGAAATCTTGAGTCAGCAAGGTCCCCCCAAAAAGCAAGAGCTTATGGACGTCGGCAGTGAGCTACAAAGAAAAATCAAACATACCAAGCAGCTGGGGCAAAAGTTCCTTGTGACGTCCATGCTATGGATACATGACCCAGTAAATACATTCAAGACAACTCGTGACGATCAATATAGTCCACTGGGCCGGTTTGAAAACATTGAGCAAAAGATACAAGGTCAGATTAGTGAGATATACGCAAACACACCTCGTGAACTTGTTGGGATGATTGGGCAGGATTGGTTTGTATCTGCTGTGAGTAGAGTCTTTTCATTCCTACCACGCCTCCTTGAACTGAGCGTATGAAAATGAGTTCCGCGACGGGATGCAGGCCCAGCGGTCAAATGGTGCAAGCCGTCTTCGTGCATGCGGCAACACTATCTTTGATTGTTCAGCGGCCGATTTGAAGACATCTGAGGCGAGGCAAAATAAATTTCTCAATAAAATTGGGTGGAGGATGAACAGCAAAGGACACTCAGCTTTCAGCCTATGGAACGTTGAGGTCCTCCATGCTGATTATTCTGGGAAGTTCGATGTGAATAAAGTCTTCCTTAACCCGCTCTTGAAAGTGGTAAGTGTCTTCCTGTCAAAATCAGATTTATTGTAGCTGAGAAACTCCAAGATTCTATCCTGTGTCATTCGAGGACCCGGCTCAATTGTGGCGATGAAAAAGGGGATGCCTTATGAGGGCGCGCGAAGTACCGAAACTCTGGACGTTAAATGGGGCCTCCAGCACACCACACCAGGCATGGTTGCATGCGCCGCTATTTTGGTAAGTAAAATGCCTAACCCAACACTAATTATTACTGAATTTCCCTTAGGCACGATGGGTGCTCTCCCCTGATAGTATCCTGAAAGAGAGGGGAGCTCAGTCCGGCATTAATTGGCATGAAGATTGCGACAATTACCTTGAATATCTCAAAATTGGGCTGGGAAACAGGAAAGGGAGTGTACTCACTATCTTCCGCAATGTCGATGATGAGAACTGCAGTTAGAAAACCACACACAAAAACAAACTAACAAACAATCCTCCCAGATTCCACGGAACTTGTTTATGGGCTTTGCCTCCTAGAACAGTGGGTGCTCTGGTTGTTCGTGGGGTGGTATGTATGAAAGGTCCTTCAAAGTAAAACCCAGAGAGGTATGGGTGTGGGTTTTGAGGAGGAGGGATAGTTGAATTTATAGAAGGATAGGGGCTTTGTGACGAGTATAGACGAGCACTACCTTGCTAATCGTAGCACAAGGTAGGTTTGAGAATGACAAAGATGACAAGGTGACGAGGTTCCCAGTGATAGCAGGCTCCTGACGCACAAACTGTAGTGCTCAGAAGGACTCTAATCAAAAGGGATGACAGTGACTTTCAAAATGACGAGTGACGATGACAGCAGATGGCAGTGGTAACAGTGGGAAGTATTGTGACCACACTGGATCACAAGTAGCAGAGTAGTGAACTTGAGATTTAGAGAAGAAGTCTGGAATCGAGTTCCTTGTTTTTTTTACAAGGTAAAATACAGGGGTTTATATAGTGAAAAGAAAGACAGGCTATGCACAGTATAGCTGCGCAAAAAGAATGAGAAAGAACATGAAGGAAGGAATGTACGCTGACGAATCCTGCGTAGTTGCTACAGGATAAGATCATCAAAATAAGGGAAAGAAAGGGATAGAACAATGAATGCTGTGAGTAAAGTTACAGGTTTGTACAGCCATAAAGTAAAGTCCAATAGCAAAAAGAGAGCAAGAAAATCATGATGTCATGGGAAGATGCAGTAAAAAAAAGGCAAGGAAAAACACTATCAGTATCAACACAGTTCCTTTATTGTCAGTCAGGCATTCTAAAAAAATATGTGTCCATAAAAATGATTCAAAAATCAAAAATAATCGCACTGCAAATGAACGTTCTGCTGAAAAAAAAGAAACTGGAGCCACCGGTCCACCACCTAGTCCAAATCCGACAGTTCCATGGCCTTACCAATGGACTGGTTGTGTTGGACCACCTGATCAAACGAGGGAGGGAGAGGAGTAGTTCCAATTTGGAACAAGTGAGTCCCAGGCAGCGTGTGGTAGGTGTAGCTGTAGCGAAGACGATGGACATAGGATAAGTGTACCCAAGTGAATGGGACAGCGATGAACATGGGCGACGCAAGGGGATGAACCTTCTCCAGCTCAAAAACTACCCACCCACGCTCCAACCAGGCGAGACGAGTGACCGGTGTTTTGATAGTATGTGATGGCAGATCGACGTCATGAAGATGGACCTGTTGCCCTATTTGGACCGGCCGCCGGGGCTTTGCTGATATCAGCAGTGGCACGTGGTAGTCAACGGATCGGCGACGGAAGCGGATAGGAAGTGGTGACATCAGAAATGGTGGGGGTGCAAATAATATGAGGAGGAGGAGGGTGGAGGTGACGAACAAGTGGATTAGAATGGGGATCCAGAAACGACCGTCGGGTGAGAATATAAAGGAGAGGAAGGGGCCCATGGTGGGGCTAGGCAAAGGAAGGGGAGTAAGGGAAACGACAAAAGCTAGGGCGCAATGCAATGTGTAGCCAGTGGCGACGCAAAAATTTGCCGAAATGCCGAAACACGGAAAGTACCGGATGGAAAAGTAAAGGTGAGCGTGACTGGATTGCCTAATAGAGGTGGTGCTGATCAGCCACAAGTTCAAAACAGGCAATATTAATCACCATTCCACGTGGCACTGTGCCTGTGTGGCGCAAAGGCGAGTCTTTTCGAATATTCGCTTCGTTATTGACACCTGTCCATGCTACCAATCAATTTTGGTGCATGACATCGTTCTTATTCACGTCGTACACTTCATCAGCTGGTGTTGTAGTATATATTGTTTTCGTGAACATCCGTTATGTTACTCATACTGTGGTTGATATCGCCTGAATATATAATGGATTGCTATACACGTTGCTTTCTACAAGCTCTCCTTGGAGGTTGACTACCTTGAAACATTTGCTACGCCTTGATATGGACAAACAAGATTCAAAAAACCACTGTATTGTTACAAAACCGCTTTACAAACATGATTAATAATAAATATATGAAAGGTTATACAACACTATAATAAATGTTCGCCAAGTTGTGTTTCAAGGTCCAATATTTCGAGACAATCTCCATCACACCGATGACTATTTTCCCCCAAGCCAAAATCGACAATAGTCAGCTTACCTTTGTCGTCCTGGACAACGTTCCTCGGAGCCAGGTCGTTGTGACAGACCCGGAGGGCATGGATCTGCCTCACGCTTTTAAGTAAAGCTTGACTGCAACATTCACGTTAGTTGAGGAATAATTCCATACTGAAGTTCAAAGCTTACCTTTGGATGTCATCCAACTGTTTGAATGATTTCAGTCGGACTCCGCAATCGCTGGTAACTAAAATCTGCGTGGACTTATCCACGCGGAAAAGCCCGATGCACTTCGGTATCAGGACTCCCTGGAGAGAAGACAGGACCGAATAGAGATAGAACTCTCGTATGAGCGACTGCTCGGAGTTTTCATCGTCCACAACCATCTTGATAAAAACGTTCTCTCCCTCAAACTGACCTTTGTACAAGGCCGACAATCCCAGCTTCTCCGAGAACAACGCAAGGGCATACAGAGGCTTTTGTCTGCACGGGTACCGATGGGGCGACATTGCAGTCAACTTCAAAGTAAGAGTATGAATTCCTTTTGCGCCAAACACGATCTCCCCGGGAACCGATGGTAGAGCTTTCTCTAGCATCTTCTTCGTCACCGATCTCAGCGTCATGGGGTGACTGGAAGGCTATATAACAGATATCAGCGTGATTGAGGTTATAGGTAGTAAACAATACTGACCAATGCGCTAGGCTCCGGGGAGCCCTTGTTGCTACCAGGTGCGTTGACCTTTACCTTGGCATCAATTGCCGGAGGAGCAGCTTGTGGTTTAAAGGGTCCCGAAAGACTTGGGAGATGGGTGTCTAGGGCGTGGGCGAGAAAGAGCGACGCTTTGGCGAATGCTAGTTTCGTCTCTTCTGGGTCGCCTTCGTAATGCCATTGCAATGGTTCTGATACCCATACCGTGTTCTCTTCTCTCAAAGTCATGATAAACTGCTCCTCATTGCTGAAGATCTGGTGGGTGACGGCGAAGTGAAGGCTCTGGTGCCAAGTCTGATGAAATAAGCTCAGCGAGAATGTACTGATACATGCGAACGATGAGGCGTACCTGATAAAACATTGAAGAAGCTTTCTTCTTCCAATCACCTTGGGCCCTATCGACGTCCCGTATGAGCACGAACTCGAGATGCTGCTTCAGGTATGAGTCCAGCTCATCCAATAAAACCACATTCCGCTTCATATCAGAGCTTTTTGAGGTACACGTGTAGGAAGGTTTCAGCTCGACCAAAAGGACTCCTCGGAGACCATTGCTGGCTTCGGAAGGATCAACTGCTGGGTATTCGAATACTCTATCCGCGCGGCCAGATGGACCGGTGGTGGGGGTGTGGATGAACATATTGCAAGGCCCAGCAGGTATGGCTTTGTCGTTGTAGTGCGCCGCGAGGTAGAGTAACTCCCCGGTGAATTTGAGGCGTTCCCAAACATAATAATCCGTATAGATACCGACATCTCCTTCGCAAGTAATGAGTCCGGTACGTAGAGGTTTTGGGTTTACTTCATGAAATTTGTGCGTCGTGTCAATGCTGGGACCCGTAGAGCTGAGAATGCCTCGAGCCCAATCCAAATTGAAATTGTTATTGCCACGCAAACAAAGCTTGGAGAGGTCTCTATACTTTACACTCTTTAGCGTTCCGGCGGAAGCCTTCTCTATAACAGTAGCATCGTGCAAGGTATGTGAGGAATGACGGCTGGTCTTTGGCGGCGCGGGAATACCATGGGCATGAGAAGCCAAGAACGACAAATCACGTCCGTGCACCGTGCTGCTGTAAGTCCAAAACGAAGAAGGCCCGCGGGTGAGAGCTGCGTAAATCTGGTCTCCGTCTCCATTGCCTTGTGACATATTGGCGGCTTTGAAGTCGAACATTTTCAATAACGCCCATATCTTTTATATACTGCTGTGGATGTGGATGACGTAAGCATCGCAATGATGATTGATTTCTTGGACAGGACGTGCTGTTCGTCCCCTTTGTAAGTGTATTTGTGAAAGCTGGGAAATTTGAATTACGGGGCAATGAACTAAACTCTAGGCTGTCCCATGCAATGCATGCCGAATCACTCCGGGGAACATAAAATGCATGCGAGAGGTCTCCACGGAGACGACTCTGTCCAAGCATACGAGTTGCTCGATGTGCGAAAAACGGGGAACCCGTTGCTTTTGGAATAAAGAAGACATAGATGCGAACTTGAAGGCAGCTCGGGAAGAATCGGGTGGGTTAAGAAAAGTCGATGCGTTTCGCAATCTGATGGAGTTGGTTTAAACGTTGCAGAAAAAATGGTCGATCCGATGAGACTTCTCAAGAATCACACGGACGAAGAGCTGGAAGATGCGATTCATCTCTATACAAAGTTAGTGTCCGATCTCTCAGCAACTGACTCGATGCTCTCCAAGGCAATAAAAAGTTTGTGAGGTTGTGACCTAACATTATGCATGTAAAATACAAAGACGCGAGGAATGACGGCTAGGATTCAAGTCTCTCTCCACAGAGAAAGTTAATAGAAGAGAGGAAATAATATTTTTGTTCCTAGAATGCTTTATACATGTCGGAAAAATCCATTTTCCCATACAAGGTCTAGAATGGCCACTTCAGGTCGTTAGATTTTAGGTAGCCTTAAAAGAATCAAAACGTTGCAACAATGCCTTGTAAGTCATGATCAAAATTACGCCCTAGTAAGACCAACCATCATTAGATACCTAGTCTCATTTATGAGACCATATATGACATGTGCGACAGACCACTCAAACCAGTCCAATCAGCGCAACCAGTGCAACCAGCGTGACCAGTATGACCAGCGCGACCAGCACAACCAGGCAGATAGCAACAGGCCAGACAGGCTTGGTCTAGCAGCTTCCTTGTTAGTGCTGATAATTCATCTCAGCCGGATCATGGCTAATATTATCTCGATCATGACTGAAGTGCCATCATTAGTATCTTTACAGTTTGGCTGACTCGGATATCCCCAAATCACACAAACGAAAGGCATGGAAATTAAGTAAAAAAGTCAGGTTATATTTATCAATCAGGAGGACACTACAAGTATACAACTACAACTGTAAGGTAACAGCAAAAATGTAGAAGCACTTAGTTAAAACAAAAATCAATTTGTGACAATTGTCGTCAAAAATGACTTGTTCCTTGTGAGTTCTGGTCCTGACAGAAATCTGGAAATTGAGGCATGTGAATGTGAGGTAATGAAAAGAGAAACAAAATGCTTACCATAATAATATTGATACCACAAGCGCGAAGGCAGCCCCAGTTGTTGATGACCAAACGACACTACAAGCAAGATCCTGTCAATTGAAATGTGTGAAATCAAATCCAAATGTCTACAGTATTGATGATTGATATTACTCACTGCATTGAGTACAAGAAGGGTTGGATGGCTGGGACTTGGAGTGGTATTCATTGATGTGGTAGAGTCTTCTCAATGAGTTCTGTAGTTGACTGAGGAGGAGATGGAGATAATACAGCAACACGATGGCAACAACGGACCTTTATAAATGCAATGTAGTGGCGTGTGGATTAATCGACGTCATATTACTAGAGCATACTTGAATCTAATTTATTGCCGAAACTCACTGTATCCACATTTCTCGTTGACTCCTACCTACAAGATGAAAAGAGAAAACTCAGTCATTGTTATCAGCGACACGGAGTCAGAAAGCCCTGTGCCAGCCCCAGGCGGCAGCAATCAGGGCTCTCAGAAAAACCCTCCAAGTCAGACTTACCACCGCAATTACTATAGCTCTCGTTCTTCTTCACGAAACAACGCTGCCTCGGTCATCCTTGGTAATAGCAAGGCACATGCTGAGTTGGAGGATGAAGCAAGTCAGGGTGGGGGATTAGCATCAAAAAAGAGCCTGAGCCAGATGTTCTAGTCAGCGATAGAGCAGAAGTTGGGGGTCAACACAGTTCATACCAGCCCGAGGATGAAAGTGTCAGAAAATCTTGGAAAGATCCTGACAGTAAAAGTCAGAGCCCAGAGTCTGAGTATGACCTGCAATCACATCCTATTGAAGACCACAGCAGTCAATATCCTTGGCTTGTTCCGAGTTCAGGACTCACCAAAAAGTCATCACCGGATAAGCCGTTTCCCAATCCCAGTGACGAAGAGATCATTGTGAGTGTGCCTCATTTTTGGATCGCACATAGCACTGACTGACTTATGAACACTGTTAATACTAGTTTACCCTTCATCATTCAAAAGGGTTGCAACCAAGGATCGTGAAAAAACGTCGAGTCGGAGAGATAGGGGACAAAAATGTTGAGGTATGTACTGGCTGTAAATATCTCCTTGATTTTGCTAATTATTTGTAATTTAATTAGCCTACCAAACAAGACACATCAGCTCAAGTGGACTTACCGTCTAACGAAGTTGTCCCTGTTCCCATCACACCTCGCAAGGCCCGCCGTTTTGTTATCTCTCAATTGGAGATAACACCTAGCAAAACAACACAGAAGATGCACCAGGGCACTGGAAGCCCCGGCATCAGTGAAAGGTTGGATAGAATTGAGAACCGGGCACAAGACATCAGCGAGGCTTTGAAAGGAGTAACTTGTGCAATCAATGGTCAGACTTCGGCCCTGGAAAATATTTTCCGTGAGTGCCTGAATAAGTAGAGAATGTATACTGTCCTTGTCTGTCAATATATGAATACTATCAGAAATCCTACCGAGTTTTATTTGAACCTGGGATTTAGTGTGTTTTATATCACTCTGAATCAACATTCGACGACAACATGTATTGAAAGATCAAAAACTCTGTTGCTAAGTTAGATTGGGTCTGGGTTACAGTTGTCTATTCTTATCATTCCCATCGGAGCTGAGCATGTGGACAGAAATAATTTAAATAATATACTGATATTGTCTAATTACATTGTCAATGACAATAGGGACCCGGGAGTTGGTCTGAATTACAATGCCTCAGGACTCTTCTGACGGGTTCAGTATCATCTTCCCCATGATTGAGCTCTCCTAGACGAATTGCTGAGCAACGTAGATCTGACAGAGAATAGTTGTCGTCACTTACCCATTTGATCCATACATGCTTGTGCCGCATGACCAGAGTCCAGATTCAGATCGATGAAAGTTAAGCTTCTTGTTGTGATAAGCATAGGCTGCTCAAAAGTCAATTACTTCGTTCTGGGCACTGGTCTATTCTTATCATTCTTATTGTCGTCAGCCTGATCATGTGCACACAGAAATGATTCACATAGATATTGCATAATTACAGGAGGACGGGGGGGAGCGAGCTTCCAGGCTAAGTTAACTGTGGACTAATGGCTCTTCTGATGGGTTCAGTATCATTCACCCCACGACTGAGCTCTCCCTAGACAAATTGGTGAGCAACATAGACCCGACAGAGAATTACCATTGACATCACTTACCAATCATACTTTGGTTCTTGGTCTCAGGCTTCCCCTTCTGATTCGAGGCCGTTATCTGATTTGCCTGGACCTAGATCGTTCCCCTCCCTTATCACGCCACCATCATCATCATGTTCTTGATCACTAGGCGGCAGCTCTTCAACGTCTTGATTCAATGCATCCATCGCTTCTTTCATTGCCTCCTCCCTGTCTTCATTGTTTAGTGGACCTCCGAGGCCGCTTGTGGTATGTGGGAAAAGTATTCTGTCCCACCCGCTGTCATGCACCAAAATTGATTGGTAGCATGGACAGGTGTCAATAACGAAGCGAATATTCGAAAAGACTCGCCTTTGCGCCACACAGGCACAGTGCCACGTGGAATGGTGATTAATATTGCCTGTTTTGAACTTGTGGCTGATCAGCACCACCTCTATTAGGCAATCCAGTCACGCTCACCTTTACTTTTCCATCCGGTACTTTCCGTGTTTCGGCATTTCGGCAAATTTTTGCGTCGCCACTGGCTACACATTGCATTGCGCCCTAGCTTTTGTCGTTTCCCTTACTCCCCTTCCTTTGCCTAGCCCCACCATGGGCCCCTTCCTCTCCTTTATATTCTCACCCGACGGTCGTTTCTGGATCCCCATTCTAATCCACTTGTTCGTCACCTCCACCCTCCTCCTCCTCATATTATTTGCACCCCCACCATTTCTGATGTCACCACTTCCTATCCGCTTCCGTCGCCGATCCGTTGACTACCACGTGCCACTGCTGATATCAGCAAAGCCCCGGCGGCCGGTCCAAATAGGGCAACAGGTCCATCTTCATGACGTCGATCTGCCATCACATACTATCAAAACACCGGTCACTCGTCTCGCCTGGTTGGAGCGTGGGTGGGTAGTTTTTGAGCTGGAGAAGGTTCATCCCCTTGCGTCGCCCA